GGGGTAAGGCCCCGGTTACTCCCACGTCTTCCAAGACGTCAGTGGGGACGAGCGATAACAGGGCTAAGTCACCGCAGCCTGGGATGCAATAACCGCATATGTGTATGTTGAACTTCTTTCGCGCCATACGTAGTCAGCCGTGATAACTGTGAATGAGCAGCAGGACTTTACGGGAGCAATTAAGTTCTCGGTGCAGGTGTTTTCACGAACAACGTTGAAATATTGCCTCATTGGACATAAAGAAAAGCAATTGTGTGAAATTCAGTTTCCCTAAAGCACCTTGTATATTTTTTGTAAGGTAAAAAAGTTTTAATTCAAACTTTTCACAACAAATTTGTTGGACAAACGTGTCTTTTAGAAAAGTATGCAATCGTGTGAAAGCAAAAAAACCGACCCTTGCTCTCATATTACTCTCTAACAGATGTTTGCAGGCCACTTTCTGCAAGAGGCAGCAAAAAATGATGATGCCACAAATGAAATGACAAGACCGCTGTGCCGGGCGCCAAGAGGCCTGCAGCCTGGGAATAAGAGTCCATTATGCATTGTTAAGAAGCAGAGGTTGTGTCTACCTAATGGACTGAGACATCCCATACCCACCCTCAAGCCTCATTACTCACTACTCACCAACACGGTAGCTCCCGTTGCTTTGGGCAGAGATCCAGCTGAAACCGACCGACGAAGGCAAGCCATTGCCTGATCAAGCAGGTCCACTATGACATCGCCTCGCAGCAGAGAACACAATCACAGCTCTATTTTTACGGTGGTGATACATTGCGTGCCTTATTGTTCATGTATATGTATTGTTGGATGTATATTAAACTTCTATCGCACCGTACGTAACCAACAGTGCTCATCAAGAGGTACGGAGGGGGGGGGGAAGGACTCCAAACTAAACACAAAGAGCAGTTCTAAAGAAATGAGTTTTCTTATAACTGAGTCACCATGCATTGCTGCCACCGCAACTCCATGTAATTTAAAGTCATTGAGGAAATGCAACATCATGCAAAGGGGATCTCTAATGCGCAAGTGCCTTCTCATTGATTACATTCAGTATCAACTTCCTTCGCTTGTTATTATATCATCTCCCAGTGGGTCCATGTGTAAATGTAGAGCTCTTTGCCTATCCACTGCTGAATGAGTGCCTCCTCACACTGCGGACCATGCGGTTTGTTAAGACTTTGCTTCACCACGCTGGTCAGTGTGGGTTGAATCTGGGGAGGGTACTGACATGGCAGCCAAGAGGAACAGTAAAATAGATCTTGTTCCGCTGCCCTTCCACCAGCATGGGCTGAACACCTGTGAAACAAGAGCTTCATAGCTCATCAGGTTCTTCCAGTTTAAATCAAATGTCTACGTCTATATAACGTAGGGTTAGACACATGCATTTAAAAACCAATTTTACACGTGAAAACTTGAAATGTCATTAAACACAAATTGTATCATTAATTTACAAACATTTGTCTTGCTTCAACCGAGTTCAAAGCAAAGGTATGTGCAGGTTGGTAAAAGTAAGAAGGACAGACACGGCCCATCATTTAGGCCCCACAGCCCTATGACAACCTATTTTATTATGCGTGGTGGTCACACATCCAAGAATTGTCCAGGCTCAACCCTGCCTTAGCTTCTGAGATTTGACAACATCGGGCAATGTTCCAGGTGATTTATTTATAGCAGGCTTCAACTATCCGGTCGAATGATCCACACGCTGGTACGACCCACACGCTGGTACGACCCACACGCTGGTACGACCCACACGCTGGTACGACCCACACGCTGGAACGACCCACACGCTGGTACGACCCACACGCTGGAACGACCCACACGCTGGTACGACCCACACGCTGGTACGACCCACACGCTGGTACGACCCACACGCAGGAACGACCCACACGCTGGAACGACCCACACGCTGGTACGACCCACACGCTGGTACGACCCACACAGTGGTACGACCCACACGCTGGTACGACCCACACGCTGGTACGACCCACACGCTGGAACGACCCACACGCTGGTACGACCCACACAGTGGTACGACCCACACGCTGGTACGACCCACATGCTGGAACGACCCACACGCTGGTACGACCCACACGCTGGTACGACCCACACGCTGGAACGACCCACACGCTGGTACGACCCACACGCTGGTACGACCCACACGCTGGTACGACCCACACGTTGGTACGACCCACACGCTGGAACGATCCACACGCTGGTACGACCCACACGCTGGAACAATCCACACGCTGGTACGACCCACACGCTGGAACGATCCACACAGTGGTACGACCCACACGCTGGAACGACCCACACGCTGGTACGACCCACACGCTGGTACGACCCACACGCTGGTACGACCCACACGTTGGTACGACCCACACGCTGGAACGATCCACACGCTGGTACGACCCACACGCTGGAACAATCCACACGCTGGTACGACCCACACGCTGGAACGATCCACACAGTGGTACGACCCACACGCTGGAACGACCCACACGCTGGTATGACCCACACGCTGGTACGACCCACACGATGCCTTCTGAGCGTGCAAGTAAGAGAGTTTCGCTGTGAGCCCTCCGGCACAATAACATCACACTTTGGTGCACAGGCGCTGTCCCAGCGATGAGTGACAAATGCAAAGGTTCTTTATGACTGCATTACATCGGCACGCACACAGAAGCTGCCTCGGAGGCACAGCCTGTGTGTTTTTTTTTTGCACTCCCGATTTGTGTTTATTTAGTCTGTGTAATTTGATGCACAGTAGCATGATCGGTGAGCACAATGGACTTGCAATCCAGTGGTCGCCAGTTTGATTTAATTTCCCAGCACGGCAGATGACACAACGGTGCAAGTTCCTTAAATCAATTCTGCCGCTGTCCACCTAGCAGCGTAAATATGTTCGCCGCTGTTAGTCGATCGGCAGGCGGCGTTCGGCGGCGTAAAGTGTGGGTACTCCCACCCCTGCCAAAATGTCTCGCCAGCCTGGGACACAGACCAAAATATCCTCTCGAGGGCCTCTCTGTGCCAGCGGTGGCACGGTAAAAAAAAAAAATGCAGAGCTGCGCCTTATCTTGTCTGACCGTGCGACTTAAACCTTTCCAGGGAAGAAAGATTGGAATGCAAAGAAAAAAGAAACAAATATTCACCTCATTCAACATCGAATCAAAATATTGCAAAATTAATTACGGCAAGAAATAGCTCCTCAGTGGAATTTAATTCACATTACAGCGACACATTTTATGTCGCAACTGGGACAGTTTGAGGACCCACGCTATTGAAATACAGATTGGGCTTCATCATTACAGCGCTTACATAATAGAAGTTTTTTGGGGGTAGATGGCGTAAATATACGTGTGTCGTTAAACCCACCACCACCCAACACAGCCATTTAGTAAAGTTTTCCACGTAAACAGAACATGCCAATTCGTTACTAGTTGTAAATGTAGTGGGATTATTCTCCAACATACCGGTGTGCTGAACTAGTAACGAATTGGCCACGTTCTGTTTACGTGACAAACCTTACTAATTGGCTGTGTCGGGTGGTGGCGGGTTTAACGACACAATTATATTTACGCAATCTCATCCAAAAACCTCTATCCTGGATAATATTTGGATTTGTTCTGTGCAAGAGGTTCCTGTGGCTGCTACGTTCACCACAGTGCACTCCGGTGCTTGCGTGCGATTTCACTCGGAGCAATTTATGGCGGAAAATCATTCCTTGAAAGATCTTTGCATCCTAAGCCGAGTCCACGCCAAGCCTCTTTTGCCTTCCCCCCCTTGTTGCTCAAATCACGTTGCAAACGTTTCCACAAAAGTTTACTTTTCCTTAAAAAACTTACCACCCCCCCTCCCCCCCACCGCCGCTACCCCCCAAGGTGCAGCAGCTGCTTCTGTGGACGCATGTTTATGAAGATTGCAGCGATTCCATTATTTTTCGCGACACGACACATTACAATTCACAACGATGAATGTCGCGGAGTCAGTTTTCCATAACTTGCCTTTTTTTGGGATTGTACTTCGCGCGTGTTAATGCGACGTTTGCCTGCTTTCGCTGACTTGCGGTATCGATAAGAGCTTAACGACTCGCGCTTCAAGTTTAGTCCGTATTGTAAAATTGCTCGCATTACAAGCTGTCTTCCTTTTATTGATAGTTCTTCAACTGAAGATCAACCAACGCAAGCCTGCCACAGGCATTTCTAATCATTACAGCCCATGAGAGGCTTATAATGGCATGTGCTGTCAGTTATACTAAAACCAATTAAATAATCCAATAAATTACGAAAATTACGTCACGCAAGCGGCACTCCGTCAATTATTCAGTAAAATGTTTTGAAAATGACGAATATAATGGATAACAGCTATATGCAAACGGTTGTCATTGATTCATCTTCTTTGGTTCTTTCGGTAAAGTCACGTAGAATGAGAATAACATTTATTATTTTATTCTCATTCTACGTGACTTTACCGAAAGAACCAAAGAAGATGAATCATTGCAGTCACGAAAGCTTTAAATCAAGGTTGTCATTGAGTTCATTATTCCGTAAATATTGTCAGACTAAAAAGACATTTAACAAAAATAAAAAGTGCAACGACAATCACGGTTGCATAACGCAATTACCGTGGATATTATCGTCGTAGAATATGTGTATATGCATGTATGTCGAACTTCTTTCGCACCATACGTAGCCAACCATGCAAATCGTAAGTGCGGACAACATGTATAAATCCACATCGTTGCCGTACTGCGTCGGCGCCAAAATATTCGGTGAAAGCTAAAACACTCGTCAGCCAAACACTGCAGCGCTGCCGCTGCTGCTGCTGCTGCCGCACTGCACTAAACGTTCAACCTCCGCTCGTTTTCAATTAAGGGTCTTTGCTATCCTCTGGCGCTGCCCGTGAATTGTCCCAGCAGATGGGATCTGGCTCGAGGCCGGGGGTCAAGCAGCGGCTCTCCACTGCTGTGACCCCCCCATGTGGCGAACCGCGTCTCTCACCTGGAAGCGGTGGATACCATTGATCTGTGCAAAGTAGATGCCGTTCTTTTTGAGGGCCTTGCCGATAATGTCCAGCACGTCCTGCCACTAAATAAACAGTGGGGGGAGGGGGGGGGGGGGAAGGCGGAGAAGAAAGAGCGCGGCAGGCAATTTCCAAGCAGTTGCGTGGGCAAAAAAAATAATATCCAAAAACAAGTTGAACGTTTCGTGCCGTCAATTGCGAAGGAAATATAATCACGCGAACGCAACTGCCAGTGTAGCGTCAGTTGATAGGGAGCATTGGCGCATTGGTTATCGCGAACCCAGAAGTGCTGCCGCACACAATGTGTTGGAGCAGTGCCGAAGCGGGTAGCGCACTGCAACTTGCACGGATGCGCCAGAATGGCGCCCGGGCGCGTGTGCCAGGGAATGAGCAAATGCACGTTTGATTAATATTCACCTCAATAGATCGCTGTCTTCTGTCCTAATTACAAAGCATGGAAGGTGCGTGCTTTGCCGAGCCGTTTCGCCATTGCCAAAGCACAGATAACGTGTTCTCGACGAGTCGCTGCTGTTGCATTTATGAGAGCGGAATTTCTGTTCACCAGTAAAATTGGCGCAGAAAATTAACTTTTGAGCAAATAACAAAACAAAACTCGCAAATAAACAAACATCCTTGAGGAGCCCGCTGCTTTTATGCCGCAAAAAAACAAACGACCGATGTTCGACTGCTGCGCCTTTGTCGAAAACAAGAGGTGGGCTAAATTAAAGAAATAAACGCATATTCGCAGCATATGGTAAACTCCGTAATGAAAACGCAGGTTTTTCATTGGGGAAAGATATAAAAAGCGATGATCAAGTCAATTAACGGAGCCTCCCGTGGAGGCGTTAAGCTCTGCTCACACAATTAACCGCCCTTCCAGCAGTCAGGGGCTCTGGCAGGCACCAACGCTGCACGGGCAACCATCGGAAAGTACCTTAAGCGCTTAACTGCTTTATGCCCTGCCATAATTGAGAGATGCCATTAATGGCAAACACCCCGTGTACAACTACCGCTCCACGTAATTCGCCCAGAGGCTGCCGGAGATTCACCCAAGGCCCCTCTACCGGCAGATTAATCTGCGCACGACGGCTTTCAGGGTTGCGTGAACAAACAATAACAAACGCAGCAACATTGCTATCTGCCTAATTAATCCAGCAGCTCAGCATTGAGGGGGGGGGGGGGGTACGGGACTTGTGCTGCATTCACACGCTGTGCCTAAGAAGAAGCCGACGTGCGGTAGTTTAGCGACGGGCGGTCGTTTCGATGAAGTCGGGGTTTTTTTTCTCTCTCGGAACAATGGCTAGAAGGTGATGGCAAAGGTACAGCGCTGCCTTCCTCACTCGTGCCACTGCTGGTGAAAATTGAGCTTTCTGCCACTCGAGAAAGCTGCCTAGATCTCCTCCAGAGAGTACGCTGGTGTACTCTTCCGTGCGCTCGGCAGACAACTTGGAAGAGGTGGCAGTACTCACATTTTACCCCGCCACACGCAACTTGTCAATTGAATTTGGGTTTAGCCTTTGCTGGGTAGACGGTGGTGTCAGATGTAATAGTAATAATAATCTTCATTTTATAAAATGCCTTATATTTCAACATTTCTGAACAGAAAAAAGCGAATTTCATAAAAAATATATATTTTTAAAACTACACAAGTACGGCTAAAATCGAATAGAAACACAGTAAATCCAACAATGGTATCACTACTGACGACAGCCACAAGGTAGACATTAAGTGACTTGCTGGTTGATTTCAACAGCCACGCCGGAAGATCTAATCGAACTGACAACCTCTGGATTGCAAGTCCAACGCGCTGAACCTTACACAGCGGCAGAATTACAACGACTTGGATACAGTCGAAACTCGCGATGCCTAGAAACTAACACTGGAGATGCAGAATTAAGCAGGACGGCTTCTGCGAGGCCCCAAGATATTATTCTGACCGGGGCTTGTGAGAGATTCCACACAGCGTGCAGGTGACACTTGCATGCCAGTGACCCCAAGTTACACTTGCGTTTTCAGCCACACACTTGTTCTTTGAAACCTTGAGCAAAGCAATGCAATGCAGCAGCAACACAGCGCGATGAGAACAACCCGCCCAGCATTTGCCTACCGTGGAGAAGACCAGAGACTTGGCTTCGGGATCCGACATGTGAATCTTCATTAGCTCCCGTATGACCGCCTCAACCTTCGTGGAGTGGCTGCCCTGTTGGGAAGTCCGAGAACACAGCTGTAAGTGCACTGTGATACAGCCACATGGGTTCACAGCATAAGGCCGTGTGGCATCCTATGCTGCACCCAACTCTAACTTGGTCACCTGATTCATCGTAAGTTACGACCAATGACCCCCCCCCATTGTGTAGCCCTCCAGCCTTGTTCTGTGACGTAAAAATCCATCTAACACCTTGCCCACAGGCTGGCTTTGTCACTCCACGGTGGTGAGATGTTAACTAGCTTGCCTGGTATACAAGAGGTTGTGGGTTCCATCCTGACCCTGACGCTTGTATATTTGGAGTTTGTATCTCTCTCTCCCCGTGGTCGCGTGGATTTCTCTCCGGGTCCTCCGGTTTTTCCCTCCACATTTAGAAACATGCGTTTAGAGTATTTCGCTGCTATAAATTCCCACGTGATAAGCCACCTCGTTGGGCTATCATTTGTGGCCAGGTTGCTTCTGAAAAAGAGATACATAGCTCAGTGGGCCTTACCTGGTTAAATAGAAAAGCGGTAGTTAAATAGTATCTCCCAATTGGATGCCCTCTTGGGTGTGACCCCTCCTTTGGCTGCCGCTACCCCCTTAATCTCAACCACGTGTGAGCCTGCATGTGTGCGTGTGTGTTGCAGAGGAGCGCCTTATGATCTCTGGAATAAATATATTTTACATGTGTATATTATTCCTATTATTATCTTGAATTATGTTTCTTACACACGCCAAATTTTCAAAATCAGTTAATTTCGTCTTGTTTGTGTTCTATAATCCATGTTTTCCTCTTCCCGTCTCTCAGTATAATTCCAAGCGTGACCCACTCTCCATATTTTTTTCACACTGATTCCAGCTTTTTGCTTAATTTTCCGGAGCAATGCCCTTGTTCATGAACCATACATCATAGCTAGTAATATTCGTATTTTGTATGCATGCATGTTGAATTTAACGTGAACAACCGTGCTCATCGGAGGTGCAAAATTTTGTGACATTGCTTTATTGCGCACCATTATCAAGGTTCGGTTTTGCAAAAGCACCTCCAACCCGCTTTCGTCCACTTCTTGATATCATTTGGAAGACTCCGGTCCAGCCGGTAGTCACTGTCGTAGGTGTACGTGCCCCCCCCCCCCGCCCCCCGACAAGACATCCTCACGACTGCTGTCCGCCAAACGATTCTCCTCAATTACGGCGGCAAAAATGACCGTGCTGAGACGGAACATCAGGGTCCTCCTCTTAATGAGCCAAGGCAACGGCTAGAAGCAGGTGTTATTGATCCCACCCCAAACGCCGCGCTGTTTGTCGGCTCCGTTTGTAATTCACAAGGGCACGCACGCTCACGCACAAAAATAGCTCAACGGTGGAAAATATTGTCGGGCTGCATGCAAATATATATTTTTTTCCGCAACCCTTATTTCTGCATTCAGGACATTGCAGCCAACCTCTTACAAATGACAGCCTGCCTCCATCAATTTTTTTGTTACATTCAAATTCATGATTTTTCTCTGAAGCCGTCCCTAAGACAGAATCCACATTGGCGAGGCTTTCCCATGTGGGTGCAACATGTGTACTTATATGAACGAGTCCAAGAGACGGAATTGAGCCGTATCAGGTTGAAATAGGACCTATACTTAAATAATCTTCAATTGTCGTTATTATAAACTAAAACTATATATATTAAAAAAATTACAATTTATATTTTTTACCAGGTAAGGCCCACTGAAATATGCAGCTATTTTTCAGAAGTGACCTGGCCATCACAAATTATATCTCAACGAAGTGGCTTATCACGTGGAAATGTATAGCAGCCAAATATTCTAAACGCACGTTCTTTCTAAATGTGGATGGGAAAATCGGAGAACTCGGAGAAAAATCCCCGTGACCATGAGGAGAGAGACACGCAAATTCCAAATATACACGTGTCAGGGTCTAGAACGAACCCGCGACCTCCTCTATACCAGGCAAAGTAGTGAACATCTCGCCACCATGGCACCCCATATCATCGCTTAATATCAACAACGCACCTCCCATGCGTCACCGGTACATCTCGAGGTGCCCTGCGGTAGGGGACCCCAACCCCTTTGGCAGCTGTCCCTGTGCGGCACAAGGCGAATGCAGCACCAGCCTGAGAGTGGGCATTAGTTTTCCAGTAAGGGGGATGATGTTACTCATTGTTTTTTTTCAATTAAGTGAAGAGTCAAACGAGCACTGAGCCGGTGCTAAATTACTGTTTACAGCCCTGAGCCAGTGGTGAAAATTCAACACCATTTGCGAATAATGCATAAAATGTGCCAAATCTTAAGCATAACAGCAGCACACATAAACTACCATTCTTTTATATATAAAACTTCACGAGATATTTTCCTCAACCGTCAAGCAGACGGCGCATACTGCATGGCTAATACACCCGCAGAATTAATCAGGGTGGCCGTGGGGCTTGACCCATCAACCTCTGCAACGAGTTGAAAACGTGCTACCACTGGGGGCCATGAGCAGCAGAGACAACTGCAGTCAGGGCATACTCCTGCACCCCCCCCAGTGGCTCAAATAGACCGCATCAGGGAGCACCGCCACCCATACACACCACAGCACTTCTAGCATCTAGTAGGACAGATGGGGGGGGGGCGGGTGGGAGTGTGGCACAGAGTCAGTGGTGGAAGTGTCAGGATTAGGATGGTGGTACCATTTTACAAGTGGCGCTACCCCATGTTAAATTATGTTGTGATGACGGGACAGGACGGTAAGGGAAGGAGGGGATCGGGGCAGTGAGACCAGGTGGTAGGGACGAGTGAGGTAATGCCACCGGTGTTGCATAAGGAAAAGCAGCACTGGCTGGATCGAGGTGCTGTAGCTAAGTGGATCAGGCACGAGGATACTTAGTTAAAGCCTTCATGACGATGTGGGTTCGAATCCCTGCCCCGGCTTACGTAAAAAAACCCAACATGTTCGTCAATAACACCGTGACCTTATTAAGAAAAAATATATAATAGGTGACATTTGGGGGAATGGCCCAAACAAGCGTAATGATAAATGGAACTGAAGGAAGGGCATAATCTAATGTGTTTCCACAGGCAATACGAAAGAATTCACTTCAGAAATGATTGAAATTCACAATTTCCACGATGGCCGCGACCTCCGTGACAGAATTGTATTCTTAATGACCCCGACGACGAGAACACTACATAATGACACCTTGCCGATATTAACTATGTTAACCTATTTGTATTTTTTATTTTTAAATTATATCTTAAAGCTATTTTATATTCGATATTTATTCAATTTTATATACTTCAGCCCCTTGGTGTTAGTTAGACTTTTAACCCTTATTATTACAGTAAGACTCGTTTAAAACTTATTTAAGATTTTAGATTCCTATATGTTGAATGTATGCACCATCCTGCCAAAGTAAATATACTTCAGCCCCTTGGTGTTAGTTAGACTTTTAACCCTTATTATTACAGTAAGACTCGTTTAAAACTTATTTAAGATTTTAGATTCCTATATGTTGAATGTATGCACCATCCTGCCAAAGTAAATTCCGTGTCGGTGTGAACTTTCATGGCGAATAAAACCCTTTCGGATTCGGATTCGGAAGTGAACGCTTCGCTGCCCTTCGTCTTGTGGCTCTACTGTGATTGGGAGTTGGTTTGGCCGGCAGTGGAAGCGCCTCTTGCCTTGACGGTGACGTCGTCCGCCTGGTCCCCGTCCCCCACCGTGGACACGTAGGACACCTCGTGGTGGAGCGTGGTGTGCCGGCACACGGCGCAGCGGATGGCCGAGCGCTGCGACCCCACGCTGTACTGCGCCATCTGGATGGCCGTGCATTCGTTGCAGAAGCAGTGTCCGCACTGCAGCACCACCCACTGCAATCGCGGGGAGGGGGGCAGGGGGAGATGGAGCTTGACGCGGGTGTGGGGGCCCACATTATAATCAGAGGTGGGAAACCGTTTCATTTCCGGGTGCCTAATAATAGGACTTTCAAATACGTTTAGCAGGCCATACATTAACACAACAAATACTCGTTTTATACATATATAAAACTGGCACATCTGAGTCGAGTCAGCACACGGCCCGCATGTTACGGGTGGTTTTCCATCGCGTATTTGTTCTGCGGAGCCGGAATAAGACTGTAAAACGCTGACCTCATAAAACATTTTAATCTGGCTTGGGGCCAAGCAAGGCCACGGGCACGGGGTTAACGATCTGTTCATTGTGTACGCCATCTAGTCGGAACACCACTCGAACAAAGCATCACCGCGTCGTCTACACGCGTCTCGACTCGTTCATTGCCTTTAACGTCAGCAGCACAGCTCGGCTTTGCAGTGGAAAAACAACCTCGGATACGTCCCGTCACTGTAAGAGGCCCTTGCAGCGACAGAAAATAAAACACAACCTGATCAGGTTTAATTTTTTTTCTCTAGTACTTGATTCGTGCCGCTAAGATGCTCGAAGTGGTGGATATATATGGTTTGCGGAGGTTTGTATCGAAGTGGTAGGCCTCATGTGGCCACAGGTCGTACAAAACAAAGTGTCGGGCTGGATTCAGCCCGCAGGGCGCGTGATTCTCATCTCTGTGTTAAACCTACAGGGAGAGATCCTCGTGGCTGCGAGCCTCTCCCGTTTATTTCCAGTCAATGGCAAGGCATTAAAACTAAACGATTTAAACTATTTTTTTTTTATTTTACCAGGTAAGGGCCACAGTGAGCTGTATAGCTCTTTTTCAGAAGTGACCTGGCCAACAGAGTGGCTTATCATGTGGACGTTTATTGCATCCAAATACTCTAAACGCAATGATTCTAATGTGGAGAGAAAAACCGGAGGTCCCGGAGAAAAATCGACACGACCGCCGGAAGAACACGCAAACTCCAAATATACCGGCGTCATGGTAGGGATCGAACCCACGACCTCCTGTATACCAGGTGAGATAGATAACATCTCCCCACCGCGGCGTCCCACGCATTAAATGCGTGATCGGCAGGAATATAATCTGCGGTGAGCTCAAGTAGTCCAGGCCATAAATAACCAAAGACAACATAATTATCAAAACAAACCCAACGATACAATTTAGGTTGAGACTGCACTTGCCCATAAAGGGCTTTTACTGACACGTGAGCACGTACACACGGACAGCACATAAATGTGTATTATTACCAGGTGAAGGCCCTTTGAGATAACGCGTCTCTCTCTTTCAGGGGATGCTGCATAGGAATTGTTGATTGAAGGATGCACGAGATAAGCTACACAACCAATGGGATTTTTGTTCAGATTCCACTACAAACTGCACTGAATTACTGGCCCACTGTCAAATTTAAATGAAGCACAACCAGCTTGTAAATCCTTACTTTGCCTAAACGGCAAGCACTGTGCTCAGACCGGGCGATACAGAAAGTGAAAATAAGTAAAATAACAGCGGCTTAGCCCCTGCAATTCAAGCGGTACCACATGTGATGCACATTCCATCTCTTGCGAAATTACAGAACAAAGGTTGTCTTCATGCTTTGTCCTTTCACATCATTAACAATGTTGCTGTAGTAGACAATAAAACATCGAAGTCACCGTGGTAAAGCCAGGCAAAGCCATCAACATACAGGTGGAATCAAAAAAGCAATAAAGCTGCAGGTGCTGTGCATTGACCGGACACAGTAAAGCAAAACTATCGCCGCACTATTGCGTGGGCTCTAAAGAGTGAACAGTTTAGGTCTTTGGAGGAGGAATTGCCGATTAATCCTATTCCGTCTGCGGTAAGGAGGCCATTCTACTGGCAGAATGAAACCCCAAACCTATCGTCACAGCTACCCCTGGTGCATTACATACGATTAGTCTTGAGTTCTCTCTCTATCAGCGAGCGCGCAGCGAATAGAAAAGATGCAAGGACTGAGTGGCCTCATTTCTCAACATTTTGGTTGCTGGGGCATTTTTTTAAAAATCTCTCTCTCTTTCAAGCAACCTTGAGACGTGGAATCATTACTGCAGCATACAACCACGATAAATTAATTATCCCCGAGACCCAATCAAGGATTATGGCAAGCTTCCCCCACCACCGCCCACCCCATTTTCTTTATTTTTGATTTGGATAAGAGCAGAGTGGCAAATGTGCGATGAACAGGAATCAATTGTTAATGTGGGAAAGGTGAGGGCACCCAAGAATACTTCCACAACTTCCTTCGGGACTGGACTGGATGAACGTTTTGCTCTGTACATGGGTATACTGGGGTCAAACTATAATTTGGATGAAACGTCGTACCGAACGCTGCAAATGCCCTCTGGTACTTAGGATATGAAGTAAAGTAATTATTGGCATAGGCATCGAATGGAATTAATGGAAAAATATGGGGAGTCACATGACGTCACCGTGTCCTGTTGGAACATTAGGCTCAACGCGAGAGGCGATGATTCGCCCTACCATGGCGACCCTATCATTCGCCACGATGATTCAGGGTTGCCACTCATTTCAAGAACATTCGTCAACAACACTGTCCTCAAACGAAAGTATACGGTGACATTTTTTGGCAACGGCCCTTCGTCAAAGTACATGAAAAAGGGTTAATGCCTGAAAGGTCACCGATTATATATATATTTTAAGGCCTCTTTTTCTACACCGCCGAGAAGATAGCAGCCACCAGTGGCCACAGGAACCTCTTGCACAGAACAAATCAGCGCACGGGTGTGTTGGGAGAATAATCCCACAACATTTACAACTAGTAACGAATTCGCATGTTTTATTTACGTGACAAACCTTACTAATTGTCTGTGTCGGATGGTGGTGGGTGTAATTACAAAATCCTATTTACGCGATCTAACCCAAAAATCTCAATTATGTATCATTTTGATTGAGAAAGCCTATGCGTTAAACTGACAATTGTTATTATTACGTACAGCATATATATTTAACACTCGATGAGATGCATGTATCACGCATCTTAACAAATGATATGAATTGTTCCACCTCTGCAACGTTATGCAGAAATACATCACAGTGAGCGTTCAAGCAAACACAAAGATCCCTCGTATAGCCTGAAAATACTTTTGGGGCAAGTGCTGTTAGCGAGCACCTATGAAGGCCAGCACAGCACACGTTGGGGTGGGTGGCCAGCACCACGCCTGGCTGCATTTGTCTCCCTAGTGGCGATGTTTACACACCACACCAGGTACTCATTTGAGGCCGAGTCAACCTAGGGGAGACTCAGGACCGCTTCAGATAATCGTCACGTGTGTTTGCCATGAACAGGGATCAAACCCGGGACACCACCGGGTGCGTAGTGCAGCGCACTTAACCGCTACACCACCGGCAAACACACAAGACGCGTGCACAAAGACGAACTTGATTCACGCAGCGAGCGGCACAAAATAAGGTATGTGTTCCACTTTCCGTAAACGTTGTCACTGGAGCGTGCGTAGCTGCAGAGAATCCGGCGAAGCACACGTGTCCAACATATGTCTGTGTCCAGAGCAAGTTCTCCTTAATGCAACTTGACGACACGGCTCCGTTCGTTACGAGGACGCTACAGGAAACACAATCTGCACACCTGTTTTCCAAAATTCCGGGAACAGATGGGGCAGGGATCCGGGTTCAGTTGTCCAGACTTGTCCTGCGACTGGGGACACAAACACAGGCTCCAGGTTAGAACCCACGCACTCCCATATGGACTGTGAAACAACGAAATGAGCATGGGTGGTGGTGGGGGGGCACAGACCCCCACAAATCGCACAATGTTATGGATGAATGCATGGGTGCCATGTGCATAGTTTTGCAAAAACAAAAAAACACATAGAATATTAATTAAAAAAAGAGTGTTGGATGGTGCTCACCCGCCCCCCCCCCCCTTTCTCTACAGCCCAGAATCACTGGTGGAAATTAGACATTTCTATGGCGGTGACAAGTTTTCCCATTTGACCATCAATGTAGACTTCTGCACAAAGCGGCACTTATTTTATCTACCACGGAGATATGATGGGTTGCGCCGACCCCCAATCGAGATTTGAACTCGAAATCTTTCAACAGCAAGCAGCAGGTTCTACAGATACGCTACCAGGCTAAGTAAATATCAGAGCAGTAAATAACAACACTGAAAATCAAGATATCACATGTGCTGCACATTTTCTTCTGCTTGTTTTACCTGCCCGAGACTAATACACTTATTGATTACAGAGAAATGATGTAAGCATGAACACATAAATACAGCCGCATAGAAAAAAACAAATCAGCACGGATGTAATCCTCCCAATCCAACCCTACCCCAATTGCTTTGAGATCTCATTTCTGCAGAGAGGAGGACTTATCGTCCCTTGATGGCGCACATCACAAACGAAGGTAAACATGATTGATTTACTTTCACATGACACCAATGCATGGTCGGGGGAAATCAGGAATCAATACTTACCAACACAAGAGGAATAAAGTGGTCAATGTTTTGAACGACAGGCCCTCGTTTAGGACTCATCAGGAGTGCTGATGATGACCCGCTGGACAAAATATCGACCCTCGCTGTTCCTTCTCAGCATGCATCGATTGCCTACGGCTCGTTGATGAGCAAGAAACACCGGTGCAGCACTGGGCATTCACGAGCAGCAGTGCCACACGCCTCCACTATAGGGTCATGCCAATGGCGGGCGTACTGCCCACTGTTTCACTGCCAAGGGGTCACCGCGATACGGCGATACTACGATACTACAATGTATCGTACGATACAAGAGCTGATAATTTTTTTTTACCCTTTTATCTGGCAACAAAACTGACACCTTTTTTTTACAAGGAGTCATGTTTGCATTGACCACAATACCTGCGGTCAGAATTCAAACAAAAAAACATAACTCTGATAATGTATTGGCACTGTCCTTGAAATTGATTGGTCCACACCCGAGACAGCTTTCCTTAGAGCCTAGTCTCACATTGTGTTGGACCAGATGACGCCAAAAGGCGCATACATTATCAAAGTTATGTTTTTTGTTTGCATTCCGACCGCAGGTATTGTGGTCAATGCAAACATGACTCCTTGTAAAAAAAGGTGTCAGTTTTGTTGCCAGATAAAAGGGTAAAATAACAATTATCATATTTTGCTACTGGAAAAGGAGGTTCCAATGAGGATATCAGAGTTTCCAGAGAGGGGCAATGGTCAGCAACACTGGACTTGTAATTGGGAGGTCGCCGGTTCGATTCCGTCATTTGACGCAGTTTATTAAAATCCCTCTGCCTCTGTCCAACCGAGATGGGTAAATGGGTGGGGGTCAGGCCGTGTGTGATGGGGTAATGCGTGGGTACTCCCACGGTGTCAATGTCATTTTGGCAATGCAGAGCGGTTAGAGCATTTTCCGCTTGTTGCAGAGGTTAACGGTTTAAATCCAGCGGCTGCCCTGATTAATACTAGTTGATACCATGGGTGTATTAGCAATATATACGCGCGCCACCTTCTTCACATAGGATATTAAAGATCCCGTGAACTAGTTAAATATGCAGGCCAGATTCCAAATTTACGAAAGTTAAAATATTACTTGCAAATTACTGAACCTTTTCCCTGTTCCGAGACATCTGCTAGTGGTAGGGTGGGTGGCCCGTTCGCCGCTGAATCTCGGAAAGTGCAAGCGGTTCAGAGTTAATATTATTTAAAGGCATAGCACCGTTGTTTTTAAAGACATTGCACTCAACGATAGCTGGCACCAAACCGTGCCACAGGCCCTCCCACCTGGTCTTCTGGGGAGGCTCGGTACCAATAAAGTAATTTTACTACGTAAACATACATCGCTGGAACGGGTTAATTGGCTAAAACCACACGGCAACATCACCCCCCGTACTGGCAGACTATACTCATTGCTGAAACAGAGTGACCTCGCGATAGCTTTGCACTTTTAAGAATGGTGCACATACCCAAACGTGATTGTTACGAACGCCCCCATGCCCTTCAGGGGACACTGGCTCGCTCTCTCTCTTTCTCTCTCACCTTCTCCAGGTTGCTCAGGTACAGCATCTGTCCAAGTTTTTTGCGGAGCTGGGAAGCGGCGAGCGCTTTATCGTTCAAAAGTTTCATCCTCTGCTGCTCCACCTGTGGGGGGGGGGGGGGGGGGTGGGAATCATGGACAGCGCATGCGCTTGCGATATGAAAGTGGCTCGCTCTTGTTTTTTTCCTCTCCCTCTCCTGCCCCGCCACAGCTCTATCTGCATTGATGCACACTTCCGTAACGAATTATGCAAAATAGGATGGGATTCTGAGTCGCGGCCGCGTCGACATTCTAACCTTTGAGTCGGTTTAATTTTGCACTGCGCAACGGTGTTTTCGAACGCTCTTATCACTGTGCGCTTTAAATTGGAAGTAATTTTTTTTTTAAATTGAGCACGATGGATCCGATTACACACGTATAAGTGGCCCAGAGTTCAGTTGCATGGTGGGCCACTAGGACCGGAGTGTTGGAAACCCTGGCTTAGAAGAAAAGACAACAACAAACATAGTCTCCGTGATGAGGACAACAAATTACAGGCATTAGATGGCAATCCGATGACGTTGGCTATGGTGGTGGTAATGGTGATAATTTTTATCATACTGACGGTGGTGGTACTGGAGGTGATGTTGATAATAAATGAAGATGATTATGGGGCTACTTGAGGTGGTGATAATAATTACAGTGGTTGTGATGATGATTATACAGATTATGGTGTGTCAAGATAATGGTGATGGCTGATTGATGATGGTGACATTATGTTCTGGTGGTTTTGGTAATGACGCTGATGGATATAATGATATCATGGTGACGATGTTGGGGATGATGGCAATGAGGTGCTGCTGGTGTTGAAGATGATGATAAAAAATGATTTTGGTGATGGTGTTTCTGATGATGTTGATTATGGCGATGGTGTTGCCCTTGAGATCTCAAAGGAAACGGACGGAGACTTGCCTGGCCCGGCTCGATGATGTGTGGGAGTGCCGGATCCGGCCTATCCTCATCCGGCTGCAGCACCTGGAACCTTTCTGTCGCCATGGCGATCTCATCCACGGCCGACACACGATTGCGCAGCATCATCCAGTATTCATGCAGCAACTACACACACCCAACACACATTATAACGTCCGTGTCTCACACGCCCACACAATATGCACGTCTCACGTGCACACGATGCATGTCCCACGTGTATACAACATATGTCTAACATGCGCATAATACAAGTCTTACATTTTTTTTGTTTTATACTTTTACATGACTTTACCGAATAGAACCAAAGAGTATGGATCCTTGCAGTCACGAAAGCTTCAAATCTAGAATCGCATGTCTTACTTGCACACGATGCATGTCCCACGTGTATACAACATATATCTAACATGCTCATAAAACACATCTTACATGTACAAAATGCATGTCCCAAATGTATTAAATATATACCTCACTTGTACGCGATAATTGTCCTAACGAGAACACGATGAGGATGTTAACAAGAAGTTACCACTCCGTGCATATCTATCGTTTATTGACACTATGTTTAAAAGCCTTGGAATATACGTCAATGTGAGCACAGATCTCGAGCCAAGCAGAATTGAGCCTGGATAGTGGTGGGATGGGTAACCTCTATGCATGAAGCAGGTGCTATAGGTTGCTGGGCGGGGCCACATGGTGGGCAGTAGAGGGCAGGACAGCAAATTGCATTGCTTCACTTTAGGTTCTACAAACCCGGGCCTTGCTTGAAAATTTTACTCTTGGTCTCGTTGGGCTCTCACTTGGTTTACATGTAGATGTCGACGATCATGCCGACAATGAGCATCCCACATAAAGATGCAAAGACCCCCCGCCTCCCCGCTCCTACCCGCCCACCACATAGCCTTTAACAGACTGTTGGAAAAAGTGCTGTAAGAAAGTACTTATGAAGGCCGGCATCCTCCACGAAGGGATGGGTGGCCATCAGCAACACGCCCAGCTGACTTTATCGCCCCAATTTTTATGTTTACACACCGCATGAGGTGCTCATTTAAGGTTGAGTTGACCTAGGGTAGGCCCAGGACCAGTTCAAATATTCGTCAGCAAACCACTGCACTACCGCTCCCCACATCCCACACACACGTACATCCCACTCAGTCTCATTCACACACACTCATCCACTAGTCACCTTCAGTGCAAACATCTCCTCCCAGCAGGCACATGATGTCGAGAGGTTATCACACCGATGTGGCTGGCAACAACACCACCACAACCACATCTTCCCCCCTCACAGTATCCCAACACCGAGCTTTCAGGTCTCCACCATGATTGCTAACAGGGTTAGCGAAGCTCCCACATGATACAGTACAGCAAGTCGGTTTCAGAATTGGCCTAACTGTGCCGCAGAGTTGGGGTGTTATTTCCTTGGTAACCATTCATTTTCTACAGGCATTCTGGTTTCTTTACCGCATGCTGGAAATACTCAAAATAAGTATCACAGGAAAACGAATAGAGAGCAGGATGAATGTACGTTGAATTTAATTTCGCACCGAAATGCAGCCAAGCGTGCTAATCGGAGGTGCGGGGAAAAGACAACAAACTAAACACAAAAAGCAGTTCTGAAGAAATGAGTTTTCAATTTAGAGGATTCTCATGAATAAGAGTTATGGGACTTGGCGAGTCTCTCCTGGGCCACTGCAGAACAATTTAAACGTACAATTTATTACAAAGCACTTCACTACAACTTAATAGAAACAATATATTTGAAATTGAATAATGTGCACTTGTATGGCCGCTTTGTCAATCCACTACCCTATGAGAAATTCTCACACCATGTGAGTCATGGGGGTCATTGGACCATGCTTCACCAAGCTGGCCATTTGCCGAATCCTGAATATTGGCGAGCATAGGCGGAGGAGCGTAGAAGCACAGTAGAACAGTGGGTTGCGCTGCACTCCCCTCTTGTTGCCCATAATGTAACACAGCCCTGAGGTTGCCAATGACAACCTGGCATGCATGGCCACCACCCATCCAAGCGCTATCCAGGCTCGGGCCTGCGTAACTTCCGAGACCGAGTAAAAAAGGAACAATGAGATTGGAAGATTGAAAAGCAGAGTACCTCCTCTTTTCAAATGAATTTTGTGGCCTTATTTATGTTTCCGTTCGTAAATATAATTGCACACTCTTACCGCCATTCAAGGTAGAGGGCACTATCTCCAAAGGAAATGGAAAAAACTATTTTTTATGCGATGCTTGAAAGCATTGTATGCTTGAGCTTCAGCAACAGTAGCAGCCTGCCCAGGTTAACTATTCTTAGGGCACAGAGCCCTTGGCTGTGCACCTTAGTGCTCCCACTCGGCCAACTGCCAAGCGCAGATTGTGGCGCGGCTACGGAGGTGCAGATAATTTAATGTGCGGCTGCTCAAACAAGTCATTTGTTCGATACCAATACAGAATCGCGCGGACGCCCGGGCGAAGATGCGATTTTCATTAGCCTGCTGCTGTAGTTGTCGGAGCAGAATTTATTCTCGAAGACCCGGAGAGCTGCCTCTCGCGTCTGGGATAAAGAAACAAACAGATGAACGACCGCTCGCGCTGCTGCGCAAACAGAGGAGCGAGCGGAAAGCGGTGGCAGCGACTCAACCAAAACACGGACAACTCCGCATACATCCAATTTCCCGCACTTCTGATTTTCTGCACCTCCGATGAGCACGGTTGGCTACATACAGTGCGAAAGATGTTCAACATACATACATACAGTGAGGGAAAAAAGTATTTGATCCCCTGCTGATTTTGTACGTTTGCCCACTGACAAAGAAATTATCAGTCTATAATTTTAATGGTAGGTTTATTTGAACAGTGAGAGACAGAATAACAACAACAAAAATCCAGAAAAACGCATGTCAAAAATGTTATAAATTGATTTGCATTTTAATGAGGGAAATAAGTATTTGACCCCACTGGAAAACATGACTTAGTACTTGGTGGCAAAACCCTTGTTGGCAATCACAGACGTCAGACGTTTCATGTAGTTGGCCACCAGGTTTGCACACATCTCAGGAGGGATTTTGTCCCACTCCTCTTTGCAGATCTTCTCCAAGTCATTAAGGTTTCGAGGCTGATGTTTGGCAACTCGAACCTTCAGCTCCCTCCACAGATTTTCTATGGGATTAGGGTCTGGAGACTGGCTAGGCCACTCCAGGACTTTAATGTGCTTCTTCTTGAGCCACTCCTTTGTTGCCTTGGCCGTGTGTTTTGGGTCATTGTCATGCTGGAATACCCATCCACGACCCATTTTCAGTTCCCTGGCTGAGGGAAGGAGGTTCTCACCCAAGATTTGACAGTACATGGCCCCGCATATCTTCCCTTTGATGCGGTGAAGTTGTCCTGTCCCCTTAGCAGAAGGACACCCCCAAAGCATGTTTCCACCTCCATGTTTGACGGTGGGGATGGTGTTCTTGGGGTCATAGGCAGCATTCCTCCTCCTCCAAACACGGCGAGTTGAGTTGATGCCAAAGAGCTCCATTTTGGTCTCATCTGACCACAACACTTTCACCCAGTTGTCCTCTGAATCATTCAGATGTTCATTGGCAAACTTCAGACGGGCATGTATATGTGCTTTCTTGAGTAGGGGGACCTTGCGGGCGCTGCAGGATTTCAGTCTTTCACGGCGTAGTGTGTTACCAATTGTTTTCTTGGTGACTATGGTCCCAGCTGCCTTGAGATCATTGACAAGATCCTCCCGTGTAGTTCTGGGCTGATTCCTCACCGTTCTCATGATCATTGCAACTCCACGAGGTGAGATCTTGCATGGAGCCCCAGGCCGAGGGAGATTGACAGTTCTTTTGTGTTTCTTCCATTTGCGAATAATCGCACCAACTGTTGTCACCTTCTCACCAAGCTGCTTGGCAATGGTCTTGTAGCCCATTCCAGCCTTGTGTAGGTCTACAATCTTGTCCCTGACATCCTTGGAGAGCTCTTTGGTCTTGGCCATGGTGGAGAGTTTGGAATCTGATTGATTGATTGCGTCTGTGGACAGGTGTCTTTTATACAAGTAACAAGCTGAGATTAGCAGCACTCCCTTTAAGAGTGTGCTCATAATCTCAGTTCGTTACCTGTATAAAAGACACCTGGGAGCCAGAAATCTTTCTGACTGAGAGGGGGTCAAATACTTATTTCCCTCATTAAAATGCAAATCAACGTAAAACATTTTTGACATGCGTTTTTCTGGATTTTGTTGTTGTTATTCTGTCTCTCACTATTCAAATAAACCTACCATTATAATTATAGACTGATCATTTCTTTGTCAGTGGGCAAACATACAAAATCATCAGGGGATCAAATACTTTTTTCCCTCACTGTACATACCCTGAGCACTTGGCTCTATTGAGTCAGTGTTGAACAGAGCCTCTGGTCTTACTGACACACAAGTACACGTATTCAAGTCAATGTACGTACGTACCATTTATACCTGTGAATTTTGTACACTTCATCGGTAGATGTGCATAACATTTGTACACTCGTGTATGTTAGAATTAAATGGAAAGTTCCGCAAGAAGGCAATGACAAATGGTTGTCGGCAAAGATAATCCCAGTTGCATTTTCCCCTTATCCGCCAATCGGAGAGGAAAATAACAATTCCACGCTCTGACGTATCTTCGGATGGCTGACTATTAACCCCCCCCCACCCCCGCCATCCCCGTCGTGGCAGCAGATATTTTACTGCCCTGTGCTCCGGTGACGCAGGGCGATCCTCGAAACAAAGTGATGGTTTGCCGAGAGAATTGGCATTTCCATACGCAACAAAAAGGCTGACCTTGAAGGTCAAGCCTCGATCAGCCACCGAGAGCGGCGACGGCTGGCACACACCGGTCAGAATGATTGTGCAAAGTGCGACTGAATGGCTGGAGCTTGTAACCAATCCATCCATCATTGATCGGTTCATTCAAATAGATTAATTATTACAAGCATAGAATCGTAAGTGCGAGTGTCGGTCGTGCGTAAATGCATGCAAATCACACACGTGCGCTATGCCGATGTCACGTATATGTGTTAACAGTGCAATAAGCAAACAATACAAATGTGAAGAATAAAAAATTAGACGGGAATAAATATGTGAGATGGGAAATTAAATTAAAAAAATCGATTACTGAATCAAATCTCGACACCAGATCGCGTAAGACCATCAAGCTAAACGCTTGTGAACAGCGACTCGAGGGTTAACTCGTTACTTTGTGTAACAGTCCGATTAAAATTTTAATTGCTTCCTTAATCAAACGTGACGCTACACTAGTCACTACCGCAGCAGCAATAATGATGGCTTCAACAATACAATATTTTAACAATTTATTTTAACAATGTGAGAGACCATTGATTTCCCCCCCCCCCACTATGCAGAGTATAAATTACTACTTTATTATGCTTATTTGTAGAGGCGAGAAGCACTGCACCTGCTTTCCCAACTGCGATTCCTCATGGGCCACCCCCCCCCCCTCACCAGGATGGGGGTCTGTATCTTTACCACCCAAACGCAATTCATCATTGATTATTTAGCAAGCGCCTCCCATGCAGTAGATCTCAGGGTGCCGGAACAAAGCAGCGTTTTTTAGAGGATTTTTACTCCGGTAAGGAAGCGATTACAGACCAAACACAACGTGGAAAAACAATACGGGAGAGACAACACAAGCGGACAAGTGAGAATAAATAAAATGAAAAATATTTAACTGTGCTCAAGACCACTCTCATTGTAGGTAATTAAACAAGCCACGCCACCTGACAATAGGCTACGAATAAAAACCTAGACCTTGGGACCGTGCCAAGACTGCATCTGGGAGATAGCTGCACTAAGATTCACACGCTCAGACTATTTATTTTATCCTGGAGAAATCCGATGAGCTATGAAGCTCTTTTTTTACAGATGTCCAGCAGGGGGCGGGTCAGAACGTTACAACTACAATAAAAAAACACGATAGGAGTGCAAAGTATAGGAAAGGAAAGCAAATCACTAAAACTAAATAAATCAACTATATTTTATTTTACCAGGTAAGGCCCACTGAGTTATATAGCCCTTTTTCATAAGCGACCTGGCCACAAATAATAGCTCATTGAAGTGGCTCATCATGTGGAAATTTAAAGCAGCCAAATAATCCAAACACACGTTTAATCTCAACGCCCCGACTAAGAGGAGGATCGGACATTCCCTCTGGTGGACGCGTTAAACACTGCACTCTCTCGTGCCGCGACAAACCTGGACCCAAGTTAATTGACCACTTGTTAAGTGCGATGTTACAGGCCCTTTGATCACGACAAGGAACCAGACAAGCTGTAGGGGCTCGAAGTGACTTCGTGGAGAACAGAAAGTACGTTTATAAGACAACATGGTTTGAACGAATTGCTTGCGTTAAATTAAGAGCATTACATTCGAGTAGTTAAGTAATGATGCAGGGATTAAAATGAAAATGCCCGCTGACCTTTGTCTACCCATAAACGGGTACACCTTCAATTTTTTATTTAAAGCTTTCGTGACTGCAGGGATTCATATTCTTGGTTCTTTCGGTAAAGTCACATAGAAGGGAAACAATAAAATAATAAAAATATGAAACGATTAAATTCTCACGACGTTTCGACTGCAACACAAGCAATCATCATCATCATCAGGTGTGAAAACCACAACAAGAAAATTTGAAAAAAGTGGCGCTTTTCTTTTAACGTTAGCACCAGTTTGTTCAGATCGACAGGTTGCGTGTGGTGGGTTAGCATGTGGCTACTCCTACCTCTTCTTCCCAGATGTACAGCCAGCACCGAAGATGCGCGAGCCAAAATACCTTCTGGGAGGGGCTTTCCAGAGCGAATAACGGAGGCCCTTCCTCCAGCAGTGATCTGAGCAGCCAATTACTGGGCTGCACCTTAACCCACCCTCTTACATTACATTACTCCGTGTGGCTTGGTGACCCCACGCCTGTGGGAGACCCCCTCTGTCGCACCTTGTACTCCTTCTTCCAGGCGTCGAAGAGATCCATAGCGTAGCCGCCCTCCTCGAGCACGGCCGCGGGGTGGCGGGTTGCGCGAGCGAAGGCCAGGAGGGCCCGCAGGGCGCGCTCCGTCTCGCTGAGGGCCCACAGGCCGCGGCCCGTCGCCGGGCGCAGGTTCTCCACGGAGCCGCCCTCCTCGCTGATCAGCTCCTCCCACACGGCCGCCTGACCCTTGGCGCTGCCGCCCGTCAAAGATGGCAGGCGAAAATAGGGAGAGAGGGGGAAAACGCGAGGTCAGGGAACGATCACGCGTACGCTTGGGATCACGCGATGCATTAAAAAAATGTATGTTTTAACGTTGGCGGTAATGGTTTGGTGACGATCATGATAATTTCGGAGGCGACGATGAGACGCACGATGGGTCGTGCGTAACGACATCATGGGGAGGGGGTGGGACATTACTGCCCTGGCCAAAAAGTTGTATTAATTATCGTTAGTTTATTATCGGCTAGTTTTGGGGGATCTCTTGATCGGTGTGGTCAGATTTCAACAGGTAAAGCACCCAAAAACAACGCCAATATATTTCGATTTAAAGCTTTCGTGACTGCAGGGATTCATCTTCTTGGTTCTTTTGGTAAAGTCATGTAGAAGGGAAATAATAAAATAATAAAAATAAAACATCATAAAATAAAATATAAAATAAAATTCTCACTTTCATGTTTTATTCTTAAAGCCAATATACGCGAGAGTTTCGTTCATGTTGGAATATCGTTACGAAAGTAATCGTGATGCACCTCCATCTCTCTTCCCCCTGCCCCAACATTAGAGACAGAGAGACGGAGAGAGCTAATGTCAGAGAAATAATTTCACTCTTTGTTTGAAAGTGTTAACAAACCGCATGTGGCAATTAGTTGTTGTTGGTGGGGGCTTGTTTGGTCAGCACTGGGAGGAAGCCAATGGAGGGAATGTGCCGGCAGGACTTCCAAGGTGCAGATGGAGCGATCAGATTAGCTCGTGTACAGGTGCTCGATGAATGACAAGACCACGAGAGATGGCAATTGCTTGGGGAGGCCTTCAACCAGCAGTGGAATCATCATGGCTGCTGACGATGACGTTGAAAGTGATTTAATGTACGTTTTGTAAGAAACGTGTGTGAGAGTATTTGGTTGCTATACATTTCCACTCGATAATTCACTTTGATTTGCTATCATTTGCAGGCCATGTCGCTGCTGAAAAAGAGCTATATAGCTCAGTGGGCATTACCCTGGGTTAAATTAAAATAGTTAAATTCACCTTATAAATACCACGAAAGGAGATAAATGAGTAAAAATGGGTAGAATGATTTTTGTTTTTACCGAGTTCAAGGCATGAAGTAGAAAGGGTCAATTGAAAGTTGTCGGTGCATGTGGGGGCGTGCCTACTGGAGGCAGGAGAGGCGATGCCGCACATTTTAAGCGTGGAGTTTGTGTTTGTACAAGTGTGCCCGGGAACACGGTGCCTACTGCATCAGCATGCTTATTTCACTGCTCTCCTTTTAAGACAAACACAAGGGCACTTCCCCACCACTGTTAGGTGATGCTCTTTAGGGAAACAGAGGTAGCTTTGATTTTATCACGTTTGTTTCCGTTGGCCACTGAGATCGCGTCTGGATGTAGTAGGTAAAGGATAAAGAAAAATGAGGATGAGCAATTTTGGCCAACTGGCGATCCAATTAATTTTTTTGATTCAGGGACACAGCTTGATTCAATCATTAATTATTTAATGAACATTGTGGTGAACCTAGTGGCCTCGAGTGGTTGAATGACAAGGGGAATCTGTCTATATGTGATGCATAAGAGTCAAGAAACAATGATCACACAGGTGATTCAAAAGCAAAAAAACCTATATTATGGATGCACCATTAGCTTTGGAATCAATATCATTCGATCTATCGATATTGCATTGCATTACACAATGTCAAAAGGCTCGATTCCCATGTGTGGTTTATTTCACGTGATAAGCCACTTCGTTGAACTATCATTTGTGGCCAGGTCTCTTCTGAAAAAGAGCCGGATAGCTGTGGGCCTTACCTGACAAAGTAAATAATAGGTTTAGTTTTAGTTTAGTGTTCACGTGGTGCACACCAGCCAATGATAATACAGCACACCAGTGAAGGCATAGTATGCAATCTACAGCTGGAACGATCTTTTGATCAGGTTGGTTAATAAACTCAAAATTACAATCCATTACTTTTGTATGGTCGATTACTTGGGTCTCTTTAAAAATGAAGGCCTACACCCTTACAAGTGATGAGGCTGATGATGTCGATGATGTCATCAAGCACAGAGGTGATAGGTTTTTTCCAATTATTTTCACGCTATTATCGGATTCGTCGGGTCATCGCAATGATAATCGGTAGTGGATTACATAAACAATTAATCAGGCATCCAAGCTCTAAAGAAATCCACACATAGACATGGGCATTTGTTAAAATGTTACTCTGCCGGGGCTTTTTTCGTGAAAGTTAGAATCGTTTGCCTCGCCGCTAGAGGAAGAGCGTGTTTTTAAAAAAATATTTTAATGGAAAGTAATATGCGCACAAGGCCAGGAGACAGATCTTTTCTCATTGTACCATTAACCTGGGCTTGACTGGTCTGCACTGGGGAAAGCTTGTGGGCGACAGCATAACAACTTACTTCTGCAGGAACAGCTTGGATTCGTATTCTGTGAACAGCTCATCCGCCTTGCAGAAAGGGCACCTTTAGAAGAAAAAAAAAGAAAAACCCACAAAAGACACCAAAAAAACGGCACACGTGGTTATGAGCCAACAGCTTGGAATAACATTCTTCACAAGTTTCATGAATGCGTGCCCGTGGAAGTGATATTTCAGCTGCACTTTTAAAAGGGCAGACACACGCGCCCGCACGCGCACGGGCTGAGCTTCGTAGTGGAAATTTGACACGGCCGCGCGGAGGCGGCGACTTGATCAACATCAGATTTAAATCACGCGGACCACAATACGAATGAACCTGTCTACGCTGACACATCCAGTGAGAGTGAAGAGATGAGCCACCGACCACGAGCAGCAGTTAGACACCGCGTACTTTGCTTCGTGGCCTCCCATCCGACGACTAACAAATGTTAAACGTCAAGTGAGGTGCAAGCGGACAACCTCCACCCCCTCACCCCTCTCTTTTCCCCTTCCCACGCAGAGATACGCTTTCTCTAATTTATATAAATCAGGGGCAGAAAATGACAACACATCTCGTTCCGTCTCCTTTGAATCCAATATCGCAGGCTCAGGCGTTTGTCATCTTCATTGGGCCCTCGTGACCAAGTGTGGAAATTACAACCCAAGATAGAGAGGGGTGGGGGGGTGGGGGGTTGCAGGGGGGGGGGGGGGAGTGTGCAGGTGGGTTTGGGGGGGTGTAGACAGTCATGTGGGTTTGATGGGCCGAGGCATGGAGTGGGGGGGGGGGGGGTGCGGATGGGGAAGAGGGACGACTGTGTCCGAAAAAGGCTGTGTCCTTGAGATAAAGGGGCGTCACGCAAAATGCCACGCGCGCGAAGACACGTCTCACTTCTCTGGCATGAAAGCGGCGCCGCCGTGTGCGCCGCTTCCCGGGCTGCTGCTCGCCCGTGCAATTTGACAAAAAGCATTTTTGTTAGAAGTAAATAAATATATAAAAAGCACGGATCACTTCTCAGCCATAAAACTTCACCCCCGCCCCCCCCCCCCCCCCCCGAGGCAATTTTAATTTCAGAAACGTCAAGTCTGCCTGTGATAACCCTGGACATGGCAAACAATACCTACCTTAACCATGCAGTCAATTCCATCATAACGAGCTCCCTAATTAGCAAGATAAAAAAAAGAGCAGCAATGTTTGATTTTTTTGTTTCTGCCTATACCTAATTATAATGTTATTTTTTTTAGAAGCAGGCAGTGATAATGAGATGTCTCCAAGAATGTGAGCAGGTGCTTTCAGAAGATGCTCATTACTGCTCGCGCGGGAGTGCAGCAATATTCACACGCTAAAGTTTCCGCACCTGCTCAGAATCAGAATCTTAATTTAGATTGCAGGAGGAATCCGATGAGACGTGAAGCTCTTTTTCACAGATGTCCAGTAGGGGTGGGTTAGAATGTTATAGCAACAAACAATGAAAACGATAGGTGTGCAAAGTATAGGGACGTTAAACTAATCACAAAAATGTAAATACACTAAGCTGAGCTAATAGCTTCATTTTCAGAAGCGAGCTGGCCACAAATGATAGCTCAACTAAGTGGCTGATCACGTGGACGTTCATAACAGCTAATTAATCTAAATAATCTAAACGCATGTTGATCCTAAATGTGTGAGGGAAAAACCGGAGGACCCGGAGAAAAACTCCACGTGACCACGGGGAGAACATGCAAACTCAAAATATATAGGTGTCATGGTCAGGATCGAACACCCGACCTCCTGTATACCAAGCAAGGAATAAAACACTACACCACCATGGTGCCCCTTAAATAAAACAGTTCTAAATAAAGTATGTAAGTTCAAACCACTAACAAGGCAACTGCCTGCACATGCGGGTTGTGTCTGTAGCCACTCCGTTCCAGGGGCCACGGTGCAGGATTGAGGATGCACAAAGGAGAGATGGGGCAATGCCCCTCCGATTTATGCAGTTGGCTACGTCAGGTGCGAAAGAACTTCAACATATGTGTATACATACAACGTAGAAGGTTGCACATAGAAGACCTGATTATGCAGGCAGTGACGAGAAGGAAACTGGCACTGTTTGGACACACGTGTAGGATGGGCAACAACAGGAAAATGTAAAGTGTCCTGTTTGGGAAATAGTAACGAACCGGAAAGAGAGGAAGACCTAACATAGAATGGTTTGACGACATCAGAGATTGGTGCCAGGAAGATGCAGCCACTACTTGAGCATATTGGCACAAGACAGAGAAAAGTGGAAACAAATTATCAAATGTGTAGTTGGACACCTATGGGCTATCTGCCCATGGATGATGATGCATACATACATACAAAGCCTCACTTACCAACAAGATCACACAGACAATAATTATGTTGTCATCCACAGCATCATATACATGGCAACTGCACACACTGATAATAATGAGGGGTGGAGTGGCTAGGGTACTGTGCTTATGAACGAAGTCAACCGAATTCAATTCCCAGTCTTGAATGACATCCAAACTGCTCCCGGGCACCCCCTTCAACACAACGCCTTCAATCAGCAATGGGCTGACATTATGTTACGCTAACAACAAACACTGATGTGGCCACGATGGCGAGATTAAGCTCTTTGTCAAACAATTCCCACAATAAAGGGAACAGCACTTTGCATTGACAAAGACAAATATCTCCGTATAGCCTTAAAAAGAGTGCTGAGGCAAGTGCTTGAGGATCTACAAAGGCCAGGACTGCGGAAGAGTAGGTCGATAGCATTATGCCTGACCACCGTTGTCTTCCCAGTGCTCATGTTTACACACGGCAAAAAGTACTAATTTGAGGCTAATTCCATCGTGGGCGATAGCCAATCACGTTTAGCCAAGGCCAGGAATTCTATGTATGTCGAACTTCTTTTGCAACGTACGTAGCCAACATTGCTAATCGGAGGTGTGCGTAGGAAGGACATCTAAACAGAAAAAGCAGTTAAAACGGAATGAGTTTCCAATCTAGATTTAAAACTGCATAGCTCCACCGGCTTCCTAATGCTGGAAGACCTCGGTTCGTAGGGATTTGAGCGCATTGTGCCAACTTACTCCCCTTCTGCTCCTCACATGGCATGAAATCGCAAGACGGCTCCCTATGCGATAAAACACTCAACACGTTCGTCAATAACACTCCCGTTGACAGATGCGTAGAGTTTATTGTTGTTTGTGCTTTCGCACCAATGCCAATGCACCAAACGCAAATAAACTGTTTTCACTCTCCGTTAACATCATGAGGCGGCTGCGTGGCCAGGAATCAAACTCAGGTTGCGGGTTTTGTCACGCGGCATGCTAGCCACGAGGCCAGTGCACTGGAATACAAACACAACCCACCAAAAGCATCCAGGCAACAACAACTTCGCTTCCCTGTGATCGCCCCCGTGATTCGTGGATCAAACCAAACAAATCACTCGAGATGCCGGTGTACGGCAGCAAAAGGAGCTCATGCGAATTCTGTCGCAAGAGGTCACACGTTTGGCTCAACGGTCCTCCGTTGACTATGCGTATGTATGTAGATACATAGCTCCAGTGGCTTGATAATGAGGTGGTGATGGTTATGATGAGGTAGGTGGTGATGATGATGATGAGATGGTAAATGGTCCATATGTATGTTGAACTTTCGCATCGTACGTAGCCAACCTTGCTAACCGGAGGTGTGCGTGACGAACAAACGAAACGACAACAAACTTCGACGAGCTCTCGGCCGGTGGCGAGCAACGGACAGCGAACCTCTGCCGCCGCCGATATCGCCGACCGACCGGCACTCACGAGTTGCGGGGCAGGCGCTGAGCGCGGAGGTGGCAGACGGTGGCGGAGAGCACGAGTCGCGGCGAGGGCGTGGCTTCCAGCCCGCGCACGGCGGAGCGCACCGCCTCCCGCGCCGAGCGCAGCGCGTCCAGCTGCCCCGACAGCAGCAGCTGCAGCCCCCGTGCATCCCGGAACCTGGGGCAATGCACGCGCGCACGCACGTAATCGTCACGTTGGGCGCGTGCACACTGAACTCCTTTTCACATGCACCGTAGGTTAGCAAATCATGCTCGTCGAGAGTGTGAAAAAAAAATAAGTTTTCAACCTAGATTTAAAAGTGCATAGCTTCAGTGGCTTGATGATGAGGTGGTGATGATGATGATGAGGTGGTGGTGATGGTATGTTGAACTTCTTTCACACTGGACGTAGCCAACCATGCAAATCGGGAGGTGAGGGGGAAGGACAACAAACTAAACGCAAAAATTCGTTCTAAAGAAATTAGTTTGCAATCGCAATTTATAACTGCGTAGCTCCAGTGGCTTCCTAATATCGGAAGAGCGTTCCAGACGGCCGCAGAAGAGCATCTGAAAGCGCGCAAAGCGGTGGACGTCTTTGCTCGATGGCCAGCCAAAAAACGCAGCTGCGAGCGATGACCGGAGTTTGTGTGATGGTGGAGGACGTCAAGGATGCATCCTCGCGCCTGCGCTCTTTTCTCGAGCGATCGACCGGATCGTGCGTGCGCTTAACAGGGTTTGGGAGGAGCGACGCTCACGACAATGACAAGAACAGCGTCGAGCGGCCAAAATGCAGCAAGTTGGGGAACACAGGTTGGGCATCTGCCAGTCATCTGCCAGTCATCCCGTGAAAACTTGAGTCTGTTATGTGATGTCCTGCCAGCAAGCCTAGGACACTTTAATTTAAAACCTCATAATGCACCTAGCCTGAACCAGAATACTTATACTGGAGGAATCTGATGAGCTATAAAGCTCTTTTTCACAGATGTCTAGTAGAGGCGGGTAAGAACGTTACAACAATGCAAGCACATGATAAGTGCTGTTGTAAACGCAATGGCCACTTAGTAGTGAATGGCAGATGTTGCTGTTGCTGCTGCTGCTGCGTGTGCTTAACAAGTGTGGAGCCACGTATCCAGCCAGGAGGCTCAGATGTTGCAATGGCGAGATCCTAGGTTCATGGCTTTCTCCTCACTTGTCCGCCATGGAGTAGGCGTGCGGCATGTGCTTGGTGTTGGAAGACAGCTCGTTCTGCACGCGCGACAGCAGCTCCTCCTCCTGTCCCGAGCGCAGCGCGTGCGCTATCACGTCCAGCCACCACACGCCCCCCGCCGCGCCGCCGTTCACCTGCGCGCACGGGCCAAACCGCGACGTGCCGTGCGGCCGGGATAGTATCGTAGGGCGGATGGCTGCATCAGCGATTACGCACCGCGACAGGCACGTTTTTGTATGTGTGCGTATATATATGTTGCATGCATGTTGAGCTTCTTTCGCACCGTACGTAGCCAACTGTGCTCGACCCAGGGAAAAGGCCCCGGACCGGACCGGTTCATATATTGGTCGGTGATGTTTATGGCGAGCAAGAATTGAACGCAGGTTGACCGGCTAGTAGTGCTGTGTGCTAATCATTTTGCTACTGCCCCCCCCCAGATTGTGTACAAAGGACCCCCCTTAGCAGTAAGTTGGGGAAAGAGTTGTCATGGAAACCTATGAAGGCCAACACATCCCACACCTGAGATTAGCACGGTTGAGCTTCAACACACACACATACATAAGTGGCCAGCACCACGTCCAGCCGCCTTTGTCTCCCCAGTGCTGATGTTTACACACCACACCAGGTACTCGTTTAATGCTGAGTGGTGGGCCCAAGACTGGTTCAGATATTCTACCCCTGATGTTGACGGTGAGCAGGAACCAAACTCAGGTTGACTGGATTCGGAGCACATAGCACTAACCATTATTGCTACCACCCCCCACAAAGACAAAGATCCCCCGTATAGCCTTCACAGACCGTTGGGGCAAGTGCTGTTATTGAGCACCCATGAATGTCGGCAAAGGCACATGAGGGGGTGGGTGGCCAACACCACCCCTGGCCGCCTTTGTCTCCCAGCGGTGATGTTTACACACCACACCAGGTACTCATTTGAGGCCGAGTCGGCTGAGTGGAGGCCCAGGACCGATTTAGATAATAGTCACTGGTGTTGGCCGTGAGCAGCAATCGAAATCGGGATGCCAAGTTTGTAGCGCAGCGTGCTAACCGCTGCACTACCCCCCACATGCACAGACACACACACACAAGTACATGCTCGCCAACAAGCGCGCCATATAGTTCGAGTAATAGTTGCAATAACAGCCCCGACTCTTCTCCATTACGAAAATAAAAACGAGTATGATATACAGACCCAAGACGTGAATTAAATAGGCATTTACTGCCACGCTCCTGTGAAGTCTGTGCGGTAAGCCATGCAAAGCACTTAGCTTCGCACTCAAAACGAAATGTAACGTGGCAAATCCCTGCATATAACAACCCACTGGCAGCCCATGAATTAGGCCGGTTTTATAGACACATTCTGTCCATACACATGAGCTGAAATATGGAAGGAAAAAAAAGTTGAATTCGTGTGATCGACGTGTATTATAAGCAGGCAGTCACAGTTTAGATGTGCTCTGACCCACGTGCTCTCGGTGTACAAAAAGTAAGACAAGCGTTTCACTGTAAAAAATTCACGGTCGGTACTTCCAAGTGCCTGTGACCAAATCAGCCAGAGGCATCCGATCCCAAAATATCTCGACAAATCTCGGAAGCTAAGCAGGTAGAAACTGGATAGCCCTTGGATGGGTGACCACCGTGCATAAAATGTGCGTTTAGATTATTCAGATTTATTTTGCCGCTATACATTTCCACACGATGAGCCACTTCGTTGAGCTATCATTTGTGGCGAGGTCGTTTCTGAAAAAAACAAGCTAATAGCTCAGTGGATTTTACATCTCTAGTGCTTTGCTTACCTTTCCTATATAGGCTGCTGCAGTGGCACGTTTGCGTGCAGCGGTGGGCAGTGGCGTAGTGTGGGTTGGCACGGGCCCTGGCACAAGGAACGAAACAGGGGCCCCCCTCCCCATGTACAAAATTCTCCCCCCCCCCCCGTCCATTTGTAGCCGGCGTCTGGGTCCCGCCGGCTCGCAGGGGCGCGGGTGCAGTTGCATCGTCTGCGCATTCGATAACCACCCCGCCTGATACCCCTGTGTGGCGTGTCGCCAGCGAGGGCGGGGGGGAGGGAGGGAGGAAAGCTCACCTTGTGTGCGGTGTCTCGGATAGTGACGGCGACGGGCTGCAGGGCGGCGTGAGCTTCCCGCACCTCCGCTTCGTACTTGCTCATGTAGCGGTGCCTCAGCTGCTCCGCCTGCAACCGCATAGCACATGCGCACGCATGCACGCACGGTGTCGTTGATTACAGGCAGGTCCGATGTTAACACACAAGCGCGCCACAGTTAACACGCGTGTTTTTTTTCCCGTGAATGCACAAGTTTTTCACGTGCTAAACACTTTTCTATTACTTTTCCCCCAAATGTTATTCCTATTGACATTGCGTCACAAGGACAATAATCCATCCGGAAGTCTTGCTGAGCAGTGATAAAAAAAATAATAAGAGTAATGACAAGAGTCATTTTCATTTAAAATCTAAATACTAAAAGCATCTCGAGACGTTGCATAGGGCAACCATATTAACGTTAATGGCGTGCCAAAAAAAAGTACACGAGTTTGGCACACTGAGCCACGGGAGGCGTGACGATTATGATGGAAGCGTCGGGGTAAAGAGGGAAGAACGTCATTAGCAAAGTAACCCGCAGCAAACTAATCGACCCTGCCTATCGGTCAGTATTCACAGAAAGGCTTTGACGCTGCACGTGGCCAAGCCCAAGCGGTCGCCACACTGCCGCGTACACGGCGGTGGCACGCGTACGCACGGTCCAGCTCCGTGCCGCCCGTCTACCCATAGCCGTGCGATTGGATGCAGTCCGCGTGCGTGTGCGCAGACACACACACCGGTCATCGTCAGATTACGCCATATTTGCTCTCACTCCCCGGACGATGCCAGGGCCGGTGAATCCCCAAAGCTCTGCACAGAGATGTAAGGACTCGTGATAAAAATATCAAACCCCCTGCCAAAAATACTAAGTGGCTCTCCCTCCAAGAAAATGGATCTACAACCGCCCAACCCAAATAGAAAGAGGACCTTGAAAAATAGTATTCTTGTTTCAGAGGTTTGCGGTTCGAGCCGAGTGGTCGCCCCGGTTAACACTACGGAAGTGTGAACTGAAAAAAAAAGCGAGCGGCCTTCTGCTTCACGTTGAGCGCTAACAAAAATCCCGCGGTGTAATTTGAAGAACGGTAGGCCACGTGTGCCGGCGTCACCAAGCAAATTCGGCAATTTTTTTTAAATTGCGCGCAAGTTACTTCACTGGGTAAAGCCACACAGCACTCTCACTTCTTACTGGGAAACTACTGCAGACTAGCATCACCTGTGATACATGGCGATTCTGTTACTGCCTTGCGCTCTAAGAATGGCACACATGCCGAATGTACTCACGATTTGATTCGACTTCAGAGGAACACAAGATACTAGTTGAGCCGACATGATTACTTCGACTAAAAATTGTAATCCACTACTTTTTTTGTGGTAAATTACTTAGGCATGTTAGAGTGAAAGATTAGTTCAGGACTTAAGTAATTACTTTAAAAATGGGAGAGCCCGGCTCTTGATGCAAGTCTCTGGTACTCTGTGTTTTTCGGTAAAGTCACGTAGGTAAAAAATAAATAAAATAAAAAATAAATTAAATCACGACGTTTGGGGCGCAACACAAGCGTAAGGACGTAAGGACGCTTGTGTTGCGCCCGAAATGTCGTGATTTAAATTTCGATTTAAAGCTTTCGTGACTGCAAGGATTAATCTTCTTTGGTTCTTTCGGTAAAGTCACGTAGAATGAGAATAAAATAATAAAATAACACAATAAAATTCTCACGGCGTTTTGGCCACAACGCAAGCGGCCGTCTTCAGGTGAAAGGTACAGACCTGTCGGGGCGACAGAGCTTCAATGAACGATGTTAAGATTCGTAGCGACTTTTAAAGTGATTCACCTTCATAAAGGGGTTTACAAGCTAATCCCTCAGCTATTTGATATGTAAACCCCTTTGTCAAGGTGCCTCACTTTAAAAGTCGCTACGAATCTTAACATCGTTCATTGAAGCTCTGTCGTCCCGACAGGTCTGTACCTTTTACCTGAAGACGGCCGCTTGCCTTGTGGCCGAAAAGTCGTGATAATTTTATTGTGTTATTTTATTATTTTATTCTCATTCTACGTGACTTTACCGAAAGAACCAAAGAAGATGTCATGATTTAATTTATTTTTTCATTTATTTTATTTTATTTATTTTTTACCTACGTGACTTTACCGGAAAAAAAGAGTCTGAATCCTTGCAGTCACGAAAGCTTCAAATCTAGAAGTCGCTGGTAGTTAGCTTTCGGCTCGCGTCCATGTTGCACTCCACAGGAGATTTATGACTTAGTTCACTGATGGGTTATTGACATTCCGATTTGATCATTTATTGACAAGCAAACCTACAAATCATATATTGCAGAAATATGAAAATCACAGTGACGATATCAGCTAGTGTGTGAACGTGGATTATTAGTGTGAACGTGGATTATTAATTAGATTGCAGGATCGTCGAAGATGGTGCATTTAACAAAAGGATGATGAGGACGATGATGTATTTCATTTAATGTTTTCCCAACGTGAATATTGAACAGAACTAGTATGAAAGTTAAGAGGTAGCCAATATCTTTAGCAAGGATGCTATGAGCACACAAAACTTATACTTCGCTTTTATAATTAATATTTTGATCAATACAGGCTCAACTTTGGCTGTTCAGACGTAGCGAGAGATTGGTAGTCATGAGCTCCGTAATGGATGACGCAATGTTGAAGAACATTTCACGGCTGGCTGAGCATTTGTCTGGACGTTTTTGAAGAAAAGTTGATAATAGCCAAGCTCTTAACCCTTTCATGAAGTATTTCCATGGTGGTGGACTCTTAATATATTATTAAGAGTTATATTATTAAGAGTGCTATGAAATGATACGATCAATCTACCACATCTATTGAGGTGGTGGTGGGGGGGTCGTATAATTAATAAAATAACATCAAAAGAAATAACAAAATTGCTTTTAATAATTTACACACGAATGTGTGAAACAATAATCTAGCGATCTTCGCAAATGCTCAAAATTGTCACGTACGAGAATGCTTAATATTTAGTGGGCTTAAATTATGTATTAACAATATTCTTGGTTCTTTCGAACATAGATGGACTCGTCCATCTGAATAACTGCCAAATTGCTCTCCATGGTGCTAACGTAAAAAAAAACCCGCCACTTTTTCACATTTTCTTGTTGTGGTTTTCACACCTAATGATGATTGCTTGTGTTGTAGTCGAAACGTCCTGAGAATTTTATTGTTTTATATTTTTATTATTTTATTGTTTCCTTTCTATGTGACTCTACCGAAAGAACCAAGAATATGAATCCCTGCAGTCACGAAAGCTTTAAATCAAAATATGTATTGAGAAGCGAGAATGAGAGTTGCACTGGTTTTACTCTTTACCCAGCTTTTACCCACAGCGAGGCCTCGAGAAAGGGAAGGTATTATTAAACCGATCTGTATTCACACCAACACAAAAAACTAAGCGGTCCTATTCCTCTGCACGACACTGCACACATTCAGGACCAAAACCCGAGCCTCTCTCTCTCGATGGTCTATGAAATATTAAGCAGGGCCAGTGTGATCAGAGTTATTCCTGAAATACTTTTAACAGCACGCCTTTAACGCCAGCCAGACTGCCATCCGTTACATTTCATTTCTACGCTGTTAAAGTTTTAACGAGGTTAGACGCCGGACCACCCCCAAGTTAAATCCATCACTGTCCCCCATGTGGAATGCAAAGTGACTTTGGTTCACAGCCCAAAGAACAGCACACACAGCTTCACTGCAGCAGCAGCAGCAGGAAGTGTGGGGCTATTCCATGGTGCAATTTCATTTGCGTTTCTCCATGTAAGTCACATCTAAAGACAATTTTTATTTTTAACATATCATTTCACGCTTTCCGAATGTATATAGTCAAACTCTTCTAATCCGTGACATTACCTGACGTTATCCATGGGGCCTATAGGGTCCGTAAAAACATTATTATAGTAGTAATTATATTATTTTCTGCATCTCTCTGCTTCCAATGATCTGTGGTAATCTGCATTATTTTGCAAATAAGTCGAGTAAATTCACAGCAGACATGGCAGATACGAGGTTCTGCGATCATTGTCCAACCCACATCCAGGGCCCGGATTAAGATGTTGTAGGTCCCTGGGCTACAGGCACTGTGAGGCCCCCAGCAATATTTTCGAGAAGGAAAACAAAGTTAAAGAAAAATACAATTTATTTTTACAAGGCTAACAACAAATAAAATTCAGTATTAAAAATTCAGCTGGCGGAGGCCCCTGGGCCGCAGCCCCTAAAGCCCCGTGCCTTCATCCGGCCCTGCCCACATCACCGCAGATAAGGGGCGTTCTACCGTAGGTTTAGGAGGAGTTGGGAGGCGTGGCGGTTAGCGCAAACTGCCGTGAAGCTAACGACGCAAGTTAAATTGATGGCCACGGCTAACGTGATGAGTGACGACTGAACCGGAGGGGCAGCGTCCGCCACTTCACTATAACCCGCACAGACCAGCGTGAAGGGTGGTCAAACCATGCCCACGACCACTAAAGCGTTGGGGGAGGCCTTCATCCAGCAGTGTACCGGCAAAGGGCTGCAAATTATTACTAAATCTAATCGATATAAAGTATGCTTGTTAAATCAATTCATAGTAGTAAACTTGCACCATATTTCTCCTGTCTTTGTAATCTGGTTTTTGTTATGAACAGTTTTGTCTGAAGGGTTTTTGTAGTTTATATGTTTATGATATATAGTGCAAAACGCCTCAGAGAAAACTTGTTTTGAAAGGCACTCTACACGCCTGACATTACCCAAGTCATGAGGATTATAAACACAACTTTCCCTGCAGGGTCCACAGGGACGAGGCCAGCTTTTTGAAAGTCTGTAAAGGGTCACACTGTAACTACCTTGTGCTGAACCCAGCGGCTCGCGGGATAAGTCTTTAAAATTGATGTGTGGGACCAAGTCCCTAAATGTCTTTGCTCTGACCACGTGCTCTGAACCTATTGTCTGCTCTACGAAGCAACGTAATTGACTGGCAAACCTACAACGAGGTCCGGTTGCTCTATGCTTTTGTGCCAACGTCCCCAACACAATGTTTCCCCGTGTTCATGGGAGAGAAAAAAAATCTCAAATTATTTCAGTGCGCCCGCAGGTCTGATGACGGTTCCGCCTGTGCAGAACATCAGATCTACCACGCGAGAGTGTCGCAGCCTCCGCAACGTGTCTCAGAGTGGCTAGATCCGACGGGTTGTGGGGGTGTTACCCACCGCCACCACCACCACCACCAGGAGTGCGGGCCGATAAAAGGCAAGAACTCACAATGCACTGGCGTCTTTCAGTGTTTGTTGCTGCCGCTGTTGCTGTTAATGTTGAAATTTACGGTAGAAATAGGGTTAGGCCTCAGAGCGCAGCGTGTGAGCCATCCTCGTTTGTCACTTGTCATCACGACCGTCATCATCACCATTAATACCGTCATCACCATCCCCACCGTCATCACCGTCACCAATGTCATCACCATCAATACCATCATTACCATCATTACCAACGTCTTCACCATCACCACCATCATCACCATCACTGCCATCACCACCATCATCATCACTATCACTATTACAGGAGGCCTCGTTCTCACCGGGCCAGCACGGCACCCGAACCAGTCGGTTCGGTGTCCAACGATTCCCACAGCCCCCCCCCCCACCCCCCAAAGTCTGTGGGGATCGGGAGGGGCGTGGCAATGCTAGCAGATTCAAACACTAAAGAAAAAACCTGCCATTACAAACGCAACGGCAATGCTATCGAGTGTTGATGCTAAAGTGGCCAAAATCATTACGTAATACGATTCAGTGTGATAATACTATTATAATACTAGTCTAATGATCTATAATACTATAAGGGTAAAATAATGCGAAATATTTTCATTTCCACAAAGTTACAAGTATATCTAATCCATCTGTACCTTGTTACAAAGCTATCGCTTGATCATTCACTATCACTGGGTTATGATCTGAACGGTCAAACAATCCCCATGACTTGCACGGCGGGAGAGGCCTTTACCGAGCAAGCGACCGACAATGGGCGGTCGATTATTATGACTGTTACTCACAGCTTATTATTGGTGTTACTCATTATTTCGGGATGCACCCACAGTGGGTTAATGGTGAGTGCACTGGGGATGCGATCCAGGAGTCGCCGGTTGGTACGCTCAGCGCATCAGTTGAAACGATGGCTGCACATTACTTAAAACCCTCCGCGCATCTATCCACCAGGCAGTGTAAATGCGTACACCAGTTAGCCGAACCACAGGTATAACGTGGTGGGGTGAAATGTGAATACGCCAACCTCAACGGAGAAATTAAAAAGTACGCCGAAATAACCTTCCATGGCGGCTTCTCTATAGCTACGGCTATTGTAGACCCCGTTCTGCCAGCAAGTTCATTGTGCAATGTTAATGTGCCATTTTGTTGAGGAACTACTTACCGTGCTGTGTTTTCTTTGTGTGGTCTGGGACTGGTTTGTTGTTTTTTTGCTGCCTTTCCCAAGCTTGGTGAACAAAACGTATATTTAATATTTTTGTTAACTGATATTTAGTGACTTGCGTACCTTTTTCAATATTTTGCACCCTTATCGCTTTTTTGCATTCTTTGCTGCTGTAACTTGCTGACCCCGTGGCCATACTGTACATCTGTGAAAAAGAGCTTTGCAGCTCATCAGATTCGATCCGTCCAAATAGGGATTCTGATTCCGGAAGTGGTGCGAGCAGGTAATTGCAGGGCTGCACCTTCAGCTTCTTTGCCTCCAAAAGAGCGAGGGGGGGGGGGGTGGGGGGATTGATGGCGACGCTGTGGATCGCACAAACCTCTTCCTGCAGCCGATCGTCCCTCAGCGTGGGCGCGATGCCGGCGCGATGCCGGCCCAGGAGTTCGATGAGGTTGTGCGTGGCGTGCAGCCTCTGTCATCCACAAACAACAGCGACAACTGCAACGTCAGCAAGCAGCAAGACTGCATCAGCAACACCGGCCTTGCTCGGTTAAACATAACAAGCGGTCAAAGCAACACACGCACTCCCAATGCCATTCAAACTTTTTTTGATGATGCATTTTTTTATATTGTTTTTTTTTTACTGTTCCCATGTGGGGAGGAAAAAAATTAATTACTTTGTGTTAACTGCTCGCTGAAAAACCTATTTGTCAATAATCCGGGAACAGAAAGTGTAACTTTGAGGTAGAACACATGAAGCGCACATTATTCGGAACGCTCGGGGCAAGTGAAGTGTGTGCGGTAATGGCAAGTTAATCTAAACATCAGGAGGTGACTCGCCTGCAGAGAGTCCGTCTTGAGTTTTTCTTTGTGTTCCTCGGAGGACTGGAGCACCTCTCTATACTTGTCGACGGCATCCACAATCTCCCCTAGTGCGTGAACAATTGTGTACGGCACACAGCGTCGTTAAAAAGGACCTTTCCAGGTCATGTGTCGACCTGGACAAGGCCACTCCATCACCCCCCGTCACCCCACGTGCAACCGTTACACCCCCCACCTCACCCCCCCGAGGGCTTTTCTACCAAAGAAGGAGTGTATCAGGAATTTGACCACTCATTACTTATCTACGAGCTTGTAATTTGTAACAGCACGGTTGGCTACATATACGGCGCGAAAAAACAGACATACCTATCTTTAAAGCTATAGAACCCTTTTTGCCAGTATCGAAAATTATAAAAAAATATATGAATAGGATTTACCCTTTTTTGCCAATAAAACAGGTGTCAAACATGCAAACAAATGCTAACATGTTCGCATGTTTTGCCACAAGTATGTGTGGTTAGTGCAGACCTGATGTCTTGCAAAAGGTATCTGTTTGGTGTTTGAACATCTTAACACCTATTTTATGTTCAGAAAGGGTGAAACTTATTCATACCTATCTTTAAATTTACCAAAGATCTACCAATGCAGTACTGCCATCTAAATGAACTCTAACCTGGCTACAAGTCCAGAAATGACTGCAGAATCCAGTGTATGCCTATATCATTGGAACCCCGAGTTCGATTCCCAGCCACAGCTATCATCGGCGGCGAGTGATATCAGAACTGCTTCTGGCCTGCCCTAGGTTGACTCGGTCAGAAATGAGTACCTGGTGGGGTGAGCACTGGGGAAAGAAATTAGGCTGGGGAAAGGTCCTGACCACACCACACCATATGTGGGCCAATATAGCCTTAAGTACTTAGTAACAACACTTGCCCCAACAATCTACAGGGGTTATGCACAAAATTTGTATTTATATGGTCACATATACATGTATTTAACGATGTACACACACACACTTGGGTTTAGCCAGATTTCGATCAGCTTTAGTGTCACATTTTACAGAAGGTGATTAATCACTTGTTGTGATCGCATTTAGATTCTGTGTATAAAACCAAACTGCATTGAATTGTGTATCCGGCACGACTGCCTATATTTATTATCTTATTCTACATCATATGTATAGAGCGCCTTAGCTCAAGGGCGCTTTACATATCTTTAGAGAGGCGGTAAACAAATCAAGTGATTTAGATAGCAGGGGTAGTACAGGGCCCGAGCAATCTGTGAATGTGAAAGAGGGCACGAGGGACATCTCGGAAAGGCAAGGGAAGGACGGGAAGGAGTTGAGGGGCGAGGGGTGGGAAGGGGTGAGGCTTTGAGGGAGGAACACAAGGAGGTTAAGGAGGGGGACTGATTAATGTACAGGGAAAGTTTATTCCTGCAGAGGGGTGCAAGGTGGGGGAAGAACTGAAAACAAAATTGGACAGAGAGAGAAGATAGGAAACAAAGAAGACGAGAGGGGGGTATAGGATAGGAGAAAGGCAAGATAAGGTCGGGGAAGGCAATGGAGAGATTTAAAAACCAGTGTGAGGTGTTTGAAAAGACAGCGGTGTAGTAACCGGCATCTGAAGGATGAGAGGCGAAGTGTGAGAATTAAATGGGATATTGAAAAAACACGCGCAGAAGCATATTTAAATTGTCTGAGGGGAGTGACAGCGTGGGCAGGGAGACCAAGAAGAAGAGAACACACACGGGTTAAATACATGATTCGAACTGAAAAGAAAAGAGGGCGTGGGCAGGACACTTCAAGGCGAGAATAATGTCCAATGGTCAAAAGTATTGACAGAGCAGCAGCCAAGGAATGGAACGCGTCCACGACGATTCCCACCGTGGGAGATGGAGCAATAAAATCAACTCGAGGAACAGTGCTGGGTGGCCTGGATATGGCCTTCATCCATCAGTAGATCGATCATGGCCAATGACAGTGACATAACAAAGGTTTCTTTTAGTTTTTGTTAGATCGTGTAAATATAAATGTGTCATTAACCAACCACCACCCGACAGCCGAATGTTGAGATTGGTCACGTAAACATAATGTGCCAATGAGTTACTACTTTAGCACACCGGTGTGCTGGAGAGTAAATCCATATTTACAATTTGAGTACGACGTTTCGCTGATGATTACAACCAGCTTCATCAGGCGATTTGCCCGAATTGTGAAGAAGTCTTCACATTTCGGTCGTAAATAAAAACTGCATTATGAATAATATTGGTCGCGCGAAATCCTACGCCGTTCAAACGACGGTGACGACGGGCGCATTACCAAGACGCACGCTTCTCGTCACGTGCGTCGGCGGCCCCTTGACGATTCAAACAGAGGGGGTGGGGGGGGGGGGGGAGGGGTGTGACGGGGGGGGGGGGGGGGGGGGGGGGGTGGAGGTGAGAATTAAAGCTGGAGCGGCACGAAACGGCGCCATCGCACCGTTAATGATGTGGATGCCGGCCAGGCCGTTGAGAGCGCACACCAGCTGGCGGTGCGCTTCCTCGCACTCCGTCTTGCACTTCCTCTGCAGCGAGCACAGCAGCTCCTCCATGGTCATCGTGCTGCGAGCGCGCACAATCACAGCCCGGGGAGCCCTTGGTATCCGCTCACAATCACCCTCGCAGTTAACCCGTGGGTTGCGCGCTCGCCCACGCTTGTTCATGGGTTGCGCGCGCACATGCGTGGGTTGCGCAACACACCTGTGAGCGTGCTTGAGTGGGTGTGAGCATGCATGCGTGCTTGTGCGTGTGTGTGTGTGCTGGGGAGCGGTAGCACAGCGGTTAGTTGGATTACCGCATCCCGAACAACGAACGGTGGCCTCGCCGAGGTTGACTAAGCGTTAAATGAGAATCGTTGCAGCGTGTAAACATCAGCACACAGGAGACAAAAGCGGCCGGGCGTGGTGTCGCCCTCCAACCTTGTGTGCCGTGCTGGCCTTAATAGGTGCTCGCGCGCAACACTTGCACCAACAGTCTGTTAAAGGCTATACGGTGGAGTCTTTGTCTTTCTTGTCAGTTTTAAGCGTGTGTGTGTGTGTGGTCTACACCCTTGCCCAGCCGACCACTTGCTCTCTCCCAGAGGGCGTGCTGCCCCAATGATCGAACATTTGCTCCCACTACTTTAATTCATGGACAAGACACCACTCCGTCACGCGGCATCTCTTTCCCGAAGCGGCTCACGTCAATGGAAATATGAATAGTGCACGCACAGCCCTTTTGTCAATCTACTGCACAACCCGAGGGGCTGTTCGCATTCGCGCAAATTAATCACCGCGGCGATTACCTTGCGGGCGAGCCAGCGTGTGCGTTCCTCACCCTGTGCTGTCCCACGTGACCCTCCTCACCCCCACCCACCAAACTCGCTCGCACAGCGTGCTACCGAGTGATCAAACATTCGCTACCGAGTGGTCAAACATTCGCTACCGCTGCGTTATTTCACGGACATCGCATCGCTTCAGGACGTGGAATTACTTGCGTAGGGTAATTAACGTGCATGGTCATATTTACAGCAGTGAATGTATACTTGTCCTCGATTACCGCATTACATTGGCAGGAGCACTCACTCCATTTAAACTATGGAGGCATGTCAACCACAACAGTGAAGATGTTACACAAACTCAGTACGATGACCACCAACGTTAGTGCGTGTGTAAACATCTACCTGATATGGGCCTCAACATGCTGCGCAGGTCGTAGGGGCTCTTTGACAATACTTTACTACACTGGTCAGTGTGCATTGGTGAAGGTGGGGTGCCGCAGATGTGGGTCCAAGCAAGTACAATACAACAATGGATTTGTCTGAATTGCCCTCTGGTGCCTTTAATGGCGTAGGCCTTCATCCAGCATTGGATAGCCCAAGGCTAACAATGATAGATGATATTAAGATGAGCACAGATAATATTGTTACATTATGCATTTCATCAGTGTATGCTGTAAGGTTTTATATTACAACACTGGCAAAACTTATCCATCTCACCCTGGCAGAGGTGCAGCTGTTATTAGCATCCACATAATGAGAACTCATTGCTGTATCTACATACATATATGTGAAAAAATGTTTTAGGCCCTTCGCCTCTTGGCTTTCCAAACCAAAATAATCCATCAGCACTTGTTAAAGGAAACTCTGGATCCGTTTATAATAAGGCTCGTTAACACATTCTACTGGGTTATCAGATTTCATTAGCAAGCGCACTCAGTATAAACTCTGGGGCCCTGTTCAACACAAACTAAAATTGTGTATACAAACTCATTACATTTTGCTGTAGAACATTATGGTTAAGAGCCTATGTTGGTGTTATGGTTGCACTTGTTTACCCAGCAAAGCCTCAATTATTTTCAGAAGGGTCCTGCCAGGACTTTCTCAGTAGGGTGGTCATGTTGCTGCTCTGTGTGATCCCAATAAAGTACTTTGCGGATCATTGTTCAGCATTGGGATGTTTGTCAAATTCCAGTTACATTGTATATATTTTTTGTAGCTATGGGAGGAAACCGGAGAACTCATTTTAATCCCATAGCTACAACAAAATAAGAGCGACGATAAACATAGGATGCCAAGCCCCCTATTCGCTCCTTTCACACCGATGTGCTGACCTCTTCTGCAGCGGCAGGAACTCTCCACGCACCACCTGGGGGTGGCAGCACGCCTGGCGTAGCCGCAGCAGCGGGGTCAGCAAACTGGACACGGTGCGCCGCTCCAGGGCGCTCAGCCGCACCGACCAGTCCGGCAGCTTGCGCAGCTTGACCAGAGCATCCTGGGAGATTGGTAAAACATAAATGAATAAAGACGTATCAAAGTCGGGTCTGCAGCCAGAAAATTCACGATCACGTGGGGGTACTGTGATGTCAACACTTACAGCTGGCATTATTGCAATACTTTAGCAAGGTTCATAGAGCCAGACTGAGAATGCAGCTGCTAGGGTCCCAACCCGATTATTCATTTAGAACAAATTACCCCTGTTCTTGCATAATTTCACTGGTTGCAAACCATGACAAATGAAAAAAAAAAACTCTCCGATGTGCGACAAAGATCATCCAGAACAGACCATACACCATATAACAATGCAATGTCCAATCCACAAATACGAAGGAGACATCACAGCGATATACTCTGCTGGCTCCTGACGCGGTGTCTGGCTTGACCACCCTAAATGTGAAATTGTAGTCGTAGCTCTGCATCTGCATCAGCCGTACGGAAGAAGAAGATTTTGAAACGTTTCCAAACGAAGGTGTCATGCCGGTCACCTGGGAGCAGAGCTCGTGTTGACGTTGGTAGAAGTGCTGCTCGACAGGGGAGAACCTGAGCCAGTGCGTGTCCTCCGTCTGCGGGGGCAGCTCAATCTGGAAGAGGGAATTCGTGGCAGAGTGCCCCCCGTGCATTTAACGGACTCGCACTCGCTCCGAGGGCACATCTGTCTGCCGGCCACTCGTGCCGATTCAAGCACGCGTACACCGGGAGCGACACAGCAACGGGGACAATATGTGAATGTTGTACTTCGGTTTCCTTCCCATAACTTAAACAAATTATATATCCAGGTGAAAATAATCGCACTGCTATAAAATTACCTGCAAATTACGCAATTGGGAATATACACGGCAACATAGTCCCTCCCACTGTGAAAGTACTGCTGGCTATGTTAGAAACTGTTTTGTTATTATAAGAATCGCATGACTACCAAATGCACTAAACTATTATTTTATATGCATGTATATATGACTGGTCTCACGTGTGCAGCTCACTGCGCTACAAACCCCGGGGACCTGAGTTCGATTCTGACTCACGAACAATATCAGTGGCGAATATTTAAACCGGTCCTGGGCTTCCCTGAGGTCAACTCAGCCTTAAACGAGTACCTGGTTGTGGCACGTAAATAGCAGCATTGGGAAGGCAAAGGGTGGCTGGGTGTGGTGTTGGCCAACGAGCCCCTCGTGTGCTACGCCAGACTTCATTGATGCTAGTCGTTAACGGCAGTTTTGCCGCAACAGTCCATTCGTGGTCACACGGGGATTGCTTTTGCCGCGTAGCTCACGCAACCTGGTCGATGACGTGCTTCTTGGACGAGCGCCACGTGATGGCGGAGACGAGGCGGTAGAGCGGCGTGGGGTCGCCACGCACGTACGGGCGGTAGAGCAGCCGCTCCCACCAGTGGCGCACCCAGAACGGCTCCACGCCCAGGAACAGCACCAGGCCGTACAGGTCTGATGGCGCAGAGGCACAGCCGACGTCACCAGTTAGGCGGGGAGGCAAATGTTTACTCGTCATCGTCAGGCTGCGGGGGGCAGGACGGCGCGGCGCAGCGCGGCGGGAACGCTGGCGCATCACAGCAAGAATATCCCGAGTTCGATTCCCGACTCGGGCACCTTTCTGCGTGGAGTTTGTATGATGCATGGGTTTTCCTCTGGGTTTTCTCCACTTTCCTCCCACAGATACCAAATAAAATACACAATATCACTGCTGTTGGTCAAAACATTTGATTCCTGAAAAATTACATGGAAACTATGGGTAGATTGTCGTTGGCAAGAAAATGTGTAAATTCCTTTGTACATTTGAACTCACGTCGTTGGGTTCATAACGGAGTTCACTAAACACTGTGGACAGGTTGGTCTTTTTAGCCCAGGATAGCCTACATAGGAAAATGAAAACTCTAATTATAAATTGCCCCGTCTTGGGTTTATTATCAAGTCAATGCATATATTTATCACCTTTGAATATTTATCGCGAATTATACTAGCAGAAGACTGCTATAAAATCTCTTATGAAGCAGTATAGTTTACGTGGGTGAATATTTTAGAAGTGATAACTCAATCAGGTTGTAAACAGGTACATTACATTATAAGTCACTAATTTGCTTACAAAAAAGACAATGCAAATTTGGTAATGATCTGAAATCATTCATTGAAAACCAGCTGAATGAATAGCAGGTCTACGGTACAGTAAACTCAACACATTTGTAGTGACATCGCAGATGTCACTGTGTGGTGCCGGCCCTAGAGAGGCAAGGCGTGCGATGTACTTAATCGTGGACATCACATATGTAGCGAAATCGTGGATGTCACTGGGTAATGCCGGCTCTGGCGAGGCACGGCGTGCGATGCATTGCCATCGCGGACACCCCGTACATGTGGGTGTAGTACCAGCCCTAGAGGGGCTCGGTGAGCGCTGATAGAGAGCGCTGAGTGGCACCACGCTCGGCGTGCAGTGCTGTCACCTATAGGAGGAGGGTGTGAGGGTACCAGCCATGAATGGGGTGAATTTAGGCCATGGCAATCTGGTTGACCCTGGAAGGCACGTGAGAGGTAAGATCTACACAGGGGCCCCAAGTGGGGGGCAAGGAGTGGTCATGTGTCGGGCGAGATCCTGCTCGAGGATTCGAGAAGGTGGTCATGGCCAAGGGCGGGGCCAGCCACGACCCGTGAGGATATAAACCGGGTCCCCAGAGGGACCGGGGTTCACCGTTGCTGTAGTCATCCCGAAGATCTACGTTCTACGTATTACGTCCGAGAAGAGTCATCAACACGTGGACCTGGACCCACGCTGGGGTCCTGTCCGTTGTAGCTACTCCCAGTGTAATTAGTGTAGTTAGCCTGGTGGTCTACCACCATAGTGTGTAGTTAGCCTGGTGGCCCACCATCATAGGGTGTAGTTAGCCTGGTGGTCCACCACCATAGGTTGTAGTTAGCCTGGTGGTCCACCACTATAGGGTGTAGTTAGCCTGGAGGCCCACCACTATAGGGTGTAGTTAGCCTGGTGGGTCACCACCATAGGGTGTAGTTAGCCTGGTGGTCCACCACCATACGGTGTAGTTAGCCTGGTGGCCCACCACCATAGGGTGTAGTTAGCCTGGTGGTCCACCACCATAGTGTGTAGTTAGCCTGGTGGGTCACCACCATAGGTTGTTATCTGGTGAACGAGCAGTTACCCCTTTGTGTTGGCGTCAATAAATGTGTTGCCTCCAAAGAGTACGTCTGCGACTCAGTTGAATCCACTACACATTCATCATGAACACTGCCTTATGAGAGAAAATTATAATGTTATGTTACGTTTCTAGAAATGGCCCTGCACCAGAGCAAATAGAAGGAGCCAGAGAGGATGGCCGAGTTTATAGTTTGAAATTATCTTTTACGCTGTAGGACTTTAAGAAAACGCAGATATTTTAATAAAGTCAACGAATGAACAGTTTTGAGTTGATGAGGCATTTTTTTAAAATCCGTAAACATCGAGAAGCAAACAACCCTTTACTAAGATACTAAATGCATGGTGATGATTATTTCGCAAGGCCAATGAAGAACAACTTTAGAACAGCTTTAATTCTCACCTCCCCCCTGTCACCCCCCCCCCACCCCCTGTGTTTGAATCATCAAGGGGCCGCCGACGCGTGTGACGAGAAGCGTGCGTCTTGATAATGCGCCCGTCGTCACCGTCGTTTGAAAGCGTAGGATTTCGCGCGACCAATATTATTCATAATACAGTTTTTATTTACGACCGAAATATGAAGACTTCTTCACAATTCGGGCAAATCGCCTGATGAAGCTGGTTGTAATCACCAGCGAAACGTCGTACTCAAATTGTAAATATGGATTTACTCTCCAGCACACCGGTGTGCTAAAGTAGTAACAAATTGGCACATTATGTTTACGTGACCAATCTCAACATTCGGCTGTCAGGTGGTGGTGGGTTAATGACACATTTATATTTACACGATTCGGTTGTAAGTAATATATGCATAAACGCCTTTCAAATAAAAGTTAAATAATAAAATTTGTACGTGGATAAATGAATGTTGGGAAAGAAAAAATGGTCCAATGCAGTGCCCATTAATATCCTAAAGAAGTCTGCAGCCCATAATGTCAACCCCCATTATGTAGTTTGTCTGTATATTATGCAGTGTTAATTAATTATGTATGTGGTGAGGTTTCCTAATTGTGTTTACACGTCGGTACAATAGTCTCTTATTTTATTTCTTTTTCTTGATCAAGAAAACACATGTTGGAGAAAACAGGCATACGGACAATTCTGGTGCCAAGAATGAGACATGAGCACGTTATTTAAACGTAATTCATTTAAATCCATTAACATCCAAAAATATGACCACTTTAATTAAAAACGAATCTATGAATCTGAAAATCCAATATCTATGAAAATGTAATCCGAATCTCACCCCTAATAGATGACATTTCAGCATATGGGTATCTCCACAAAAAAATATCAACGATCACTGCACCAGCACCTTGTTTTTCTCACGATGCATTTCTACACGAACAAAAATCCACAATATCAATTTGAAATTGAATCAGTTCACACGACGAAATGTGGGCCCGCTCATTCGTTTACCGGCCACCCGCGGCTGCACTTACCCTCCAGTCCGCGCTGGACAGGCGTCCCAGTCACGCACCAGCGATTGACCGAGCTGAGACGCAGAGCCATCTCGGCAGCCTGTGGTGCGAGACAAATCAACACGCGCATGCACACACTCAACGTGCCCCAACAACTGATACAAGCGTATGCACGGCAAACGTGTTTGAGCATTACTACTCGGCCAATGCACTGAAAATCAGCAGTTGCAGTTTTAAAGTATGTAATTTGATGTTCCGCCGGTAATAAAATGTTGTTATATATGAAAACAAAAATATATACACAGTAATGCACCGGCTTACGTCGGGGATGTATTCCTGAAATGTGTGAAGACAAGTATCAAAACAATGTACATCAAAGCAATTTACAGGGTAGGTGGAGGCGAGGCCAAGGCGACAGATACGAGAAAGGACGGACGATGCTGCCAGCGACATGAGTGTGGGTTGAGGCAATGTCAATCAGGTGGCAATGTTCATAAAGTGACGATGTATTAGCGAAACGACGTAAAAGGGGGAGACGTAAATCGAGATATTACTGTATATACAAGCTCCCCAAAGAATTATACTCTTCGACATCTACATTTTCAGTATTAATAAAGCCAATGGTTGCATAACTAACAGCTATTGTGTTAAGACCAGAGGCGGGCGTTCAGGGCCAAGCAAGGCCTTCTCTGCTGGCCTAGAGATGGTCAGAATCAGAAATGTTTTTTTAATATAATTTAACATATATTTTCATTTATGCTATATGTATGTTATAAAGTTCGTTCCCATCAGTCTATTAACATAATTTCATTGCTACTCTCTCCCTCAGTTGCGCTGCTTCCAGTGCAGCTCATAAATTAGAGCTTTAATCCAATTAGATTTTCCACCTGTGCTGTCTCTGCCTCTCCGGGTGAAAAATCTACCCTGAGGCCTTCAGAATGTCGAGTGAATCCCCTCTGCTGTTGAAGCAAATGGGGACGATGTTGTTGATTGGCATATTCTTTAACCAATCAGATATCGAGTTTTCCATATTGGGCGTATTCTTTGACATGCCGGAGCCTTCTAGCTGGCCCATAGCCGCCTACGTTAGCATTTTTCGTGTGGCGTTATCGGAGGGCCAGTTAGCTAACTGAAGTGAAAATAGCTAGCACGTAACGTAGCATCATCTAAGATTCATTAAATATTTATTTCATGACGTTGAGATTTTTAGATGTAGTGCTGTGGGGAAAGCCTGTTAAATCCTGATTGTGTTATTTGTGTTTTACGGCATTTTTCCTTGCTTGGTGGTCGTACGAGTAAATGTGACTGGTTGTTGTCAGTTTGTTCTTGTTTCTTTGGTAATGACATTGATTTAGGCTATGCGATGTCTATTTGTGATGTAGCATCCTGTCATACTGCGTAATAGTGGTACATCCTTAATGGTTTCAGTCACCATGTATTCATGTCTCTGCAATTAGTGTATTGTAGCTCTCGTAGCTGTTGAGCCTCGTGTTAAATCACTTTATTCCACTCGATAAAGGTTACTGTCACTGTGAATATGGGGTGGTTACGTCGAATGACAATAGCCTATAGCCATAGTGTCATGTTGAGGTTGTTCGAAGGCGGTTTAATTGCGGGAGGATAGCACTGAAGGCCTAGGTGTAAAATACACGGCCAGCCACTGGTTAAGACGCACAGTGGGCTAGGGTAACCGCAAGAGTTGTCACAACAACATATTTATAACATAACAAACACAAATATTAACATTCAAAAGAAAGAGCAATTTCCCATTAAATATGTTCCATGCAAACTATTTTTCAGAGTAATGGCGGTTAAAAGGCATTATTATTTTTGAAGTGTATGTTATTGTAATAACGTCGAACACACGTGGTTTCTTCATTGTTAAGAGCCTTTATTCGGATACAACCCTATCTCTAGGCCCGGAGTTCGGTTCTTGATGTACGAACTTTAACTTCTCTCAAAGCGTCCCCTCCCCTTGTGCTATCACCTTTTATATCCTCCGAGCCCCCTTTCTGGAAGCTTCGCTCACCCCTTTTCCCCCAGTCAATCCTCGTCCTCCTCCAACAGTTGTCAACCACCGCCCCCCTAAAGTAAACCCTCGTTTTCCGCCTTTTACATTTGAATCTCCACCTACAATCCCTTTGAATCTCTTATCCCCATCAATCGTCTTTGAGGTCTCCCTGCACCAATCAGAGGCCTTGATTGACTTACTGACTGTCCGTTCGCACGTACGCTCATGTCAGGTAAGTATTCTGTTGCCTCGGTCATTACACAACTTTTTAATTGCTACCCAAGTGACTGAGAACATTTATATTACAAGGATTACAGGCTGCAAAGTTGTAATAGTTACAACTTAGGGGAGGGGAGAAATCTTTCTTCAAACTTTAATTACAGCAAGGCAGAAACATTCTACAATAAAACCTTTAAATATGATTACAAAGTTATTGTAAACTGATATCACAATGATTCATAATTGGGTTTTTTGGGTTAGGTCATGTAAAAGAATCAAAATATGTATTTAGACTGGAGGAATCTGGTAAGCTTTGAAGCTCTTTTTCACGGATGTCCAACAGGGGTGGGTCAGCAAGTTACAACAACAATACAAAACTAACGATAAGAATGTATCGTAAACCCTCCGCCACCCGACACAGGCAATCAATAAAAGTGTCACTGTGAACAAACGTGACAAAAACACAATTATGAATAATAATATTAGTCGTTAAGCCTACAAATAAAACTCGTATCACAATTATAGTTATTTCACGAAAAAAAGATTTGCAGTTTGGAATATCAAAACGATACCAACTGTCTCCTGAAGCCCTCTCGTGGTTAGCAGAACTCGACATTGGCATTCAGCTCCTGAACATATTGCTGCCATCACAAGCAAGAAGAGAATTTGGCAGAAACTCTTTGTCGTTGCACCCAGGTACTTAAATTCGTTTAAGTTTAAACTCGTTTAAGTTTACACTTGTGTATGTACCTGGGTGCAACGATGTGTGCTGATGGATTACAAAAAGGAGAGATGAGAACAAGGGTTGGAGGGCTGAAATGGCGAGAGATGACTGGTGTGGTGTGCGATAAGAGGGTCCCAGTTTGTTTAAAGGGAAAAGTGCACAAGACAGTGGTGAGGCCGGTGCTGTTGTATGGGGCCGAGTGCTGAGGCATAAGAAAGAGGGAGGACCAAGCTATGGTAGTCAGAGATGAGGATGTTGCGGTGGATCTTGGGTTTGACAAGGAAGTACAGGGTCAGAAATTAAGAAGTGGGAGAAAGACTCTAGGTGGTAGAAATCACAGAATAGATAAGAGAGAAAAGGCTGTGGGTGTGGTTCTGTCATGTTGAGAGACAACAGGAAAAGCATGTGGGTCAGAAGGTGCAAGTGATGTAAGTGGAAGGAAAGAGATCAAGAGGAAGGCAAAAGAAGAGGTGGATCGATGTGGTGCCAGGGGCGGAACCAGGGGGGGTGACAGGGGTGACATTCTGCGTATAAGTGTACGACACTCGGTCTGGCGGACTGCGTGCAACTGCATTGTCAGAGTGTGTCGCCAACCGATGGCGTCTAGTTCAACAGCCTGACTCTCTAATCATTCTTGAAATTAAAATTTGTTGACTGTCACCCCGGCCTGAAATCCTGGCTCCGCCCCTGCGTGGTGCAATCGGCCACGGTGGCCCGAAGAGCGGATAGAGAGATGGCGCAAGACAGGGCAGCATGGAGAAGGTTGGCGAGGACAGCGGACCCCACACGAGTGGGACAAACGGGTGGCAGAAGACTTCGTCACCACGCCGCTGAAGGACACTGCATAATTGCACGCGTGTTCACCTTTGCGGTTGTGCGCTCCACCATCTGGGCCTCGTCCAGGCAAACCCTCCACCAGTGCACGGCCACCAGCGGGCTCGGCAGCGCCATGTAACGCTTGCCCTGCCGGAACCGGCGGCCGCCCTCAGACGACAAGAGGCTGTCCACACCACCTGCAGACCCCACTCTGACGAAGAAACGAGCACCGGGATGACGCAGTTATATTTTAATAATTAAACAAATATTCTGACGAATTTGATCCCGAACGGGTGATCGGTGTTGTGTCATGGGACTGAGAATGCATGAAAATTCTCAGAGAGCTCAGCAAACTCAGCGAGCTCTCTGAGAATTATATTGGATCAGTCAATCCACAGCATTTTTAATTTCCAATGAGCTCTGTGAATTAAAGATAGTTCTGCCAGACCGACTGGAATTTCCACCACTGGCCCGGGGCTGTAAACTGAAAATGAGCACTGCCTCAGAGCTCATTTGAGCAATAAATAATTTTCAAATTTTTCTTTTGCCAATCCGTAGAGGATTTGGCATAGCGGAGGGAAATAAACCATCCAGAGTTGCCAATGACCTCATCTTTCGAAAACGCAAACGTTCCCCTGTTCACGATATAACTCACTGCGCCCTACCCTCTGTTGCAGTAGGGCAGGTCCACGTAGCTGAGCTCGGAGCGCAGCACGTCGTACGTGGTGATGACCACGTCCTGCTGCGCCAGCTTACGTGGCTGCACAAAGCCGTCACGCTTCACCCCGTTGTACACCTGCGAGGGAGGGGGCACGCATGCAACAAAGGTCACGCAATCAACCGCTGGCCTCTCTCGTGCCATTCAGTGCATTTACAATTCGCTTATTGATGCTTTTGTCCGTCCATAACAGGGGGAACACCAACTCTCGGAAACATGATCCAATATGAAAGAACCATCAGTGTCAAAGTTGTGTTGCTATTTAAGAGGTTTGCCTGATTGAAAATCAGCTAAATTTAGCAAAACCTGAAGACACAAACCAGGGAAAAAATGACTCACAGCGAGAAGTCGATTTTCACACTGCTGATACTGCTGAAGACAAACACCTGTTGGAAGGTGTTACGTAATCCATGTCCTGTCTTTTTTATTCAAACGTTTGACTTTTATTTCATTAAAAGTTAAGTAAAAAATTGATAGAATGGATAAATATGTTTATGTTCTTCCAAAAAAAACATGGTATTCACAAACAAGACCAAAATGTACACGTCCTTCCTATTTGTTTATCAAGTAAATACATTTATGATGCAGTGTGACACCCTGTAAATACAAGTGAAAAGGATAAGACGGCTCCAATGAGGACGTGATTGTAAACACAACGCAATGCTCACAGTATATGATGCAGTGCTGGCCATTAAAGGGAAACAATTCCCTTTGAGAAAATCACAAGGGACTCAACTCACTCGAGTAACACAGGGCAAATGTGATTTGAATTAGCCGAGTTATTCCACAACATGTTTCCGAGATCAGTCCAAAAACAAAGCCCAAAATAAGCGGCGAAAACCAGTGCGGTTTACGCATCGGGCGCGGATGCACGCACCAGCACGCGCAGGGTGCAGGAGCGGATGTGCCGGTTGATTTCGTCCACCCACTGGTGACTGATCGAGCTGGGAGACACAATCAGAGTGGCCCCTGACAGGGTCGGCTCCATCGCCACCAGGCAGTGAGCGCAGTGGAATGGCAGATGACGCTCGCCACTGCTACCGCCCTCCGCCTCCTCATCCTCCTTCTGTTCCTCTTTCTGCTGCTGTTGCTGTCGCCCGCCAATTGCGCCGGTGCCTTCCTGCGCCTGCAGCAGTGCCGTGCTGTAGTTGACACAGGCGGCGTGCTGCCACAGCCCGCAGCTCATGCACTGCACGCGCGGCTTGAAGTCGCTCAAGCCCAGCTCGCCGCACACGCACTCGAACCTACGGGTATCACCCACATGCAAAATCCAGGGGAAGTACAGCACTGTGAGGGTCACACTGGAAGGAGTCCCAATGATCATCGTTATCATTACCTACCATTGAGCTGCCACCAATGCCTCCTCGGCTGTCAACGATCTGCACGGTTGCCCCTCCATCACAGTCATCCCCAGGTATTGTGCCGGCTTATGTTATCACATGTCATCCAGTTGATCTTTGTTCATCCTTTCCCTTCTTTATCCTTCTCCCATGTCCTGAAAAATGATGTTGGATAGTCGCCCCTTTTTGTCTCATGTCCAAACCATTGCAGTTCTCACGCAGCTGATACATTACATTTAACGACGTCGGCAAATGTGTGGACAGAAGGCTGTGTGATTTGCTTGCAGAAATTAGTAGAATTATAACTTAATTCCCTCTGTCAATTCACTGCTAGATGAAGGCCTCATCAGGATTGTCAGTCATGAGGGTTGTTTGACCATAATTCATCACCCTGGTCGGTGAGGTTTGATGATGTTGGGGGGAGTGGTGGTGGGGTGGGTGGTCCAGGACTGGTTATGGCATCAGTTGCAATGATCCATCAGTTAGCCATGGGTGGTATTCACGATAAGGCCACCAGGTTCATACTGAAGCTCACCATTCCCAACTAATCATTGTGCAAACGTTCCACCGGCAGAAATTAGCAGAGGGTGACATTTAGCAAGTTCTACTGATGCAAGATAATTGCACATTTTAACATGGCAAGACCAAAGCCCTCATGCTTAAGTAATTAAATGTTTAAAAGTTAATTTACAGTACAAATTATATTGCCCTTTAATTTCACCCTCCTTTCTATAAAAATAAATCAAGAATAATCCAGATAGTGAAAGCCAAACAATCTCATCGTTCGAAACGTTGGCTTTCGACAAGCTGCCCATCAACGTGATGTGTGGAACAATGATATTGGCCAAGAGAAGGCAATACATATAAAGTACAATTCTTAAAACAAGTCTATATCCTTATATATGATTCAGAAATTTCATTTTACCTTGACAGAAATATACTCGCCTTGAAGAGCAATTGTGCTGGATTTACATATAAATAGAATAGGGCACGAATCTAGCTTTACTGCTAAAGCGAGACAAACTACATGTACATATACAGGGAGGGCCTCCCCACACAGTGCAGGTCATGGGGGTTATTTGACCATACTTTACCATGATGGTCAGTGAGGTGGGGAGGACAGATGTTGGGAGGGATGAAATTACAAAAATCGATGGGAGCAAGGAGAGTACAAAAATTGGTCGTACACAAATTAACAAAAAAAATGCTGTTCACGTGGCCCCACAGCAGCCTATAACTAGTCTGCTATTGGTAGTTGCCCATCCCAGCACTATTCAGGCTCAAACCTTTTTAGCTGTGACGAGATCAGATTTGGCTAAATTGCATGCAGCTGAAACTAAATGAATAACCCTCCGAGCAGCACCAATCCAGGAAGAGTATGGCATGCAAGACCTCACTACTCACCGGTAGTCCTTCTTGTTGAAGGGGAAAATGGGCACGGGCGTCCTTGGCTCCATCTCCACATGAACGCCCATCTCGGTACCACCGCCTGACTTCATGGCAGGGGGTGCCTCCCTCTCCTGGTTGGCAGCCTGCTTTGTGGAATTAAGTGTCCTGTCGACATCGCTCACTGCCACACCATTACCTTTGTTGACCTTAGCTCCGCCCAGAGCGTAATTGTGATCGCGGCTTGTGCCGTCAAACTCGGCTTCCTCGGCCGTCCTTGGCATATCTAACGTCGCCGGAATCCCCAATTCTGTCACAGGTGACAGAGGTACAATTCCCGCACTATCGGGGGCGTCGCGTAAAACAATGTTTGTCTTGTCTTCTGCTGCCTCGGCATCCCCACCTGCACCCACATCCCCCGTGGAGTTTTGCTCTTCTCCATCTGCTGGTACAGATGGCGACGTTGCAGCGTCTGTCACTGTCTGTGATCATAAAAGCAAAAATAATACATTGCATCAATACACGTCTGTCGTTATGTAACAATCACAACAACTTAAAACAGTACTTCTGTAGTCCTCAGTGCACCACCCTGCCTCCCATTGGGTGGCAGGGTGGCGCACTGCTTACACTTGTGCTTCACAGCAAGGGGCTGGGCTTGATTCCTGACTCGGGCACCTTTCTGCGTGTAATTTGTATGTTCTCCCCCTGTTCTGCATGGATTCTCGAATTTCCTCCCATAATAAAACAAAAAAAAAACCCAGTGTAACTCGTATTGGCCAAAAAATTATAATGCTTAATAGTCACATGCAATGACTCCACGTGGCAACAACACCCCCTGCTGCAAAAACAACACCAGGCCTTGAGATCTCAGTGAGGCTCTCCAGGCGAAACAAGCATAATGCTTGTGATTTTTGTTGTTTTATTTTTTTACCTACGTGACTTTACCGAATAGAACCAAAGAGTATGGATCCTTGCAGTCACGAAAGATTTAAATCTAGAAAAGCATAGTATTCTAACAAGCTATACACAGACCTTAATCTGCGTCTCAAAATCCTCGAGGGTACTTTCTGGCAAGATAGAAATATGAAATTTGGTATGCAAAATTATAAATTTTTCATTTTAAGCACCCCCAAATCTTGAATTTAAGTGCCCCATAAACATGGTTGTGCGTGTCATTCAGAAACCCTTCAAAATATAAGATTGCATTTTTTTTCGTTTGGGTAGAGCATTAAACAGCAAATAAAATTTAAGTGAGAACCATTGTTCCGTTTTATGGTTTTTATATGTTTTCGGATTCAAGCACTTTTTTACAAGAAATATGAATTCGAAAAGGGTAAAAGATAGGAGCTTTCACTCATAGAGTAGTAAGTTCATTCATTTTTGTTCTTTCTAATAAAAAAAAGAGTGGAATCGGCGGTTTCCGATTGGTACGTCTGTAAACGTAAGTTGAATCAAGTCAACAATTTATTTTTTGTGGAAAAATACAAGTTTATAGAGTGGTTGTTTGTGCCTGATCATAGATACAAATTGTAAAAAATCAAATCAGGTTCATTATTATATTTATTGAAACTTTTGCCTGGTGAAGACAGGCTATGTATATAAACGTAAATAGTGTACAATCCACGGTACGGCTACAAACAATTCAAATGCAATGTATGTATGTTTAACTTATTTTTCATCACACATAGCCAACCGTGCTAATTGGGGGGTGCGGGGGGGGAAGGACAACACAAAAAAATTGTGCGAACTACACAAGTACACAAGGCAACGACGGCCAAACGTCATACTTGAATGGCGAATGTTGTGGGTTTCCTATTGGCACGTTTTGTTTACGTGACAAACCTTACTAATTGGCTGTGTCGGCTGGTTGCGGGTTTACCGACACATTTATATTGACGCGATCTAACCAAAAAAAGCTCTATTATGGGCAACAAGGTAGTTCCCCGCCATCGCACCTTTTCCAAAGGCGCGGCCCTTGCCTTGCGCGCGCTCATGGTGAGCCCAGCGACAGGCTCTCTGTAGCTCTTGCTGACGCGGAAGGTTCCCCCGAGACCCTGCCCCTTGACGTGCTGCAGCGTGCCGGCGTCCAGCATGGCCCGCACGGCGCTCTGCACCGCCTTCCGCTTCTGCACGGCGTCGTAGCCGCAGGAGGCCGACAGGTGGCGATACAAGGCGCTCATGGACACGCCCTTGCGGCCCTTAGCCTTGCGGAACGCCTCGACGATCATGGTCCTGAGCCCTGCTCGCAGACGCGCGGGAAAGGAGGAGCACAAGCTGCCAGAGCCAGCTCGCCTCTATGACAAGGCTGTTGCAAGTCTCCACTGGAGATTAAACAAAGTACATTCTGCCCCACCCCCCTCCCCCCCCGATCCCTGCCACCACAGTAATTGCAGTTGGATCAATTTTTCCTGATTCAGGACTGCGTTCCTGATTCAATAATTGATTGAAATAACATTGCTTCTCACATATGTGATTCGATGCATGTATTGTAAGCTTAACAACTGATATTGATGGCTGCATCGATCCATCGCTAGAATACACATCAGCACAATAGGTGGTGTGTTGGGTGTCTTCTGTGTTCCATATAAAGCACGTGAAATGTGCCAAAGGTGTGGATTTAATGATGAATCGATTAATTAATTGAATCAGTTTTAATACCTAAAATACAAGCATAGAATATATGTCAATGTTACATTTAGGGGAATGTTACAGACAAAATCTTACGAGACACTAAATCATATATTTATTTATTGAATTTGAAACCCCGAATAGAGGCAATTTATGTAACTGCTGGGCGGGTGAGCATTGCATGCCTTGCTAAAAGTCTGTGTATGATAGTTGCTGAATTAAAACCAAAATCTGGATGAAATTATATATTTTTGATAAGTTGTTAAAGGGAAGAAAGGACCTTTGACATGCTCATTGTGAGCCACGAATGAATATCCAGGCAGCCTGCATACAGGGCACATGGTGAATTTTGAACACTGTTTTCTTAAAAGAGTAAGCAAATTACCTGCTGCACTGACAGCTGGCTTGTTAGGAGATCCGGCACTCGACTTAATTTTCTCTTTCACTTTTTCCGTCTCAGGAGGAGGAATGTAGTAGTTAACTTTAACACCCTGTAACGATGAAATGCCATCATTAACAAGCAAAAAACAAAGCACAGGGAAGCACAACCATAACCCAATACAATGATTACATCTGATTTTACACTGTTCCCCATAAAAAAAAATCTACTTTGAATAAAACTGAATGCCAAAGGTTATTTCTCGACAGCAGGTGTGAATTGGAACATAGGATTAGTATTCCCATCATGCCTTGCATGTTACATTAAATCGCCACACTGCATACATTATTATGCTTGTTTAACTAGGAAGACCTCACTCTTTTTCAGGAGGGCCCTTCCAAGTTTTCAAAGTAGGGAGCAATAGCTGTTTGCAATCCCGACTTGAGTAATTTTCAGGTATTCGTTCAGCAATGGGACATGTGTAAAATTCACAGAACCTTATTCCAGATCAATAACGCAAGAGTCAAATTGTATTGAAGTGTTTCAGTCAAGAAATGATCTTTTAAGCGTATTATAACTAATTTATTTCCACCCTGCACTCAGATTTATTTCTGAGTTTCTTATTATTTACAGAAAGATTTCGAATGTGTTAATTTAGTACAATTAAGAAATAACCTGTGTAAGTGTGTCTGCTGTCCACTAAGATTAGTAGGTTCAGATGCCCTTGCAATTGGAAACACTCAGCAAAGAAGGTGATACGTGAATAACTGAATACAAATGAATGAAAGTCTGCCATGTGAGTAATCTGCAATGAAGATATAATCAACCGTTTGGCACATCGCTTACACTGGGGAGGAGCTCGCTAGTTGCTGCCATGTTAGGTCTTGGATGGGCCAGAATAAGAGCCAGAACCTCTATGGTTTTGCCCAGACCCATCTCATCGGCCAAGATGCCTCCTGGACATTCGGGAGCCGCCTCTGGACGATCCTTGATGATGCTGCAAGCAACAAAGGATAAATCAGTGTGTGTGACATGGCAATGCGCTACGTTGGATTTCTGATGAGGATTTAACTACATGTCACACTGCTGCCAGGTTTGGTTTTCAGTCACTGAACGCATACTGTGATCACAAGTAACATAAGGACATCATTATCACAACACTAGAGTGGCTATATGCACAGTACAAAGCTCCCATTACAAACATGCGTAACCACAGCAACACATTACCCAAGAGGGTTACATAGGGAAGCGAATTAACTTTCAGATGGCCTTGTTATGAGTGCAATTGTTTAACTTTGACATGCTAATAGCCGTTTGAAAATGCATTTTTATATAACTAGCACTGCCTGTACATTGCCATGGGATACACAGCCAGGTGGAAGGTGGGTGGGGTTGAGGCGTGACGTCAGGGTGACACACAAACCCTGTCTCGTAGCTGTGGGACGTGGATGATGTTATCATGCGGATGTGTGTTGTGACGTCACCACCACGTGCCAGCCAGTGAGTACAACTTTTTTTCTAATATAGTATTGTTAGGCGATATGTACTCAAGATGGAGGACTTATAGTACCTGGAGGGAAGCTTTCCAGCAAAAATAAAGCCAGTCAAGAGACCCTTTTGTGTGCAGGACTATCTTTGGATTAAAATTTGTTCACCTCAAAATAATTTAACCAAGAGAAAAGTATCCACTCTAAGGCATTTAACTTGCAAAAATTAGAACTTGTTACAGTTTGAAACAGCTTGCCAACAACTGTGAAGGTAATTAAATTAACCAAATGTACACCAGTGTTTTGATGAAGTAATGAAACGTCAATTATACTTTAGACATTCATGTTTATCGGTAATTGTAGCGACCTCACCTGCCAGTATAATAATTGCAGTACAATGTTTGACCATCAATGGTTGAGAATTCCTTCCACAGTGGATGCAACTTCTTTTCACCTCCTGGTTGAAACCATAACAGAAACATTAAATATATGACGAGTTTTTGAAAAGACAACAAATATCAAGAAATCTTAACAGTGCAGGTCTGCCTTCATCAAAAGCACAAGTTTACCCTTAGGACATTGTATTTGTGAATTTAGCAGCCACTAGCGGCAGCAGGGGTCACTCAAACTCATTATACGCACAGCTCTTGTCAACGCACTCCTGGATGAATTCTCCACATTCTGTGTGAGTCATGGGGCTTATTTTGACACCTCACCATGCTGATTAATGCGGGTTGGGGGAATTGGAGCGGGCCCATGTCCAGATATCACTCACCGATTACTTTAGTCATAGATGGAAATGTAACTCAGGTTGACGGGCTCATAGCACAATTATTTTATCCTAGATTTGAAGCTTTCGTGACTGCAAGGATCCATACTCTTTGGTTCTATTCGGTAAAGTCACGTAGGTAAAAAAAATAATCTTATCATTTATATTACCAGCTAAGATCCACTGAGCTATGTTGCTTTTTTTTTCAGAAGCGACCTGGCCACAAATGATAGTTCAACGAAGTGGCTTATCATGCGGAAATCTGTAGCAGTTAAATCCTCGAAATGCATGTTTTTAAATGTGGAGGGAAAAACCAGAGGACCCAGAGAAAAATCCACGTGACCACAGGGAGAACATGCAAACTCCAAATATACACGCGTCAGAGTCAGGATGAAATCCCCATTCCCCTGTATACGAGGCGAGGTAGTTAACATCTCACCACCATGGCACCTCATGCGTGAATCACTGTGGCGCCACCATACTACATATTTGTGAGTTGAAAAATAACACAACTGACCTGTGGAGCAAGCATCGTGACCAACGTGCTCCCTTTTCAGCATCCACTGCACGGCCTGACATTGATAAGGGCGGAGCTGTGGCACCAGCAGTGGGTGCTGGATGTCGCAGGCGTTTGAGCTCCCGCTATCGCTCTGTGCTGCTGCCTCTACCAACAAGGTTCCCTCCGAGCTTTGGGAACTTATTTGCTCATTCAGCTGAGACAAGGTCTCAGGTGCAGAGTCGGCATCCACGAGTGAACATGAGTGAGAGTGCACGTTTGTTTGTGCATGCCGGCAACCCCCCACATGCTTGTCAGTGCCACTGGCAGTGTCAGCAGTGCCAGTAAGAAAGGAACTGTGGGCCTCCCACACGTAGTCGTACAGCGCTTCCACATTCTGTTTCTGGAGGTCCAAAGCTTCATCTGTCACAGCCTCTTCATGCTGCTCCTCTGTAAAAAAGGCAAAACCTTTGTATATACTTAAATTTTGAGCACAGGTTAAGAGGCAAAAAATGCTAATCAAACACCAACAAACATTAATGAAGATGTAATATAAAACAGTTAATGTTTGTTTAATTGAGAAAGGTTATAAGAACAAAAACGTAGCAGCCTATGTAGTGTGACATTTTTAGATGCATGAGTAAAATGTGGTCCTCTACTGGATATATTCAACATGCAAAAGCATACTTTTCTTTCATTTATGCGTTTTACTCTTTGTGGACTGCATAATTTAACTACGAATTTGTACTATGGCACAACATTGCAAAACGATGATGCAGCATGTTTAAGACGATAATGCATTTTCTGTGCTTGCACGTACCAGGAATTGGGAAGTTATGAGAAAGTGCCAATAGCTTTTGCAGCAGCTGGTTGACCTTTTTTATTTTCCAGTAACCCTCACTGAGAATCTCAATGTGGGACAGTCCTGCTGTCAACATGTGGACAAAGATCTGTTGAAAAAAGACATTACTACTATAAGCCAAGAATGTCCCACACGTGACGTCACTCCACGAGCCCCCCCCCCACGTGACGTCACTCCACATGAGGCCCACCCCACCCCCCCCCCTAATTAATATCCATGAGCAGGTGGATTTTTACACTAACGCAGGTCAATCTAAATTAAATAATTTATTACGCAAAGCCGCTTCAAATATGACGTTTCTGTACAGAAAGTGACGGTAAAACATAAATATGCGCAGCACTGCTACATCCGTACATGACGTCACTGCAAGAGGCCCTCTCCCCCTTCATTAATATTCATGCACGTGTGCAAATTTTCACTAACGCACAAGAAGGTCGCGCGCTCCACATGCCACACCCCTCCCCTCATCAATAATCCACATACTGCACCCCTCCACAGTATTCATTAACGGGGGCAACCGCCCCCCTCATTAATAATCATGAGCTGAACAATTTTTCAATTGAATATTTCAGATTTACTGCAATATACACCCGTCCTTGGATGGGCAAAAAAGCTAGTTGAATGATAAAACGCAAACACCACACTGTTATAGTTTCCACATTCCTAAAGCACATTCAAATGCATGAGTGAAACGCTTAAAATTACGTAACCTACTGAAAATACGCAGATAATCCTTAATTTAAAATCTCACCAGAGCACATTAAGACATGTAATATGTGTTAAATTATCAGAATAACTGTAGTGAAGCAGCAAACGACAGAACTTTTGCTTTGTAGGCAAACATTTGAGTGTAACACTCACATCATAAGTCAGAACATTTGTTGTGCACTCCTGAGCCGTCAATTACGAACATTATTTTATAACACAATTAACAAACGATTTGCCGATGCTGCATTTGGTGTGGTGCACAAGCACAACGAACAAAACAATTCAACAAATTTGTCTACAACGCTGCCTTAAAGGAAAATATGTAATCATGTAAAGTTTTCAGCACGTGCTGAAAACTTTACAGGTATATATTTGCCCTTTAAGGAAGTCTTGTTAACGAGTGTTGCGGTTTCTTCATCACACGTGCGTAAACTGTAACAGAGTTATGGACTACCGCCTGATTGTATACATGCACAAAGATTTAAGATACATGTCAATACTTTACCGTGACGGTGCAAGGATACGGCTGTGTTGGTTGTCGATAAAGGGTGACGACTTTGTTTCGCTGCAGCCAGGCAAGATCAAACAGAATGTCCAGGTCAATCGTTGCACTGGCACGCACCAACGGCGAGTCGCACTCGCACAGCAATTGAGAGGGAGCGCATGGGTCGTGGGTCACCGTCACTGGCAGGTCAGTTGTCTGGGCAGCAAAGTCAGCAAATGAGTACGTGAGCTCAAACGACAGCAGAACGGCACTCCATTCTTGCTGCGCTGTTGGCTGGGGATACACAGCGAGACGCAGAGGTGAAGGCCGAGTGGCTGGGACAGCCGGAACAGCCGATGATGCAGCCGATGATGAGCATCCACCGGGAGTGTCTGAGCTGCGACCGGGAACGTCGCTGCTGTACGTCGCAGAGTCCGAGGTCTGTGCAATGGCATCCGAGTCTTCGGTATGCAACCGAGCAGCATCTCCTTGTTCTGGCTGAGCTGTAGGAACAAGCTCATCCTGCAAACTCCAGCAGAGAACTTTTCTTTTCTCCACGTCCACCTTGACAGGCAACGAGCGCTTTCTTCGGTTATTCATGTCAACTAGCTTTTTTGGCCCGTCCAAGGATTGCAGTAAATCTGAAATTCAATAGAAAAATTGTTCAGCTCATGATTATTAATGAGGAGGATGGGGGGGGGCATGTGGAGTGCGCGACCTTCTTGTGCGTTAGTGTAAATTTCCACGCGGGCATGAATGTTAATGAAGGGGGGGGGGCTCTTTTGCAGTGACGTCACGCACGGATGTAGCACTGTGCTGCTTAGATACATTTTTTTACCATCACTTTCTGTAAAGAAATGTCATATTTGAAGCGACTTTGTGTAATAAGTTAATTCGGCTCGACCTTCCTCTGCAATAGTGTGAAAATCTATCCACTCATGAATATTAATGAGGGGGGGTTGGGCCTCATGTGGAGTGACGTCACGCACGGGACACACATCCTTGGCTCATTATATTAGTAACTAGCTGTACTACCCGGCTTCGCCCGGGACTTGGATCCACCACGCCCGGCCGCCTTTGTCTCCCCAATGGCGATGTTTACACACCACAGCAGTAACTCGTTTGAGGCTGAGTCGACCTAGGGGAGGCCCAGGACCGGTTCAAATAATCGTCACCGGTGGTGGCCGTGAGCGGGAATCGAACTGGGGTCGCCGGGTTCGTAGCGTGGCGCGCTAACCACTACACTACAATGCGTTACACTTCCACGTGCGAGGGTCACGTGACAGATTCGACGTCACAGCTCACTTGCCGTGCAAAAAATAAATGCGTTATTGAGCTCCCCCCCCCCCCCCTAAAAAAAAACAAAAGTGTATTTTTATAATTGTTGCATGGTGTACAGTCTGGAAAGTACCCACATGGCAAATTTGCAGCTTGTTGCATGTCGGGAAGTACGCTAAACATTTGGAACAGACACACATATTCACAACTTTGCCTTTTGTATATATGGAGATTATAGTAGTCATTTTATTAACTTTTTCAATAAAGAAACGTCAAATGTAAAGCGAATTTGCGTAAAAAATATTTATTTTCGCTCGACCTTCTGCGGGAGTCTAAAATGCACTCGCTCATGATTATTAATGACGGGGAGGGGGGGGGGGCTCTTTTACAGCGACGTCACGTACGGATGTTGCAGTGTGCTGCGTATATTTATTTTTTACCGCCACTTTGTGTAAAGAAACGTCATATTTGAAGCGACTTAGCGTAATAAATTATTTCATTAAGCTCGACCTTCCTCTGCGTTAATTGTGTCTGTGAATAAGTGTTCAGTTTAGTTTACTAAATGTACCGCACTTTTACAATAGCTGTGCGGAAAAATAGTTAACTAAATCCGATATTATATACAGGTACAACATTTTGGAGTTTTTGCAATGCGTTACGTAGTCGCATGTTTAACAAATGTGTGTTAAGGCATACCGACTTACGTTCTATCAGTTTCAAAGACAATGCATACATCATTAGACCTCCTTTGCCAGTACCAAAATATAATAGGGTTTTTCCCCTTTTTTCTGGCAACAAAACTGAAACCTTTTTACAAGGAATCATGTCAGCATTAATCTCAATACTTGCAGTCAAAATGCAAACAAAAAACACACTATTATATGCATTGTCCTTGGAACTGATTGGTCCACACCAGAGACGGCTTTCTTTTGAGCCTCGTCTCAATTGGTGCTAGACCAGAGGACTGGCACTATCAAAGTAATGAGGGCTCGGGGTAAGTATCTACATCATTAGACCTCCTTTGCCGTCTCTGGTGTGGACCAATCAGTTCCAAGTAACAATGCATATATTATCAGTGTTTTTTGTTTGCATTTTGACCACAAGTATTGTGGTTAATGCTGACATGATGCCTTGTAAAAAGGTTTCAGTTTTGTTGCCAGAAAAAAAGGGGAAAACCCCTATTATTACAATGTATACATTATTTATGAGAGCATGTCTGTTTGCATATTTACCACAAGTATATGTGGTTAATGCAGACTTCATTCCCGGCAAAAGGTATCTATTTGGTGCTTGAACATCTTAACACCTGATGATCATTATCACGGAAGGTATGCGGCAAAAGGCTTCAAATAGAGTCAACATGAACACTGAAAATTCGCCAAACGGACCAACATTTTAAAGCGAAGTTTTGTGTGCATGCTGTCGTTGGTCACCGGGTTGACACGGTCAACTCACTCCACTTGAGAACCCGGTTTAATCACAACTCAGTCTGCGAATTTATAGGTCTCTTACATGAGAATATGGGTATTTACATCATTAGACCTCCTTTGCCAGTACCAAAATGTAATAATAAGGCTTTCCCCTTTTTTTCTGGCAACAAAACTGAAACCTGTTTTACAAGGATTCATGTCTGCATTAACCACAATACCTGCAGTCAAAATGCAAACAAAAAACATACTATGATAATATATGCATTGTCCTTGAAACTGATTGGTCCACACCAAGGGACGGCTTTCTTTTGAGCCTCGACCCAATTGGTGCTTGACCAGATGACGCCAAAAGGCGTACAGCTCAAAGATAATGCACTATCAGAGTAATGAGGGCTCGGGGTGAGCATCTACATCATTAGACCTATGCCAGTACCAAAATGTAATAACAGGGTTTTTCCCCTTTTTTCTGGCAACAAAACTGAAACCTTTTTTACAAGGATTCATGTCTGCATTAACAATTTTGTTTGCATTTTGACTGCAGGTATTGTGGTTAATGCAGACACGAATCCTCGTAAAAAAAGGTTTCAGTTTTGTTGCCAGAAAAAAGGGGAAAACCCTATTATTACATTTTGGTACTGGCAAAGGAGGTCTAATGATGTAGATGCTCACCCCGAGCCCCCATTACTTTGATAGTGCATTGTCTTTGAGCTGTACGCCTTTTGGCGTCATCTGGTCAAGCACCAATTGGGTCGAGGCTCAAAAGAAAGCCGTCCCTTGGTGGGGACCAATCAGTTTCAAGGACAATGCATATATTATCATAGTATGTTTTTGGTTGCATTTTGACTGCAGGTATTGTGGTTAATGCATACATGAATCCTTGTAAAAAAAAGGTTTCAGTTTTGTTGCCAGAAAAAAAGGGGGGAAACCCTATTATTACAATATGGGTATTGTTAGTTATTTCGGTAAAGTCACGTAGAAGGGAAACAATAAAATAATAAAAATATAAAACAATAAAATTCTCACGATGTTTCGACTGCAACACAAGCAATCATCATCAGGTGTGAAAACCACAGCAAGAAAATTTGAAAAAAGTGGCGTTTTTTTAACGTTAGCACCACGGAGAGCGATTTGACAGTTTGTTCAGATGGCCGAGTCCATCTATGTTCGGAAAAGAGGAGGGGGGAGACGAAAATAATGGATGCGGTCTGAAAGCCACCGTAAGCGTGAACAATCAATTAAGACCCGAAATAGTTGATCAAATCCTTCCAATGGTTGCTAAGCCAGAATCCATCTTCTCGGTTGTCAACTGTCAAATCGCTCTCCGTGGTGCTAACGTTAAAAATAAACGCCACTTTTTTCAATTTTTTTTGCTGTGGTTTTCACACCAAATGATGATTGCTTGTGTTGCAGTCGAAACGTCGTGAGAATTGTATTGTTTTATATTTGTATTATTTTTCCCTTCTACGTGACTTTACCAAAAGAACCAAGAATATGAATCCCTGCAGTCACAAAAGCTTTAAATGAGAATATGGGTGTTTATGAAATTTAGTTTGTTCTGTATATAAACGCTATGGGCTACTACGTTTGTCATCGGTGTCCGGGCTGAGACCACCATACATGTCAACCCCCTTATCAGTGCCGTACCTTATTACAGACCAATTGAGACCTTAATGGTCACCTTATAAATCTCAACATTCATCCTACAGTCCCATCACAAGAAAGAAACACAAAGACAACAAAATGCACCGTAATAAACGGCTGTACGCCAGATGGACCTGAAATCTCAATTTCGCTGTACAAGAATACGGGCAAACCGGATGGGTTGACAGGTATGGATCAACTCACTCCACTTCAGAAACCGGTTTAATCACAGGCTCAGGAATCGAACTCAGGTTCTCAGCTGTGCCAGCTGAGCGCTCTGACCCACGTTTAAAGTTTGTGAGTCCGAATCCCGTACCTGTCAACCCGTACAGGTTTACCCCGTATTCTTGCATAGGGAAATTTAGTTTTCAGGTCCATACGGCGTACAGCCATTTCAATACGAGCTTTGTAGGATGAACGTTGAGATTTATAAGGGCACGTGGTGAACAATAAGGTCTGAATTGGGTCTGTAATAAGCTAGGCACTGGATACGGGGTTGACAGGTATGGAATTCAGGCGGAGTGGGAGGGTAGAACGATCACTTTCCTACCGACAGGTGGACAAAAGGAGGCTGCTGTGGTCTTCGTTTAAAGACCCTCATCCTCCTCTCCCCCAGCTATTGATGTTTCTCGCTTCCCACTTACGGCACAATGTGCGTCCTCAATCCCTCATATTCCGGTATGCATGAAGATTTTTTTTTTAAACGTACCGACGTGTAGGCGGGCCAGGCAAGATACTTTTAAAATGAAATGGATTAACGAAACAAAAAATCTATAAGAGTTGCTGCGCGTTTGAAGCGGAGTTCGCCTCGCAACGGCGTCAGCTCGACACGGGCGCGACCATCTTTTTTGTGTTGGCGCGCGGTGCAGTGTGGGTCCAGAGTCACACCACCCCCCCACCACGTGATCGCGTCAGCTGATTCACTCGAACTGTCGATGATCGTAAATCGATTGCAATCGCACTGAGTGAAACATTGTTATAGTCGAGGATAACAACCCTCTCGTGTATATAACGGATTAAAACGCTGACCTACAACGTATATAATTGCAATTATATATAACTAGATAATAAAAAAAATGAAATATAAATATATGTAATATGTAATAATATACATAAAAGGGAAAGTCATATATATAATTGCGTACAATTATATACGTTGTAGATCAAATAATTATTGTAGATCATATAATATAATTATATAAAATTGTGTACACAATTGTATTCAATTTTATATGTAAATAAAACTTTTTTTATACAATAAACTAAATATTTAGTGCTAATTGTTTTTGGCCGTTTGGCGTGTTGGACATGTGTTCAGCAAACATGATACTACAGTAAGATAGATACATATTTTAATTTTCAGATCCTTATATCTATTTTGTTATGCTTGTTCCATGTACCGTAATAGCTGGATATCCTTGGCCCCGCCATAGGAATAAAGAATTGTCATCGTTGGTTTGGAGCTGTACAGAAGAGATTAGGCCAACGATCGTTGGAGGTAACATTGTACAGTATGTATATTTAAACTTCTCTAAGACAGAGGTTATTTGCAAGCCATCTGGCTACCATGAGAGATTCGTTCATGAGGCTATCCACATATACAAACACAGAGACAATTTCAACCGAGAAGATGGATTCTGGCTTAGCAATCATTGGAAGGATTTGTTAAACCATTTCTGGTCTTAATTGATTGTTCACGCTTACAGTGGCTTTCAGACCGCATCCAGTATTTTCGTCTCCCCTCTTTTCCGAACATAGATGGACTCGTCCACCTGAATAACTGCCAAATCGCTCTCCTTGGTGCTAACGTTAAAAAAACGCCACTTTATTCAAATTTTCTTGCTGTGGTTTTCACACCTAATGATTATTTCTTGTGTTGCAGTCAAAACATCGTGATAATTTTATTGTTTTATATTTTTATTATTTTATTGTTTCCCTTCTACGTGACTTTACCGAAAGAACCAAGATTATATATTTAAACCTCTTTAGTTACAAATCTATGTAAATAATGCTGCTGCTATTAATGCATTCTACATGTACATGCCCTACTTCTGAGCCGAACAATAGTGTACAGACATTGTACTGTACTATGAATAGTATATGTATACAAAATAATATAAACAGATATGTATATGTACAGCCACTTTGTCAATCCACTGCTGGATGAAGGCCAACCGAGGCAGTTGTGGGTCGTGGAGGGGGTTATTGACCTTATTTGGCCATACTTCACCACGCTGGTCAATACAGCTTGGTGAAGGTGGGGCAAGCAGCATTTTGGGGGCAATAAAAGCCACGACAGCACACACAGCAATAGATTTTTTTTCCTGCACTGCCCTCTGCTGCCCACAAAGTTATATTGTATGTATTGTGTACCCTATTGACGAATGTCTGAATTGCAATAGATTATATGTACAATTTTATAATCCATAATACAGGTTTTTTGGGGGGGGGGGTTAGGTCGCGTAAATATATAAATGTGTCGTTAAACCCGCCACCACCCGACACAGCCAATTTAGTAAGGTTTGTCACTTAAACAGAACGTGGCCAATTCGTTACTAGTACAGCACACCCGTTGTGCGTTTGAGAGCAAAGCCACAACATTTACAATCTTGAGTGCGACATTTTTCCAGTCATTTAATAATGATACAACCACGCTTATAACGTGACCATTTCTAATAGACACTGTTTCCATCAAAATCCTGTAGTTGTATCGTATTCATGAGAAGTTCCAGAAAGTAAGACGCATTCCAAAGCTGTGCTCGTGGCGGTAAAGTTACACTGCATATTTACTAAAAAAATGTGTCCCTTTACTCCCGAAAACTTTGCAGGATCCATCATCGTCAAGCAAAGTCTTTTGAGACTCAGTGAGGCTTTTCTGGGTACGTATGCGTAGCGTTAATTACGATAAACAAAAAATAAAATTTGCAGACCAACACGTTTCAAGTTTAAACTAACACATTTAACGAACGCCAATTGATATGAAAAAAATAACTCAACACACGTCCTGTTTTAAAACTTTGTTTGCTGCATTGAAAAAAAAATTGTAATATAAAAAACGTAGTAGAGGGGGCACCCGGATTTGAACCGGGGACCTCTTGATCTGCAGTCAAATGCTCTACCACTGAGCTATACCCCCACACGCTCACACATGGCGCTATTCTCCACTTATTGCCACTACCTTCCTACAAAATGACTCAGAATCAGATTACACTGGAAGGAATCCGATGAGCTTTTAAGCTCTTTATCAAAGACGTTCAGTAGGACCGAGTCAGAACGTTTAAGCTGAGACTGCAGTTCTGTACATTATACAGCTAAACCCATGGAACCACGTGGATTAGAAAAAAAATACAAAGGTTAATGACATCATCCTGTTTATCATGGGCCGTTGCTCGAAACAGCGCCTATCCATTTCTTATTTTTAAGGCAGTGTTATTGACGAATGATTCGTGATATGATTCATAATTAGTTTCGATCTTCACGTAGGTATGTCAATGTTTCTTTTTACTACAAACCACAACCCGACAGAGCCAATAAAATCGTCACGCCACTGATGTATCCTCAAAACCGGAGGAATGTTACAGAGCAAGCAACACAGCTTGACATTTTTGTTGTTATTATGTTATTAAACACCCGATGATGCTGGGTTTAATACTTCAACGAAACAAAATGATGCTTCAATGGTCCTCTTCGTCCGGGTTTGCTGATGATTCGCCGACGTGCAATGTATATAATCTTCTTTCGCACCGTACATTGCCAACCGTGCTAATCGGAGGTGCAAGGGGGTGGTGAATGGTGAAGATATAATACAAAATAAACTAATTACGAATCATTGGATTAAATACATGGCAGCACCGGATCGCAATATCGACATTGTATGCCTGTCAACCCCATTATTAGTCCCTAACTTATTACAGACCATCTTCTTTGGTTCTTTCGGTAAAGTCACGTAGAATGAGAATAAAATAATAAATTGATAAAATAAAATAACACAATAATATTCTCACGACGTTTCGGCCACAACACAAGCGGCCTTCATCAGGTGAAGGGACGAGACTGTCTGGTAGGACAGCGCTTTAAATCGAAATTTATTAGACCAATTCAGACCTTATGGGTCACCCCGTGCCACTCAAATCTCGACGTTCATCCTACAAAGTCCCCATGCACAAGAGAGAAACACAAAGACACAATTGTTGTTGCCCGTATTGAAACGATTGCACGTCGTATCAATTTCCCTGTACAAGAATAAGGACTATACCGTACGGGTTGACAGCTATGGGGCCGTCCATAAATGACGTCACGCACCTAGGGGGGGTTAGACATTTGTGACGATGTGTGACGAGGAGGGGGGGGGTGAGAAATGTGACGTCACATCAAAATGCGCAACTTTAAATAAATACAGACAACACGTTCTACTTAATTAAATAGACTTTTTTAATGTTTTCTCCTACAACATCAGAGTGCAGCGCCACATTAAATACGCACTACAATGACAATAGTTTAAAGCGATTTGAAGCATGGTTTGTTTGGGGGTGGGGGCAGAGCTTTGTGACGTCATATTTGACAGGGGGGGGGTCTGACTTTTTGTGACGCCGTGTGACGATGGAGGGGGGGGGGGGTCAAAAATCGTCAAAAATCGCGTGACGTCATTTATGGACGGCCCCTATGGCATTTGGCTTGCCCCCCCCCTCCTACATCTCGCTTATCTCGTCGTCCCGCCCGCTCTCAATCTCTCCCACTCCTAACCCCCCCCCCCTCTCTCCTTGTACACAATCTCGCTCCCCCCCCACCTCTTGCACTGGAACAAACTTCCCCTGCACATGAAGCGAGAAAAGCACAGCATCCCCTGTCGGGTTTCAGCCTCTTCCGTCCAGACCTCTTCCTCCTCCCTTCCCCTACAAGAAGACCCCTAGGAATCCACGCTAATTCCCCGTACCCGCTCAGCCTTCACTCCCCCACAACCCCATCCCCCCTATTCGCCACGTGACTTTGAGCGAACCCTCCCTATAACCACTCTAAACCCGTGCAAAGCGCCTTGGAAGAAGGCGCTTTGTTCATTTAAGATCCAGCAGTGGATCGAGTGTGGCTGCTGAAGACGATGAAAGCGACCGCGTTCGGAGGAGATGTGTGTATATATATTTTAAAAATGTTAAACATCTTTTTTTTTGTTAACGAACGTAAAGGGTGCATTGACCGCGCCATTCGCACCCACTCACGCAGAGATCGTTGTGAGTTTCGCTCGCGATTTAAGGGACGAGTTTGAAGCTTCAAATCAAGATTTAGTTTTTAAGTTGTTAAGCCGCCAGAGAGAAGTGAAGAATCGATTCTAAGGCTCGACATTACCGGAATCGATTCCTACTTGAGCAATCAATTGGCATATAGCGCGTCAAAAAATCTATTGCTTACGCGTATTGCTAAATTATGTTCAAATATTAAGCGCACGTTTTCCCGCAGCCTATTTTGAACCGACTAGACGTGACAAATAAGATCGCATAAGCGGGACCTGACCATCGATTCCCTTTGCGCGTTTCGATTCTACAACGATTCGCGTGGGGGGTCGCTCACCATTTTCCGAAGTGTACAGTACGTACAATGCTCGCGTTTACAATCATAATAACTACCGCGTTGTAAGCTACGCGTCTTGCAGCTCTCAAACTAGGTAAACAACTGAGGTGGTTAAGCGATAGAATATTGTAATAATGGTTAATAAACGTAAGCGCCGAACCGTAGTTACCAACGCATTTGCATCAACCGCCTCTGTTTAAATAAACTTGGTTATGCAACACCAGTTCACGATTTAATTAAGCAGAAAATAAAACGTCGTGGAGTTTTACTAACATAGCTGCCTTAAAATAACAACGTTAAATTATTAAACTGCCTAGGCGTTGTTGCCGTATTACGCTCGGTGCGAATGGCCTAGTGGTTGGCATAGCAACGTGACGCCAGCCTCTGGTCTGAACGCGTTTGTTTTATTTTTTATTATCTGAATAGTGTATTAAAACATAACCCTACGTTCTGTGGTGCTTTCGGTAAAGTCACGTAGATAGCAAAATAACAATAAAATAATGAAAATAAAGTGAATAAAAAATATCACGACGTTTCGATCGCAACACAAGCGGTCGTCATCGAGTGCATTAAACGTATTGGTTTGACAATCTAATGTGTCATACTCCGTATACAGAGCCCGTTTGTGGCATGGTATGTATGCTAAGCCGTCATCAGCCGCGGTTAAAAACTAGTTTCTACCTTTAAAACTAAATTTCTTCAGAACTCCTTGATGGGGAGCGGTGGTGCAGCGGTTAGCGCACCGAACCCGGCTGTCCCGAGTTCGATTCCCGCTCACGGCCGACACCGGTGACGATTTTCTGAACCGGTCGTGGGCCTCCCCTAGGTGGACTCAGCCTCAAATGAATTCCTGGTGCGGTGTGTAGTAAACATCGTCACTAGGGGAGACAAAGGTCGGTCGGGCGTGGGTGCTGGCCACCCACCCCTTCGCGTGCCGTGCCGGCCTTAATGGGTGCTCGCGAACAGTCTGTTAGGGCGATACGGGGGATCTTTGTCTCGTCTTTGTCCTTCCCCAGCACCTCCTGATTAGGCCGGTCGGCTACCAAAGAAGTTCGAACACACATGATGAATCCGCTGTTTTCTTGCCAACGACAACATGCACCTCAAGCCAAGACCTCACGCCTGGGATCGGGCTGCTGCTGTCAACCATCCTGGAATCTCGAAGCAGATCTTTCAAGAACGCAGGCGAACGGAGTTGGGGGCAACGCGGACTTCCCGAAATACGACGAAAATGAGCCAAGAATGTCTGTGTGTCCCGCGCGTGACGTCGCTACACGTCGGCCAGCCCCCCTCATTAATAATCATGAGCGGGTGACGTCACTCCACATGGGTCAAGGCGCCTCCTCCCCCCTCCTCACCGTCAACTCACAACCCTCACTACAAAGGCAGAACCCTCACGTCACGCGATCTGCGTGACGCTGTTGAGACATCAAAGTAAAAAGGACGTCATGATGAACAAGGGATTATAACCTTAAAGTGAAATAAGTCTGTGTCACCGCGGCCTTACAAATTGCACACGAATTGATGCAATGATTATAACGTCGCCGTCTGCTTTTCTCTTGCAAGTTTCAGATTTACTGAAATACATCCGTCCTTGGACGGGCAAAAGGCTAGTAATAACCTTTCAAGACCCAGATGTCATTGCACCTCCCGGCTTTGGCATTCATCGAAGACACTGGTGAAGCTATCAACCGCATCAGAACATCGCCTTCATAAATGGAGAATTAATGACAAGCTGCAGTCGTGCGATTTTGGCCATGCAATCCAAAGTCTGGCCCGTCAACGACTGTAGTCTGCACTCCTTCTTGTTGTGTTTAGTTTGTTGTCCTTCCCCTGCACCTACGATTAGCGCGATTGGCTACGTACGGTGCGAAAGAAGTTCAATATATACACAATGGAGGAGGAACAGTAACACTACACGAACTTTCTTCTGAAGCGGTCTCGTGGCTAGCAGACCTTGATATTGTCTTTCAACTTCTGAACATATTGCTATATATCTTGCTGTTTCCTTACTCTTTGGTTCTTTAGGTAAAGTCACGTAGGTATAAAATAAAATAAATCACGACATTTCGATAGCAACGTCGTGATTTACTTAATTTTATACCTACGTGACTTTACCGAAAGAACCAAAGAGTATGGATTCCTGCAGTCAGGAAAGCTTCAAATCAAGATTGCTGCTTCCTGTTAGACTAAAATATACAGCATAAATTATATACCTATCTTTTTCTGGCCCCTCTAGCTCTCACATTTGCACTGGGTTTTTTTTTACTCCCGTGTGTGTTGGTTTACGACCGTTAAATACCTCGTCGTGCAATATTCGTTAAGAAACTCTGTACCCGTTCTCTGCAGTATTAATGGTTTTGTTCATGTAGTGCTCATGCACCACAGATTTCTGTTGTAAAATAACCGGGAAACTAGCTAGATGGCATCTACCATGTAACATGTCAAAAGAAACTTGAACGTCAAACTTAAACTGTATGCGAGAATTGAATCGACTGCTGGATGAAACGCTTCCCAATCTCACCATCTCTCAGCCCTGTAACAATTTATCTACTTAATGCACATGAGATTATTTAATTGATCCATATCCACATGGGGTAATCCTCTCGGGCGCGTTACCTCTTGGCTGCCACTATTATTGACCATCGGTCATCATTCTAGTTATGTGCCCAGCTCATATCAATTTTACACAGGCAAATCCGAGTCGAGCCAGTGCAGGGTCTACATGATATGGGTGGATTTTCCACTGGCATTTACCGTACCGAGCCGGAATTAAACCACGGCACAAGTGTAAATGAGGTACCATAGAACTCAATGGTCAGGTCATAATGCTTCTGTCTATGTTTGTCACGACAGATACCCTAGCAACATGGAGCACGCAGCAGAGAGCGATGAAGACATGGTCTCCTCACTGAGGGAGCTTCTCTGGGGGCTAGACGCACGGACCGGCATGCGAACCACAGATGCCCTTCTCCGCCTGGAGGAGACCGATGACAACTTCCACAAGTGAGCCTGGTCCCGAGACGGAGAGTTAAACCACGAGACCTTGTGCGGAGGAGAATTTGAGGCATGCAATCGATATCGCTGATAACCATCAGCACACAGCTTTTTATTTTTATATATTCGACCAAAACACCTGGATTGTTGTTGAACCTATTCGATTCTCAGAAACTAAGCAGCTTCGAGCCTAAAGAGTGTTGGATTAATAGCTGCCATGTACAAACAGGTTGTCGTCATTGGGCTGCAGTGGCTATGTGATGAGCAGCATAGAGTTGTAGAGCAAAATCGAATGTACCGTAGTAATGTTGCCATGTCTCTGCTCTCTGCCTTTACCAACCCTGCACTGACCAATATAATGAAGCATGGTCAAATAATCCCTTCTACCTGCATAGTGTGGGGCGGCCTTCATCCAAGAGTGGATTAAAATTATTTTTACATGCTCATAAGCGAAGCTATAAAATATAATGTTGAATCATTACTACAAATAGAGCTTTGTAATTAACCCTCATGGTCATTTTTGCACAGTGCCTAAGAGGTTTCCAGGATGAATACGAGCATATTGTTTCACAGCCATTAACATGGTTTCCGAATCATTAAGATATTGTAATCTTAAAGTATGATATCGTTTATTATCTCTCTGCATAATACCAATATATGCCAACGCTTAATAGATTGCTTTGCCTCTTAAAAGTACCTACATACAACCGTATGATGTGCAGTATTTCAGAAACCGTAATTCTGAGTTAGAAAGTAAATTATGTCCATATATTTATTAGAACAAAATAGATAAAATAAAGATTAACCATTGCAAAAATTCATAAAATTGTCCCATACAGATTCATTGTTTTACTTTGCTGGATAATTTTGTTCAGTTATGTGTGAGAGTTAAATATTAATTCGTGAATAAATTAATCTGTAAATAGTGCAGCCATTATAGATGACTGCTAGATTTTATGGTGAAGAAATTCGCAATAACCCCTCAAAAAAAATAATGTATGCTTTCACAAAGTGGTTTAGCAATCAATAAGCAGTTGCCTTGTTTTGCCACATTCTTTCATAATGATAAGTGTACCTTTTTAAGATTCATGTTGTTTATTTTATTTATCATATAAAAAGTCTTTATTTTTTTTGTAGTGAGAGTCATTTTACTCCTGATTGCTTCACAGGTCTCCCTTACAAATACAATTTGCTTAAATTGGCTCTAATTAGTTTTCAATACATTTCATGTATGTACTGTATTTATTTATTTCCTGCACATTTTTCAACTATTGAGTACCCAGGCAATAAATATTAGGCCAAATGTAACTATGCATTTGATGAATGTGTTTATATATATTCTTATGCTCGTGATAGGTGAGTCATATATTTGAGAAATTATTATTTATGGTTTATGCAATTATGTGCATATAATCAGATAATTTTGGATTGCAAGACCATGAGATATAGTGATGGCTTTCGAAAGCCTCGTTCCAGCAGTTGATATATAATGTCTGGCAATGGGATGATGAAGCCAATGCTATATTTAGGCTAATAGAATAGACGAATTAAGACAATAATAATTTGGCAGTAATAAAAACGAGAGCATTACAAAAATACTAAAAAAAAAATTAATTTGAATATAATTGTGATCCTCAATCTTACCAATAGAACCATTGGAGGGATACATCGTTCAATGCTTAGTTACCCCACACCCAGTGTGCTCATTTATAGTCGGTCTGCATATGGTTTAAGTCAGGATTGCGATATTGCTGGGCTTGTGTGCAGGTATGAGTTTGTGAAGCAGCTCAAAGCTCAGCTGGAGCGCTCTCTTGGCCGCGTCATCGATGACGAGATTGAGAGGAGCTCCGTAGGCACGGGCGTCGGCTTGTCCAGTGAGCAGGAAACACTGGTGCAGCGGGTGGCCCAGCGAGTAACCAACTCTGACGCGTGAGCACACTATCCATGACAACCACCGTGGGACGGATTTCTGGCACGAGTGATTGTAACGTCATCGTGTTGTCTGTAGATCCCATGTCACTGGTCCGTCACTCTTTCTAAGAGCGCTTTACTTATTTGCATTCATTTGAGAATTTGCCCTTTTACCAAATCACCAGCGGGTGGCCCAGCGAGTAACCAACTCTGACGCGTGAGCACACTATCCATGACAACCACCGTGGGACGGATTTGTGGCACGAGTGATTGTAACGTCATCGTGTTGTCTATAGATCCCATGTCACTGGTCCGTCACTCTTTCTAAGAGCGCTTTACTTATTTGCATTCATTTGAGAATTTGCCCTTTTACCAAATCACCCAAAATATGCCTAATTTTCTCAGATCTCAAACTCCAAGCAGATTAAACCTGGATAGTGCCCGGATGGATGTCCAACATGCACTCCAGCATTTACATAGGTGGCTGAAAGGCTAGGCTTCATATTGGTCAGTAGAGGACAGTGCATTAAATTAATTTGCTGTAGTGTGTTTCGATACTCCCACAACTATGCTGCCTGCCTTTACGGACCCGCACTGACCAACGTGTCAAAGTTTCATTAATTAACCGCCACGACCAACACGGAGTGGGGAGGCCCTCGTCCATCACTGGTGTGACAAATGGGAAAGTCGTGTACAATTGTGGTCTTGGGCACAAGCCTAAATTGAACTTGTGTGTGACTGCATGAATGGCTGTGACAGTTATGCAGAGCTGGAGCAGAGCCTAAAGGTGCGCATACTGGCGGCTGTGGACGTTCTTCTGGGAGGCATGGAGGAGGAAAAACACTCCCGGCGGCCAGGGCAAAGTGACTCAGTGCGCCGCTCCAGCAACAGCGAGAGCTTTTCATTTGATAACAGCTCTGACAGCGACTCATCGTTCAACCAGGTTGGCAGTGGCACAGCTATCGAGTGTCCAGGCGGTGCAACTACATTGGTGCCCATGGGCCAGCAGAGCCCAGGCGCCGGGTACAAAGAAGGGGCATATTAGGCAAGGGGTTCAATTTCATTCCTTGTGCCAGGGCCCAAGTTAACCATGCTACGTCAAAAAATGTGGGCCAGCCATCTGTGCCCTGCATGAACGCAGGGCTGTGGTCAAGTTGTGGGTCATCAGAATGAGCAAATACACGTAATGCACCGAAGTCATTGATGACAATTGTAGTCGTGCATTCTCGCAAGTGCTGGGAATTGTGAAATTTTTTCCTTTAAATGCGATTTGATGTTAATTTGTTTATATGATTGAAATAGTATTTGCTGCTCTGCACAAATTGGGTTTTACGTAGAGGTTTTTCTTGCTTTATGCAGTAGATACGTTACAAAAAAGGGCGCACAAAGTGAAACCCGCACGAGACAGCTGCCTTTCGAGTAGCGCATACAGTGCACACAATGTTTTCCCACGTCCAACCGCATAGCCGCATTTGAGTGAATTAAAACTGGATATAGCGAATGTTTGACCCACAGAACTTCATAGTTTCCCTAGATGTACATTGACAATAGATGATTTACTTCCTTTTACTTATTACTTGTTTATCTAGTAAAGACACAGCAAGTCGTGGACTTTTTTTTAAAGAGGGTCCTGCATTCAGTTTTTATTTTATGATCTTTTCAGCCATTTGTTGAGTATTTATACAAGTGGGAGAAACCTAACACACGCAAGGGGGAAACCCTATCTCCGTACAGATGGAAACATTGCTATTAGTCCACTTCGTGTACTGCATTCTACTGGCGAGCCAAGGTATGGTACCTCGATACCCACGGGAAGGGAGTTTCAATACATTTGTGCGATCCACCAACCCAGTGCTGGATTCCACGCATGCATAGCCACCACTGATCAGCAGCTGAAACTCGCTTAAGCAGCTGGAGTGTACACAACAGTTTGGACAGGACTAGTTAAAAGACAATAATTTTACCACTGCAAGAGAAGGTGGTTGGAAAAGTATGGTAACTTTAAAGTGAAAAGTTAATTGAGCATTCCAGGTAAGGTGTTTACCAGAGGTTTTGTGAATGTACACACTCTAATATCTGTACTTGTTTGTACAGGGAGCATTCATGTTCATGAATCAGGAGCAATTCTACAGGATTGCTGAGAACTTGGACTCCAGGCAGCCACTCGAGGTGCGCTGTCCATTCCCTGGGAAAGTCTTCTATTAGGACCGTGTTTATAACTAAGGTGCTTTATCAGCCATGGTGCTTCCATTATTTGAAACAGTAATGCATCTGTTTCACTGCCTTACATAAAATAGAAAACATTCCTTCACATTTGTGTTTGGGGTGCTGGATTTATCCAATATCAATGCATATATTTAGAAAATACCTTTCATCTAAAAATGTAACTACACCATAAAATCACTGCCTTTGTTTATATGTTGTCGCATATCTTTTCAAAAGTAATTTTGAGAGTGTATTTTCCATTTTACTTAGCGTTTTTTTATAATTTATTGTATTTTATGGCCATGTTGCTTTTATGAAGCCAGTCTGTGCTCTACACTAAAAATTCCAAAAACAGAAATTGAAAACATCCCAAGTGGTTACCAGCCTTGCCTATTTGCTCCGATTAAATCAGGGGAGGCCTTCTTGGCCATGTAAAGATGCATTATCGTGAAACTTGGCACGATGCTTGGCCGGTGCTGCGTTTCAGGTGCGCAGGGACGCACTTCATGCCCTGTACTCGCTGCCCCCGTCGGACGTTCTGGCCAGTGAGAGCTGGAGCTCACTGCGCAAAGGACTCATGGATGCACTCGGAGATGCTGACCCCACTCTGAGCGTGAGCCTAATTAATTTGTTGTCACTTACGGGGTTAACGCACGTTTATTGTTGCTGTCCACAAAGTGAAGGTAAATGCAAGATTTACAGCGGAATTGTTTTTTGAATTACTTTTGTGGATTTTGTATTAGTTATTTAATTTTTGATGTTTTACAAACAGCTGTGTCACAGCGGTTAGCACTGTGCTATGAACTTGATGAGCTGAGTTTGATTTCTGGGCCACAGCTAACATTATTAGCAAGCGATATCTGAACTGACTGCGCCCTTCACAAACCTATACTGAACAGTGTGGCCAAGTATGGTCAAACAGCCCTCATGACTGACATGGGAAAGTGTGGGGAGGCTTTCTATCCATAAGTGTATTTACAGGGATGAAAGTTAATATACTTAGTATGCAAACACCCCATTTCTATTAAGCCGGCTGATGTCAAAGAACACAAGTGAATGTTGTTTTTTTATTATTACTTAAGAGCTAATATATAGGTCTAATATACGGTTCTAGTAAAAAATTACACGTGTAAAGTACATATGTGACGTTTATATCCAGGTGTCGATGACCAGCTTGCATTTTGATATTTCCTTGCCACTTAAATGGGTTCGTAGGGTTTTATTCTTTGTAATGTATCACTTGCACAAACAAAGTGCTTGTCAGAGTGTATGAATGTCAAGCAATATTTGCTTGTTGTTGCCATATTAGCCTTTGTCAAACTCATAGATTGGAAGAAATAAGCAAATGTAATGGCACGTATCGGTCTGTTTTCTCCTTCTTGGCTCAGGACAAGAGCTTGCGTTTGCACGCAAAAATGTTCACCGCCTCTTCACCGCACGTCACCAAGGAAATCTATACCAGCTTGGGTAAGCTGTGCAAGAACATTTTCACATTATGACGAGATCACATTTTAATGGTTCGAGGGACGTGGGCAACGAATTGCCTTGGGAGACAACTGCTCACTGTGTTTTTTTATATTTTTTTAAAATCATGTTTTGTGCAGCGGAACACTTGGAGAATGAGTTTCATTCCCAGATGAGCAGTCTTGGCAGCTTGATTGGAGGGTTGGACGTTACCAATGCTAACACGGAACATCTGCTTAAAAAGGTACACACCCCCCCCATCATGTCCACTTGTGAACATGTAAAGAGTATACTTTGAAAAAACGTGCATATTCAATTATAGTCACGTCTAATATACTGTTTTTAATAGATGCAGTATCTGTCCTGTATTTTGCGAAATCATGTTTTCTTTGCATAACTCAATGTACTCTACTATAACACACAATTGTTTACTGTAATGATAGGACATGCTATTTTGAGCAGTATGGTATATGATGATTTAAAGCTTTCGAGACTGCAGGGATTCAATTTCTTGGTTCTTTATTTTATTGTTTCCCTTCTACGTGACTTTACCGAAAGAACCAAGAATATGGTATATGATGTATAAAGAAAATATTTCGTATGTCAATTTTGTAAGGAAACTCTTTTCTTATGGTGAGGACAATTAATACGGGTAGAGCTGTGTGTAGAATATTGCGAGATACTTCAGATTAGTACTGGCTTTAGAATTATCATGAAAACAAGCAAATGGAGAAAACTGAGATGAAATAGAGTGACATTGGAAAAAAGGACTCAATCAGCATTAAGGTGAACAGCTTTTGATCTGATTACATCATAAAGTGTTTTTCTTGACTGACACACAATGTGAGGTGTGAGAGCAGTGGTGTAGTGGTTGGCACCCTGTACTACAAACCCAGAGACACGAGTTCGATTCTTGTTCACGGCCGACACCAGTGACAAATATCTGAACTGATCTCGGGCCTCCCCTAGGTCGACTGAGCCTCAAATGAGTACCTGGTGCGATGTGTAAAATCATCACCACTGGGGAGACAAAGGTGGCTGGGTGTGGTGCTGGCCACCCACCCCCTCGTGTGCCGTACCTGCCTTCATAGGTGTTCGCTAACAGCACTTGCTTCTGCAATCTGTTAAGGCTTTATAGGGTATATTTGGCTTTGATGTGAGAGCGCTACTTCATTAATTTAAGAACCAATTATTATTTATGTACTATGAAGAAGGACCATTGCCCAATACGTCACCTATTATAGATTTTTCATTTTAAAGCAGTGTTATTAATGATTGGGTTGAGGTTTTTGTGATTTTTTTTAGGAATGTCAGAAGTTGCTGCTTTCTAAATAGATAATTTGCTTTAAAAACATAACTAGTGTCTTGGTGGTGCCATGAGCAAGAGAAATAATCAACAAAAAAATAACGTGTCAGGCCAGGATTCATGTAGGGAAATCATGAGAAGATTTGAAGATAGAATCGCAGAAACAGCTGCCAAGGAAAACTGGGTTATTGTCTTTGGAAAGAAGAACAGATTTAATATATATTGAAAATGCTTATTGAACTGGTTCGGTGAAGAACATTTTAGTTTAAGTCTCAGCAGTATTGAAGGTGGCAAGGTGTTATTATGGTCCCACCGGAAAATCAGTGAAAGGTCAGAAGGAAGGTGCAGAAATCTATTCTGACTTTCTACACCTTAAAGCAACATGTTAAGATAAGTCACCATGAAAACATGTACGGCCCTTTGTCAATTTGCTCGGTGGGTATGTACGGCATGAAAGAAGTTCAACATACATGCACATGTGATATGGGGCTCTGTGAATAAACTTAACTTTGTCGGTGAGTGCATTTTCTGAAAGGCGGGGAGAATAATTGTGTCTTATGATGCTACAATAAATATATGTGACCTGGAACGTTGCTCTCGTAGTCTAATTTGCACATGCCTCCATATTCTTATGAAGATATATAGATTATATGCACAATATCGGGGAATTATGCATTGATTCGTCTAAAGCTCATGATACAGTCATGGAATTGCATGCTTCAGAATCTGCATGGAATTTAATAGCATGTCACCCCTGCAGCCACTAGTGATGCTACAATTTACCACAATGTTAATAATTTATTATTGAATGGAATTGTGATCTTGAATTACAATTTCTGGAATTGCTGTGGATTGGGCGTGGCAGTGAATTGTTCCAATCGAAATGGATGATATCCTAGCGTTCTGTATACAGTACATTACGTTCTATGTGACCGGTTCTACAAATACACATTTTAGTTTCAAAATGTAATGCATAGCTGCAAAAATCGACTACACAATGTTCAATCATGCGGTATTTGCTGCGTGACTTAAAATCTGCGACAAAACATAATAAATTTGAGCAGGTGTTGTCAAGGTATACATTTCACGCATTCATAACTCGGTGTGTAACAACTAACCTTAATTGCGATTCAACGTTGCCGCAATTCAGGGTCGTCCTGCCGCCCAATGAATAATCAATTACAATTCGGATTGATATGGCGTCTAAATGTGACCGTAGTTCAAGAAGCTGTAGATAAATTGTAAAAAGAAATACACATCTTGCACTGAGAGAAAAAAGAAAGAAAAACAGAAATTATCTTCTTGGTTCTTTCGGTAAAGTCACGTAAAGTCACTACGTCACTACGTGACTTTACCGAAAGAACCAAGAAGGTGAATCCCTGCAGTCACGAAAGCTTTAAATCGAAACAGAAATTATGTTTTTTTTTATCTCATTTTACCACAGTTTCGTATCGTGCTTTTTCGTCCAATTTGTACATTTCCAAATGCTTATTTAGCTTGAATGTAAGTATCCTTTGCATGTATGTTGCATACTTGTAAATCATTATTACACGCACCATTCCGTGCATTTTTCGTGAGTGTAAGAATTGCGTGTCCAGAAGATGGCAGTGCAGGACTAGAATTCAACAATAATAAGCAGGCAATAAATGTCTACGTCATTTCTACATCTGTCTATCCACATACAAAATTCTTACACAACCCATCAGCAGCACAACGTTGTTTGTGCATAATTCAGCAGCATTGATTCAATACAAACAAACTGGACCAGTTTCGAAATATCCTGCCTTATCTGCAGAATCAGATTTGCTTGATTCATGGCTTGCTTTTATTAACCAATGCTTGTTTTTTTTTAAAGCAAGCCTGACTGATAATGAGACACCGTATGTCAAATTCGGTCCACAGATTTTATGAATCATCGCTGCTGAAATTATGCACTGCCAAAAGGTCGTGCGGCTAATGGCTTGTACAAACAACGCTTTTATATTTTCACATGGCGAGACGGATATATGGAGGAGACGTGTGCCTATTTATCTTGTTACAAATCGACAATTTTGTTTCAGTTGGTTACACATTGAACATTATTGGGCTCGGTAGAGCAAGCAGTTATAGTGTGCATACAACATTAATCAATGTATTGATTAAAATAGATTCTTACTCTCACTGGTGCATGTATCTATGTAATTGTGCGTATAAAACAATTATTTCAAATTAATATAGTTTATTATGAACTGTATCATCATGAATTGCAAAGATTCACATCAGTGTAGAGTGCACGCTCATTTCAAGGGAACAAAAATATATTTGCAAATAAAGTTTTCAACCCGAAATGGTGACAGTTCATCAAACTGTGGATGGGTGAATCAATAAGATAGCTAAGGTACAGCATGATCTTCCATTCCCATTAAAATTAAGTAAATTTTTTATCAGGTAAGGCCCACTGAGCGATGTATCTCTTTTTCAGAAGTGACCTGGCCATAAATGATAACTCAATGAAGTGGCCTATTGTGGACATTTATAGCAGCCAAATACTCGACACAAATGTTTCTAAATGTAGAGGGAAAAACTGGAGAACCCGCAGAAAAATCCACGCGGCCACCATGGGAAGAACATGCCAACTACAATTAGACAGGTGTCAGGGTCAGGATCGAACCCACGACCTCCTGCATACCAGGCGAGGTAGTTAACATCCCCCCACCGTGGCACCCCAAGTAGATGAGGAGCAAGGTGGTCCACACTTTCATTAAAATTATATCAGCTCACAGTGGTCATATTTTGCATATTGCACAAGTTTATTTAGTTGTCATTGATAGCTCTCCAAAACATGACACACAAAGAGCATATATTGAGGTTCAGCACAACTATTTTCACTTAGTATTAGTAGAATGCATACGTTTAATGTGTAAAATGTCGTGTTGTTTTGCCTGTTCGTTTGAACTTTGCAGATACGATTGCTGAATGACTTTCAAAAAGAGGTGCCATCGTTTTGGATCCGTTCACCTGAAAAGTACGCACACGTGCCTCGCAAATTACCAAAGCATGTGATGCGAGTTTTGTAGCAAAAACTATTGTGGAATTGTTTTATTGATTCAAAAAAGTATACACACTTAATCTTCTTGGTTCTTTTGGAAAAGTCACGTTAATGACTTTACCGAAAGAACCAAGAAGATGAATCCCTGCAGTCACGAACGCTTTAAGTCGAAAAGTATACACACTTATTTTGCCTCTCATCGCAGAGTTTTAACTAAATACTTGGCTTATTACAGACTCATGAGCACTGGTGGATTTTTTTTTGCCTGCGCAGAACAAATTAGGAGTCCGTTTGGAGAAGTGGAATACAGGGTACAAGTATATGTAAAAAAAATTAGCCCTTTTGTCAATCCGCTGCTGGATGTTGACCTCTGCACACCATGGGGTTTATTTGACCATACTTCATCACGCTGGTCAGCATGAGTTGGTGAAGATGACGAGCATAGATATAGAAGCAGAGTACTTACAACAACGGATTTTTTTCCACAATATCCTCTGCTGCCTACCTTGTTGTCCTTTAATTTCTAGCACCTTTTATTAAGTGGTTTTTCAACCAAGCAATATCCAGGCTTCACTCCTGCTTTGCTTCTGAGATCTGACGAGATGGAGCATATTTTGGGTGACTTGTTCATGGGTGCAGTGCATCCTGCACGAATGACAGCCAAGGAGTGATGCCTGCATTGATTGGATTGTGCTTGTCCCATTCAGGTTAATGGAGGAGATTGTGGAAAGCACCCTGTCATTCCTCGCCTGCTCATCAGACCGCCCACAGAGAGAGGACACCACTCATAACATCGTCCATCCCATTTGCCTGCTGTCATTATTGGACCCTAAAGCAGCCTGGTTCAAACTCTGGATGGTGAGGCATGTGCAATGTTTTCCTGCTGTTGTTCTTCCCAACCAAGTAAGAGTCAATGTGATATCCATTGGTCATTTCCAGAATCTTATTGATAGTATGCACGTGGTCGATGGAAGAGAAAAGTTTCCTAAATCTGGCATGCACATATGGTTCGTTTGACTCTAAATGTTCCACTTTCCAGTTCCCTCTTATTCTTGTGAACAATATATATGTGCAAGAGGGGACTGATGGTCTTTGGTTATTAATATCACTTCTGTTTACCTTTTTGAAAATAAATAAGAATTGCAGCATAATTTCACGATTGACAAATTTTCATATCTGTTTCTGGATATAAATAAAGTCCAGAAAAATAGGTATCCAAAACTAATAATAACAATATCCAGCTCAGGAATCTTATAGCTTATTTATAACTGACAGAGGTGGTATATTGAGGGACATTGCACAACTTGCGAATCAAGTTGTGGACTAAACATGCATGCATTGTTTTGGTTCCATAGCATGGCTACTACAGCAGGACAGTGGTACTTCGGCTGTTGGAGACAAAATACATCTCACTGGTAAGTTCTCAGTCCTTTCGTAGATGGCTTAAGTTAAAAACGTGGACCAAATTGGCAGTATTCATATTCCTGTGCAAATGTAGATGCTAATTGACATGGGTATCTGCTGGGGCTACAGTGTGGCCAGGAGAGGACACTGCATAAAAATGGATTGTTGCACTGTACTATGCTCCAATGTTATGCTGCCCGCCCTCACTGACCAGCGTGTTGAAGTGTGGTCAAATAACCCCAATGACCTGCACAGTGTGGGGGAGATGCCATCATCCAGCAGTTGATTGACAAAAAAGGGCTGTACATTGTGGAATACAGGATTGTGGTATGATGGAGTACATTGATGATATGATTTGGTGTGGACAGATTAAGGATGCTGTGCAGCAGTGTTACAGCTACAGGCAGGCATTGCAGAGCTGCCAGGATGGGACGGAGGAGATGAGAGCAAGCCTACAACAGCAGACCATTCGTGAGTGCCACAATATCCATCCATTGTTCGATTCCTTCATCCTGCAGATCGCTGTCAGACCGTCACACCTTCATCCCTTAATTTCACAATTCTGCCATTGCCTTATCCCTTCATCCTCTCATCCCTTCATCCCCTTCTTCATCATCCAGTTCATAAATGCATGAGCAGTTGTTCACCGAGACTACTAACCTTTAAGTCGCTGTCATTCATTCCCTTGTTAATGTATTCATTCATTATCTTTTGTCAGTACAGTCATTATTTTTTAATAGTGTGCTTTATTGATGCCATCATTCTCATCGAATGGAAAGATTGCCACCATTCTGTAGGACTCATAGCATAATATTTAATTTACAGCCTTGTAAATCCACTGCTGGATGAAGGCCTCTTCACCATGCTGGTCAGTGCTGATTGGTGAATTAATCGGCCCATGACCAGTTCATATATAACTCGTCACTGATGTTATTCATTTTCGCAAAATTTTACTCTGGTTACTGGGTTCGCAGCTTGTTGCGTCAACCACTGCACTACTCCCCTCGGAATGTTGGTCTTATAACTGTGGAGCAGTGATTCGTTTTCAGTTGTATAGATGATCTGCACAGTACCATTGCTCGTGATGCAGTGGGAGATGGTTAGTGATACAGGGATAGTGCCATGTTCCTGTATAAAAACTATCCGTCATGAAGGCCACCCACCCCTACAAACTAGTGGCGATTCTAATGGGTATTGTTTCTGAAGACTTACAGACTGTGACGTTATTAATTAATGTTCATTGTGAAGATTTTTAAATAAATCTGCACATGAGTGACTTGGGAAATTAGTGTTAGAATTTAGGCATCTAGGGCCACTAAAATTGGGTTGTGAATCATTCCCAGCAAAGCAATATACATAAATTCTTAGCAACTCCGTCCTGTACGTTAATTAGTGAATTAATTTAATTTGTTGATTTTAGGATTTCTGCACGGGTGATTTATGTATCTGTTGAACTCCGTGATTGTGTGCACTAAATCATGTAACAGTGGTATCAAGAGACCAAAGGTGTCATTGACATTATTGGCAGTTAATCCACCTCTGAAGAAGAGCTGAAAAAAAATCAAATTAGTAATTCCCGTGACATCCATAATATCTGTGCTGAGATATATTCCTTTGCGACATAGTTGAATTCAGGTTGATTTCTGGATTTATTCCATTTGTCCTTCAGGAATAGTTTATATTAAATGTGTTTGGGCAGTACATGTCCTTGTGTTAGATTCATCTACGCTCGATGGGTTCTACATTGACATTGTTTAAGGATTCAAGGATTTGAATGTATTGGGAACTTAAAGACCTCAGCACCTCCAAGCACCTTACGTCACATCTCAACGATTCTATTGCCTGAGGGGACTTGCAGTAGCAACTGTGCCTACACAACAACAATTGCCATTCGCCACTAAGTGATGGTGATGTCACCACGGCATTTGTACCAGGCTAGGTGCACATTGAGGCCACGTGAAGTGTCAAAGGCTTGATTACATGAGGCCATGGAACATATCCAGGTGCCATGGATTAGCCGACTGAAATGACTGGCAGATGCACCACCTGTCCTACCCGCTGTGCGAACTTGAAGTGTTTTAGCCACCCGGCGCTCAACTCATTATGAGCGTTGCTCATCCACCCTCCGTTGTTGCTGGAGGGCAAATGCTTCCAGCTGCCTAGAAGTATCATTCATGAGCCTCCACCACAACGACTGATCTTGACACTTGCTGGTGTTAGTCATCAGCAAATCCAATCGGCTCCAAATTATTCTTTACCACATTGGTCGACCTAGCCTGTGCCATGTCCATTTAGCCTCCTCTATCTGGCCAAACAAGCTGCTTGAGCATTGTGGGAATGCGGGTTACATGACCCAGCCTGCAGATGGGTATAGTTTGCCAGAAGTGGGTAATGTTACTTTGTGTGTTTTTTAAATGAAGTAATTGTGGTTTTTTTGGTAAATATATAACAATACATCTTGCAATGCAGTTGCATTAAGTTACTCCATACATCAAAATTGACATTGTATAACGTATTGACTCTCTTCAAATGCAGGCACTGGCAAGTTATTCCATTAGATCTTCTGCATGCTTGTAATATGTAAAGATCCCTCACAATGTTAAAATGTGTTGGACCAATTATGACAAGAATAAATACTTACATATTTGCATGTTGTACATGAATGTTATTTATAGCGAGGTGAGAGCCCACTGAGACAACAGTATATAGCAAGTGAGCCCTGGGGGTGAAAGCAAATAATGTACAGTAAAGGATTAAAAAAAAACATCGAAAACAGAAGGTGAAAACAAATGTCTAAACACAATCACTAAAAATATTTAGCTATATTTTTCACACCTTTGCAGCCAAGAAAATAGCACAAATTAATAAAATATATTACTGTATATGCTCCAAACAATTCAAGATTCTATACTAGTGCATCTGACATTCCTCCCTCACCATGCCGCCGATTGTTTAATATCAAGGCGTTGGCAATTATGGTTGGACGCATAGAAAGTAGCAGGTTTCCTTGTACAGACCCTTTGTCAATCTGTGCTGGACGAGGGCCTTCCCACGGCTTATCGTGAAGGTTATTTGACCCTACTTACATGCATCATCATGCTGGTCAGTGCAGGTTGGTGAAGGTGGGGGAGCATAGACACGTGAGTCTAGAATTTTGCAGTGCTCTCTGTTGCCCACCACGTAGTCTTATGACAACCTGTTCGGCATGGTGGTCGCTCATCCAAGCACTATCCTGGCTCAACCCCGGTTACGTTTCGACGTCTGATGAGAACAAGGAACGTTCTGTGTGATGTGGTAATCATAATAATTCCTGAAGGCCTGCACCCATAATATAGTTGTTTTTGGGGGGGGGGGGGGGGTTAGATCGCTTTAATGTAAATGTGTCGTTAAATCCGCCACCAACTGCACGTTGTGTTCTGTGCACACAGAGAGCGGGCGAAGAACAACATACACGCGGGCCGAGCTGCTGTACCTGCACTTTGTGCACTCGCTGTGCATGCTGGGACGGCTGCTGATGTACGCCCATGGACGAAAACTTTTCCCGCTCATCATTTCAAATCGCAAAGGTGGGTAAAGCGTTGCCGGAGCATTGCCATTGTAGGCAGTGGAGCCATTGAATAATTTTGGGATTATAAAGAATGAAATGTCAAATGTATTCAAGTTCTTTCATCGACATCAGCCATTTTCTATTCACTGCTCAATGGACAAATATAAAGATCCCTCGTATACCCATAACAGACTGTTGGGGCAAGTGCTGTTAGCAAGCACCTACGAAGGCCGGCACGGCACAAGAGGGGGTGGTTGGCCAACACCATGCCCAACCGCCTTTGTCTCCCTAGTGGCAATGTTGACACACTGCACCAGGTACTCATTTGAGGCTGAGTCGACCTAGGGATAGCCCAGGACCAGTTCAGATAATCGTCACTGGTGTTGGCCATCAATGGGAATCGAACTCGAGTCTTCAGGTTTATAGCGTAGCTACGCTAACCACGGCACCACCGCTCCCCCACAGATAGATGTCGCAATCCATATAATCCTACAGATGAGCTGATCTCATTGCTCCATCTCTATTGGTTATCCTCATTCATATTCTCTTTTGATAGACATTATGTCACTATTTTCTTCCATCAACCATAATCCCTTCGAATGATGTGTTCTGCTGAAGCTCATTCACTTAACCATCGGCATAATGTCACTCATTTGTGTTTGTTCCATGATCTATGTGTTCCTCTTTGTGTCGCTCAGTAGAATTCCAAACGTGCATCTGTCCACGCGTATTTTTCTACTCTTCAGCTTTCTTCCATTTTGTTTGTTATTGTCCTTATTTCTGGTTCGATTGTTAACAAGTCCTTTCGTGTATAAATCTCGAGATTAAACATTACAATAATTTTAGAGAGCATGCTTCATACATAGAGGTGTAAAGATTGAGGGTTTGTTATTCAGTTCAAGCATTGATCGTTTTTATTTACAGTGTGGTGAATGTAGCAGACTTTCGTGGCTGTTTGGATAAAGTAACCATATTTTTCACGACATATACAAATCTTTAAAGTATTGATTCTTACAAATGCGATTCATTGCATGTATCATGAGCTTAAGTATAGATATTAATAGCTACATTGAGGCTTAGTTACCCTTCTATTGTTAACCCAGGAAAGCCGTTGTTGTGAGAGTGATACTGCTTGAGAACATGTTTATTTCTTTCACGCTGGAATGTGTTGGTGTGATAAGAGTGCATTTGATATTTTGACGGGTTAGACAGATGACTGTATTTCGGATTTTAGAATGAAAGATGCTTGCTTGGCCGTATGCCTCTGTGTGTTTATGTTTTTTTTTCGCTGCAGAACCAGTTTCCCTGTCAGACGTGATGGTGCTGTGTGTCCAGCTCATGTGCATGCATGGCGGAGCACCCAGGCAATTCAAGAAACAGTCGGGAACGCGTTCTGGTCAGAAATCAACCGACCCATCCGTGGTGTTCATTACTTTTTCAAGCATAACATGATATGTCACTCAGCAGAACAGTTGCAACTTTCTTTGGCGAACGATCGACATGACCACCCTTTCCCAAATATGACAAAATTTAACTTGGCAAACAAAAACTGTGTATTTTAAAGCAACCCTTTCACAAGGAGCTGTTTATTGATTCATAGTGCGTCGAACAAATAAATGATATCCTAGGGATGAGCAAAGCGATGGCGTGTGTGGTGTTTACCGCCAAGCAGACGTGTATGACCCTGGCACGCTGGCGCTTGGGGTCCTGAGAATGCTGTGCGATGGCAAGGAGAGTGCGACCGAGTGCCTCTACAATGACGCCGTGGTGCATGCCCTTACACTGCCGATATCCGCCTGCCTGGAAGGCAGAATGGTGAGCCTGAACTTTGACTTCACTGCCATTTACGCGCTCGCACATACCCATAAATGAATAACGGCGCTGAAAGGCTCGGGCGTGCCAAACTCTTTGCAAGCAGCTTTTCCTTCCGCGAGTGATGTTTGCTTTTGGGTGGTGTAAGTTCCGTGTGTCACGGCCACTGTTACCATTGTCGTTGGCATTGTCCACGGTTGCGCAGTTTCGTGTTGAGTTTAATGATTTAGTGTACATCTAAGCTGGCTGTCATGCTCTAGTAAAGTGAAAGATTTGGAACAGCAACACTTGGTCTGTGAATAAAGCCAGGTCGGCAGTTGCACCGCAGCATGTGGAATATCTGTGCATGTCAAAAAAGCTACGGTTTTTAAGAGAATGTGATTCACTTTTGTCAGTTTAATTTCATAGTACAGTGGATTTTTACTTATCTGAAACGCTTTCATTATGGACGGTTTTTTTTTACCTATAACAGGCATATGCAAACAGTGTAAGTCAAAGGACAAATGTGTTTTTTCTCATTCACTCGTCGATTTGCGGTCGTAAAAATTTTAACTGCTGGATTATGCATAGCTTTTTGCAATTTAAGAATTAATGCATGGCTTTACGAATACTTAGAAGGCTGAACGCGTTCAATTTAATAGCAAAAAATATTGCTTTGACTTAGTAACTGCCTTTAACCCATTATCAATCTACTCCTGGAAAAAAATCATGCATATGCTACGCCAGTCAGTAAGTTGCTTGACCATACTTCACCACGCTGGTCAGTGTTGGTTGGTGAAGGAAAGGAACCAAGGACCGGTTCCAGATATCACATGACACTGATGTTATCCGTGGCAACGGATATAACTCAGGTTACAAGCTTCAAAGGGCAGTGCGCAAACCACTGCACCATCGCTCCACACCAAAATGTATTTCATGTTGACCTTACTAGCTAAATTAAGTTTTCTAAGTGTGTATTAAAATCACCTTACCTGAAGAAAAGCGATTCACTGAAACTTGTATAGTTGATACAACTACGTTAGCCGACTGTGCATTAGACGTGTGAGCGTGTCGCCTCATGACAGTGCATGTTTCGTCTCTTGCCACTGTGCTCAGAGCGGCGCCAACAAAGAATCGACGCTGCTGCACGTGGCCGACATTATGGCTCGTGTGGCCTCCACGGATCGCGGCCTCTCATTGCTGTTGTGGGGGGAGGGCAAGCTGAGCGCTCAGGCGGGCAGGTGGGATCTAGTGTCGCACGGGTAACACTTGTGCCTCGGAGCAAGAAGGACCTGAGTTTGATTCCCGACTCGGGTGCCTTTCTGCGATGAGTTTGTATGTTCTTTACCTGTTCCACATGGGTTTCTTCCAGGCTCTCCAGTTTCCTCCCATAGCTAACTGGTATTGGCCAAACATCAGAATTCTGAAAAATTACTCAATTGGCATTATACATAGCAACATCAAACCCCGTTCTGCAAAAACTTTGCAAGACCCTCCTAAAATAGAATCTTGCCCGAAACGTCGTGATTTATTTGATTTTATTTCAGGCTCTCCAGTTTCCTCCCATAGCTAACTGGTATTGGCCAAACATCAGAATTCTGAAAAATGACTCAATTGGCATTATACATAGCAACATCAAACCCCGTTCTGCAAAAAACTTTGCAAGACCCTCCTAAAATAGAATCTTGCCCGAAACGTCGTGATTTATTTGATTTTATTTCTACCTACGTGACTTTACCGAAAGAACCAAAGAGTATAATGAGAATAGTACAGTTACAGATGGACATAACCATACTTTATACAGGCATAGTTCTGATATACAGTGAGGGAAAAAAAGTATTTGATCCCCTGCTGATTTTGTACGCTTGCCCACTGACAAAGAAATGATAAGTCTATAATTTTAATGGTAGGTTTATTTGAACAGTGGGAGACAGAATAACAAGAACAAAATCCAGAAAAACGCATGTCAAAAATGGTATTGCATTTTAATGAGGGAAATAAGTATTTGACCGCCTCGCAATCAGAAAGATTTCTGGCTCCCAGGTGTCTTTTATACAGGTAACGAGCTGAGATTAGGAGCACACTCTTAAAGGGAGTGCTCCTAATCTCAGCTTGTTACCTGTATAAAAAACAACCCGTCCACAGAAGCAATCAATCAATCAGATTCCAAACTCTCCACCATGGCCAAGACCAAAGAGCTCTCCAAGGATGTCAGGGACAAGATTGTAGACCTACACAAGGCTGGAATGGGCTACAAGACCATTGCCAAACAGTTTGGTGAGAAGGTAACAACAGTTGGTGCGATTATTCGCAAATGGAAGAAACACAAAAGAACTGTCAATCTCCCTCGACCTGGGGCTCCATGCAAGATCTCACCTCGTGGAGTTGCAATGATCATGAGAACGGTGAGGAATCAGCCCAGAACTACACGGGAGGATCTTGTCAATGATCTCAAGGCAGCTGGGACCATAGTCACCAAGAAAACAATTGGTAACACTACGCCGTGAAGGACTGAAATCCTGCAGTGCCTGCAAGGTCCCCCTGCTCAAGAAAGCACATATACATACCCGTCTGAAGTTTGCCAATGAACATCTGAATGATTCAGAGGACAACTGGGTGAAAGTGTTGTGGTCAGATGAGACCAAAATGGAGCTCTTTGGCATCAACTCAACTCGCCGTGTTTGGAGGAGGAGGAATGCTGCCTATGACCCCAAGAACACCATCCCCACCGTCAAACATTGAGGTGGAAACATGCTTTGGGGGTGTCCTTCTGCTAAGGGGACAGGACAACTTCACCGCATCAAAGGGACGATAGACGGGGCCATGTACCGTCAAATCTTGGGTGAGAACCTCCTTCCCTCAGCCAGGGAACTGAAAATGGGTCGTGGATGGGTATTCCAGCATGACAATGACCCAAAACACACGACCAAGGCAACAAAGGAGTGGCTCAAGAAGAAACACATTAAAGTCCTGGAGTGGCCTAGCCAGTCTCCAGACCCTAATCCCATGGAAAATCTGTGGAGGGAGCTGAATGTTTGAGTTTGCCAAACATCAGCCTCGAAATCTTAATGACTTGGAGAAGATCTGCAAAGAGGAGTGGGACAAAATCCCTCCTGAGATGTGTGCAAACCTGGTGGCCAACTACAAGAAACGTCTGACCTCTGTGATTGCCAACAAGGATTTTGCCACCAAGTACTAAGTCATGTTTTGCAGAGGGGTCAAATACTTATTTCCCTCATTAAAATGCAAATCAATTTATAACATTTTTGACATGCGTTTTTCTGGATTTTGTTGTTGTTATTCTGTCTCTCACTGTTCAAATAAACCTACCATTAAAATTATAGACTTATCATTTCTTTGTCAGTGGGCAAACATACAAAATCAGCAGGGGATCAAATACTTTTTTCCCTCACTGTACACACACTTAGTTTTGTCCGAATATAATGTATCTGTACCACCTAGGGGGGCAAATGCTAACAATGATTTTTTTTAGAAGCATTCTATCTCTAAATGATAGCAAATTAAACCGTGTTAGCTTTTTTAAATAGGTAAATTGTATAAAGAGGGTACCATAGCCTGTGTGATAGAGATATTGTTTCGTAAAATAATAATGTGAAATGAAACATCCATGTGATATGAATAAATAGGAAGAATCTCTATGAAACACACAGGAGGATGTATACTCAGCTTTCTGCCCATGTCGGATAATGCCTGTGGTGCATACTGGTAGTATTTGCACCCCAAGTGGTACCAACTCCCTTGGATCATGAGATACAAAGGTTGTGCTTTCATTCAGCTTCTACTGTTTCGACAGCTACAGCGTGCTGCTCTGTTTACTACGAGCCATTTTAATTGAAAATGGTCCGGTGATATATGGGCTTTTGTGCCAAATGAGACCCTATTGAGGCTCATTAACTTCTCATTGAAACTGTCAGCATATGAAAAATGGTTGTTGGTCATTTTTATTGTCTAACTTTATCTTGCTTTTCAAAGCAGGCTTCTAGCTGTTTGTTGTATCACTATTCATTGAAGAAACATACTACAGTATATATATGACGAGGGGGTGGGTGGCCAGCAGCACGCCCGTCCGCCTTTGTCTCCCCAGTGGTGATGTTCACACCACAGCAGTTACTCGTTTGAGGCTGAGTCGACCTAGGGGAGGCCCTGGAGCGGTTGAAATAATCGTCACCGGTGGTGGCCGTGAGCGGGAATCAAACTGGGGTCGCCGGGTTCGTAGCGTGGCGCGCTAACCGCTACACTACAATGCGTTACGCTTCCACATGCGCGGGTCACGTTACATATTTGACATCACAGCTCACTTGCCGTGCAAAAAATAGATGCATTATTGAGCTCCCCCCCCCCCAAAAAAAGTGTATTTTTATTATTTTTGCATGGTGTACAGTCTGGAAAGTACCCACATGGCAAATTCAAAGTTTATTGCATGTTGGGAAGTATGCTAAACATTTTGAACAGACACACATATTCACAACTTTGCCTTTTATATATATATGATATGAAGCAGAATTTCCTTAAAGTGGCATATACAATTCATCAATGGCGCTGAACAAATTTACTAAGCTCATATCATTGATCAGTTAATACATTAACATTGATATTTAAGAACAGCGTTCAAGCCAAAAAATTTCGCTTTTTTCATTTCCGATTCACATAATCTAGATTTTAAGTTTTCGTGACTGCAGGGATCCAAACTCTTTGGTTCTTTCGGTAAAGTCACGTAGGTATAAAATAAAATAAATTAAATCACGACGTTTCGATTGCAACACAAGCAATCATCATCAGGTGGGAAAACCACAGCAAGAAATTCTTTTTCACATAATAATACGGTTAATAATGTCCTTTGTTTAACCAGCAAAGCTTTGCTGGCTCATGGCACTCTTATTCAAGAGACTTCTGTATTGGAATATTTGGACAATTCCATTCATGGGTGTTAAGCCACATATATATTAAAAAAAAACTTAACTATTTTTATTTTACCAGGCAAGGCACACAGAGCTATAGAGTTATTTTTCAGAAGCGCCCTGACCACAAATGGTCGCTTAAGGAAGTGGCTTATCATGTGGAAATGTATAGCAGACAAATACTCTAAATGCACGCTTATATATGTTATGTGAATAATAAATTTGAGTTCACAGAAAATCTGCAGCCAATATACATTCTATGTGTGTCACAGCAGCATATATAATACTGCAAAATCTTGAAAATGCATTGAATTGTGGTGGAGATGAGGTATTTAGTGTATCAAAATAACCTTAAATTATGGCAAGTGCAATTTCTAAAAATATAACAATTTCATATTACAATATTAAAAATGTTGCCCAAATAAATAATTATGGCTGAGCATGTAGAAAAAATTCCATCGTAGTGTTGTATAGTTTTAATTTTAAGGCTTTTAAATTACTATCATTGGTCAATTCGGTAGTGCCTTGCATTAGAAATATATAAAGCGTTCTCTATTATTAAATATTAGGGGCCATCCATAAATGACGTCATGCACCTGGGGGGGGTCAGACATTTGTGACGATGTGTGACGAGGGGGGGGGGGTGTGAGACATGTGACGTCACATCAAAATGCGCAACTTTAAATAAATATAGACAACACGTTCTACTTAATTAAATAGACTTTTTGATAAATGTTTCTCCTACAACATCAGATTGCAGCGGCACATTAAATACGCACTACAATGACAATAGTTTAAAGCGATTTGAAGCATGTTTTATTTTTCTGGGGGGGGGGGGGCAAAATTTTGTGACGTCATATTTGAGGGGGGGGGTCTGACTTTTTGTGACGCCGTGTGACTAGGGGGGGGGGGGTCAAAAATCGTCCAAAATCGCGTGACCTCATTTATGGACAGTCCCTTAGTAGCATTTTCTACAGAAAAAATATCTGCGACCAGCAAGGTCTGACTCATGAAGATCTATATTTCTCTCCAAATAACCGTTTTTGCATTTATATATATATTAAAAAAATTACATTACAATTATACGCCAAATATTAAGCAATATATAAATTGGACACAAAATGTGGATCATGTCCCCTGTGTCATGGGAGTGTGAATATGCATTGTAATGTGCTGTGTTCTCACTTTGTGGCACTTTGTCAAGTTCCCTGTCTTGTTAATCAATTAATTCAGGGTCAATATTTGAACCGATAATCAATTCCTTAACCGTGCCAGTTGAGTTTGATTCCCAACCATAGCCGATATCAGTGACATGTGACATCTGAACTGGTAATAAACCCCCACTTCACCAACCCACAATAAATAATGTGATGCAGTATGGTCTAATGATCCCCATGATCGACACTGCATATGGAGTCCTTTATCCAGAAACGGGCTGTACTTCATTATGCTGATTTACAAAAAGCATTCCTAATCGCATTCAATGTTAACATTACTGCTGTTAAATGGGAACACGTGGTGGAATTTGAATGAGTCACCACCCACCACCTCAAGTCAATTCTTTACCTGTTACGCTCATTAATGGGCTCAACCGGATATTTTGTTTGCCTCGCTTCATCGAACCCAGGTCATCTCCCGCGCACGTGATCGTCGAGTTCTGCAAGCACACGCTCGACGGACCCCTGGTCACACCCGCGGGCCCCGTGCAGCTGCCCTGGGCCGTGATCGGAGCCTTTGTGTTCGTCTGTCGCCAGCTCTACAACACGGCCGAGGGGCTCCAGGTGCTGCAGCCATACCGTCTGCACGATTGCCTGGCGCACGCCTGGAGGGAGGTACGTGTGCGTTTGGTACGGCGTCGATTTTATTATTGGCGACATAAGTCGTGAAAATATTTGTCGACAATGCACTATCAAAGTAATGAGGGCTCGGGGTGAGCATCTACATCATTAGACCTCCTTTGCCAGTACCAAAATGTAATAATAGGGTTTTTCCCCTTTTTTTCTGGCAACAAAACTGAAACCTTTTTACAAGGATTCATGTCTGCATTAACCACAATACCTGCAGTCAAAATGCAAACACAAACATACCAGAAAAAAGGGGAAAAACCCTATTATTACATTTTGGTATTGGCAAAGGAGGTCTAATGATGATCTCTTATCCTCAACTTGTGGACAATTGGAATCGCAGCATCATACCAGATCACATACACTGGTCACATGACTCCTCAAGGTTGTGTGCTTTGTAGGTAAATCGTGGTTCATATCACACCCTATTCAGAAAACACAGTTTTCATTGTGGGACAGAATTCCATCACTCTAAAATACTGCCACACTAAGCTGCCATAGTTGCTCACAGTAAATGTGTTGCAGGTGACAACTGCAGGCAACGATTGCTCTCGTGTATTCGAAGATTAAGCTCTACCCTGGCTGTCTCATACTCCACTTACCACTATTTAAATGTACGGCAGTGGTTTGTTTTCGATGATTTGTAGCCCCTACCCCATGGCTGCACTACGATTTCACAGGCGAGCAGTGCAGTAGAGAGGGCTCCTACTCCAGTGTCTGGTGAAGACAGCTGTATGCCCTCATCCAGCCAAGACACACAGGCATTGTAAGTATGAGCCATGAGGCTGCTGTGCAAAACATTACTCTGAATGGCTAAAATGTATCATACTGCATTGTGCTTGTGCCTGTATGACTGTGCATGTGTTTGCTTGTGTATGTCCAAGTCTATGTGAATGCATTTGTGTGTAGGGAGTGGTGGTGAAGTGGTTAGTAAATTGTGCTAAGAGCACAGAAACCTGACTTTGATCCCTGGCAATGGCTAACATCACTGGTGAGTGGTCTCAACACTGGTTCTGGGCCTGCCCAAGGTTGACTAAGCCGATCCGCACGGTTGGCTACGTACGGTGCGAAAGAAGTTCAACTTACATCCATAAATGAGTTCCAGGTACCTTGTGTAGGCCAGACCAAGGAGGCTAGGTGTGCTGCTGGCCAAACTACCCCATCATGCACTGTGCTGCCCTTAATGCGTGCTCAGTAACAGCACTTGTCCCAACAGTCTGTTAAAGGCTAATTGGGGGTGGGTGGGGGGGGGGTGCCTCTGTGTGTTTGTGTGACTGCGTATGCCCGCGTGCCCTTTGCCGATGCACCCGCAGGCTAGCATGGGAGGAGACTCTGCTAGATAACCTGCTGAACTTTGCGGCGACCCCTCGAGGACTCCTGCTGCTGCAGCAGACCGGAGCCATTGGCCAGTGCGTTGCATACATGTTCAGCCGCTACACAAGCAAGCTGCAGGTGCGCTTATTGCCATATGGTGTGTTCGTTTATAAACACCGTAGGTTGAATTTAATTAGTAAACGGCTCCAAATAGATCACTGCATTTTCAACTGTTCTCTCCACTTGTTATCTTGATTGTATTTTTCCGACGTTTCGAACGCAACACAAGCGGTTGTCTTCACAAGTGGTCGTCTTCCGGTTCCGCATTGGAAGACGACCGCTTGTGTTGCGATCGAAACGTCGTAGCTTTTAGTTATTTTTTTGTTGTTTTCTTTGAACCTATCTACGTGACTTTACCGAAAGGCCCAAACAATATGAATTCCTGCAGTCACGAAAGCTTTAAGTCAAGATTTATACATATCCTCCTTTGTATAAAACATACCTACGGCCAAAGGATGCGGAATTGACCCGATCTTTCCAGATTTGGGGAGCTAAGCAGCGTTGAGCCTGAATAGTGCTCGATGTGTGACCACCATGCATAAAATAGGTGATGTAGGCTTCTGCTGCACGGCTACGTTTTCAGCAGAGGGCAGTGCAAGAGCATTTTTCATTTTGTAATATTCTCAAAAGTCCATGCCCCACGTTTTCACTAACCCACATTGACCAGCTTCGGTGAAGTATGGTTAAATGACTATCACGATCCACACAGCGTAGAAAGGCCATTTTATCCAGCAGTTATTTGGGAAAGCAGCAGTACATTCACAAAGATGTAGGACTAGGAAATCATGAATATGATAGACGTTATATTGGTGACTTAGTGTGATGTGCTTGTGCAGGTGAGCAAGTGCGAGAAGTTTGGCTATGGAGTAATGGTCACACAGGTGTCAGCCACTGCTCCAGGCATTGCTGCTGTTAACAACTCTGGTAAGACATGTGCACACACAGTTCTGTTAACTTCTCCCCAATTTTACCATGTAACGTGTTCCCATTGCACATATATTCTAAAACTATCCTCCCCCTATGTAATATGGGGAAACTTTATTTGCAATATGGGCTTTATCATTTGATATTCTTTATTTGCACAATGTGTCCCTGGAACATACTCAGACAAATAAAAAGCGTTTGACACAACATTACTATGGTTTTATGAGTAAGCCTTTGGGAGCATTTTTGCTTTACACAACGTGACTTTACCGAAAGAAACAAAGAATATGAATTCCTGGATTCACGAAAGTTTTAAGTCAAAATTTAACCGCCTCTACGGGGAGGATGTCCACATAACCGTAAGATCTTTGAGCAAACTCCGGGACAAGAAAGCTCATCTGATCGAGTCACTCACATTTCTGAAGAGATGCCGCGACTCTTAAGGTAATACCGATCTCATTTACACGGACCTCTGCTGCTGTCACATCTTCCAATGCCAAACGAAATTTTGTTCAGGGCTGGCTTGGCCCTGATCTCAGAGAGAATTAGACTGCTCCGCACTGAACTAGTTCATGTGGACAAGACACTCTTGAAATCACACTTAACATTGACGGAAAAAATGTCAACATCTGATTGGGAACATGTAGATAACGTGACTGCTTCATCAGCCACTACAATGTCAGCTAAATGTAAACATAACCTGATTTACAAGTTAAACCTCCTTTCCAAGAAGAAACCAGATCTATAAATTAAAAAAGTTAGACGTTGACAAGGTTGTTATTAATCTGAGTAATAGTCCATATTTTGACGGTTTAAAATTGTTTCTGGTTAAAGGGCTGAACTTCGCAGTCACCCCCAAACACATACCAGTGGATGACATTATTGCCCAGGTTGATGTAGCCCTAAAGGGTTTGGGACATATCGCTGCAGACGTGACAAGATCTGAAATAGCTGCAACCCTCAAAAGCGCCAAGATACCAGACAGCAACATCAGTAAGGATGAGCGTTTTGAGTTATCTCAATTAAAAAAGAGGGATGATATCATCATCCTCTCAGTCGACAAGGGCAATGCCACAGTCATCATGAACAAAACTGTGTACAACAACAATATTCAGGACCTACTTAATGATGGTAGCTATGCAAAAAATAAAAGAGATCCCACCAACAGCCTCGTTACAAAAACGACTGACTCAGCTTAATTAATTTAACAGAACAAAGGGTTTTCCTTAAAACCTTCTGCTGCTAGACCACCCAGATTATATGGCTTGCCAAAAATCCATAAAGAAGGTACACCCCTTCGTCCCATCGTCTCCACCATTGGCTCACCCACCTACAAACTGGCCCGATATCTGTCTGAGACCTTACAGCCATTCACTGGTAAGACTACCTCTTCTGTACTTAACTTAGCTCACCTGGTATTGTCAATTAAGGACATCTCACTGTCCCCAGATGATTTGCTCGTTAGTTTCGATGTAGTTTCTTTGTTCACCAAAGTTCCTGTGCCCGATACCATTGCAATCATTGAAGATTTGGTCCAAAAAGGATTGAATGCTGATGTACCGGCCCTGGTGAGACACTGCCTCACCAATACAAACTTCAGCTGTAATGGAACATTCTGCAAACAGACTGAAGGAACCTCAATGTGTTCTCCCTTATCTCCGGTTGCTTTCATGGAAAAAATTGAGATGGACGCCATCCAAGCATCCACTCTATGCCCATCCTTGTGGAAGAGGTACATTTATGACACGTTCGTCATCTGGCCACATGGCCGACCGGCTCTGAACCAATTCCTCAAACACATCAATTCCATACACCCAGCCATCAAATTCACCATGGAGGTAGAAAAGGATGACAAGCTACTTTTCTTGGATGTCCGAATCAAAAGAGACCAGATGGCTCAATGAGCCATTCTGTATTCAGGAAAGTAACCCATTCTGAGGCCTACCTAAAACCTGATTCCCACCACCATCCCAGAAGAATCCCTCATCAAAACGCTACACCATAGAGCTCAATGTATCTCCGACCATGAACACCTAACCAGTGAACTCAAACACGGACACCAAGCTCTCAAGGCAAATTGATAGTCTGACTACACAATCCGCAAAGCCATCACCCCAACCGTGAGGAAGGAGCCATCTGAGTATCCAATAAAAACATCACCTTGCCATACATAGCAGGGGTAACCAAAAAGATTTCCAAAATCATGAACAAACACAATATCCAGGTCCGATTTAACACATTAGATCAAATTCGTGATCTGATCCCATCTGTGAAGGACAAGATCCCTCACATGCAATATCCCAGCGTCTACAAACTAAGCTGTATCTGCGGCAGCAGTTACAAAGCGACATGTCTCGGACCGTGTTCGTCAGCATGAGGCAGATTTGAAACACGGTAGGACCATTACTTCTGCCATGCCTGATCATTATTTGAATGCGGCTGGCTCACACGAAATTTGTTTCTCTAAGACGATGGTACTTTGCAAGTCCACTGGCTATCAACAAAGATTTGTTCATGAAGCCATCGATATATACAGACACAGACACAATTTAAACCGAGAAGATGGATACAAACTCAGCAATCATTGGAAAGATGTCATCAACCACTTTGGGTCATGACTTGATTTATGTTCTTTTGTCAAGGGAGCACAGATTCATGACTTGATTTGTGTTTTCTTATTCTTAGTTCTTTCGGTAAAGTCACGTTGTTTCATATATATTTTATTATTTTGTTGTTTCCCTTCAACTTGACTTTACCGAAAGAACTAAGAATATGAATTACTGCAGTCACGAAAGCTTTAAATCAAAATTTGTGTTTTCTTGTTACCTTACCCCAGGGCACATATGCCCCGCCCACTTCGTTCTGACACCGAGACGTTTTGTTGGCATTGCATGTTCTATGCTTCCACCGCCGTAGCGCTTGTGCCACATCCCCTTTTTTTGAAACCTTTAAAAACGGTTGCCTTCAGTGACCTCCCCCTCTTTCCTGCTGAAGATGATCGCTTGTTTTGTGATCGAAAGGTCGTGGTTTTTTATTTTATTTATTTTACCAAAAGACCCAAAGAATAAGTCTACATTATAGACTGCCAGTACGCTCACTCAGGTTAAGAACCAGGCTACAGTTTACATTATAGACTACCAGTACGCTCACTCAGTTTAATAACCATTGCTACAGTCTACATTGTAGACTGCCAATACGCTCACCAAGCTTAAAAACCAGGCTACAGTCTAACATTATAGACTTCCAGTACACTCACCGAGGTTAAGAACCAGGCTACAGGCTACATTATAGACTGCCAGTACACTCACCCAGCTTAATAACCATTGCTACAGTCTACATTATAGACTGCCAGTACACTCACCAAACTTAATAACCAGGCTACAGTCTACATTATAGACTGCCAGTATGCTCACTCTGATTAAGAATCAGGCTACAGGCTACATTAGTGTTTTTTATTTATTTTTAGTTTATTTGTATTATTTTTTATTCACTTCTTTTTTCCCTATCTACGTGACTTTACCGAAAGAACCAAAGAATATGTAAACAAAAATGCAATTCAGCGCTTGTAGAAACATACCCAGATTGTGTACGCTGGCCCGTCTGATATGATAATGTGATAAAAATGTGATAAAAACAAAGAATGAGAGCTGCTGTCTTCGAGCAGGCTACACGAGGACTCTGGTCACGGAGCTGTGGGCCGTGCTGGAGTGTGGCCGGGATGACGTACGTGTGCTCGCGCCGCGCCCCACCGCCCTCGACCCCATCGACCGCAGCTGCCACAAGGTGGGGGGGCGGTGCTGTGTGCGCATTCTGGTTATGATCAACAACGCCAGTGACCTGGTTGTATGAAACTTCTTCAGTCAAACTATCGTTCATTGTCTTAATTAAAGCAGTGTAAGATGAGCAAGAAAAAAAAAACTGAACACATTCGTCAGTAACACTGCGGCCTTAAAAGAAACGAAATATGTTATTGGCGCCGTTTCGGGCAATCGCCTTTCTTCATAGCACATAAATGACCCTTTTAAGATAAGCAAAGATGGGGTAGATGAAGTCCAGAGATCTGGTCGTGTGCAGGTGCTAGATGGATTGTTAGAAGGATTGTAGCACGGTTGGCAATGTACAGTGTGCAAAAAAGTTCAATGTACATACGGTGACAGCTATAAATGGTTAACATCAGTGCCGAGTGATATCTGAACTCGTCTTGAGTTCTCCCTTAACCAATCTGCAGTGACCAGCATGGGTTTTCTCTGGGTACTCTTTCAATCAACATGCTAAATACTATAATAATAATAGGGTTTTTTCCCCTTTTTTCTGGCAACTAAACTGAAACCTTTTTACAAGGATTCATGTCTGGATTAACCACAATACTTGCAGTCAAAATGCAAACAAAAACACACTATGATAATATATGCATTGTCCTTGAAACTGATTGGTCCACACCAAGGGACGGCTTTCTTTTGAGCCTCGACCCAATTGGTGCTTGACCAGAGGCTCAAAAGAAAGCCATCCCTTGGTGTGGACCAATCAGTTTTAAGGTCAATGCATATATTATCATAGAGTATTTTTGGTTTGTATTTTAACTACAAGTATTGTGGTTAATGCAGACATGAATCCTTGTAAAAAGGTTTCAGTTTTGTTGCCAGAAAAATGGGGAAAAGCCCTATTATTATATTTTGGTACTGGCAAAGGAGGTCTAATGATGCTAAATACTCATTAATGGTAGCGGACAAACATCTAAATGTGGGACTCTTCTAAAGGAGAGCATTAAAACTGAGTAAGGCTGGGTAAAAAAATTGGCATAAATGATTACCATTATGCTTTCGATTTAAATGTATTTTTGGTCGTGCTATAATTTTACATTTAGCATAGTCACATTGTATTCATCTTTTTTAAGCATTGATCTAATAATGCATTGTCTCTCGTGGTTAAAATTTGTACTTAATGGAATTGTCCTGCGCTGTCGTGGGTGTGTGCAGTTTTTCCTGGGGCTGGTGAATTTGTTGTCCTCGTATCATGCTGTGCGTGAGCTGCTGGGTGGGAAGATGCTGCCCAACAAGGAAGACTATTCCCTGCGCGAAATCCCTACCTCCATTGTAGTGAGTTATTCCTTAACATGACACTACTTGCCGACCTATGTGCATGTGTCACGTGTATTTCACCTTTAGTGTCCTTGTAAATAAGTAGGGTATGAGGGTGTGAGAGAGGGTTAGCTGTGAATTACAGTTTAGTTGAGTTCCTATGCAACACATGAACAGCAATTTTTTTGTGAATCAACTGCTGAATGAGAATCTTCCCACACCGTGTGAGTCGTCAGGGTTATTTGCTGCTTATTGTGGTTTGGTGAAGGTATGAAGCATAGACGTTGGAGTAGAAATACGGTACAATGTTTTGATTTGGCTGCATCTGTTCTCTGCTGACAACACAGTCCCGAAGGTGCCTATCGCAACCTGGCATGCATGCTGGTCATCTATCCAAGCACTAACCAGGCTCACACCTGCTTAACTACCAAGATCTGATGAGATCGGGTACATTCTGGGTGATTTTGTCTTAGCCTGCCATGTGACAGGGTCCTTTGTTTGTGACTCTTGGGGCTTCGAGTGAAAAAAACACTATCCCTTATCTATCGTTACATTTATAATATGATCCTTATGGCGGTACCCCGGGGTACCAAATAATACAAAATGGCCGAGGCAATTAAATATTTTATTTCTGGGACACTTTTTTTTCCAGAGGTGTTGCTTAACTCCGCGACTGGGGTACCGAAATCAGTGCTACTTCGCGATGTCGAAACGCAGTGAGGACGATTGTGCTGAAACCCTGAACACTCGCGTACGCACCGTGGTAGTGCACCCGATCTCATCAGATCTCAGACTAAAAATGACTGCATCACGGACATTATGCGAGAGCCGGGGTACTATGGTACCCCGGGGTACCGCCATAAGGTTCATGTGTAAACACACGTTTTAAATATTGACCTTTATCGTATTTTGTTTTCAGGACATTGTAGACCGACTGATTCTGGTCAACTCCAAAGCAAAGATACACTCCTTGTTCAACTATGAGCAATCACACACCTTTGGACTAAGGTATGCCCCCTTTTAAAATGAACAATTTTCAATCATGCACATTGTTTAAGCGACCAGTGGTGACCATTGCAAAGCCGTGGACTGAACAATTGTCTACTCTTTGACCAAACATTCACATGGTAAATAACTTTTGATTGATCATGTTGCAAGGTTCATACAACTGTTAGAGTGATCCTCGGTGAGAACATAGTGCTCCAATGATGACAAAGAACAACATATAGCAGCTACATTTGGCTGGGTTAACATAAAAATAAATAGCTCATCCATTTACATTGACTTTCACTCTTGCATTGTCATCGGCCACTTGAGTACAAACATAAGTCTTAAACATCAATGCCAATTCAGCATCTTATTAGCCCACCTGCAGAATATAGATGGTCACTGCATCACGCGCTTTCAGATGCGCTTCTGCAGCCATCTGGAACATTCTTCCTTTCTAATATTAGAAAGCCACTGGAGCTATGCACTTTTAAATGTTAGTCTTATCAGTTTGATGCCATTCGATATTTCGGTTGACCGGCAGCAATTGATTAAACAAGCAAAATCTGGACCAGTTTTGACCTTCGGGTTCTCATCAGCAGAGTCAGATTTACTCAACTAATCCTGCTCGATGACCAGATTATTACCTAACAATATGGTTGAATAACTCATTACGTGTTGTCATGGTGCATTCTGGACAGTTAAATGCATCCACTATTCTCTAGCTCCGCGACAAATACTTTTTCATTCTGTTCGTGCTTTGGCAGAATTAATTGAAGCAAGTGAAATCTCCAAATTGGAATAAAAGAAGATCTATTTACTTCATTACCCAAAATCGTCCACTTCAGCACATAAGTTTTCGTTAATGCTTTCTAACTAAGATTTTCTCATCGTGGCTTACTGACAATAACACGCATACATATGATCCAATATGAGCTCAACTTTGGTATAAAGTTATTTTGCTATTCGGGACTCACCCTGTACTACACCCATCGCATTGATGAAAGAGTTGCCCACGCCCTCTCACACAGAGATGCTGTCAGAACCCCAATGCCTCATCGTGCCCTATAGACGTACTGCTTCTATGCATATATATTGAACTTCTTTCGCACTATACCTAGCCAACTGTGCTAATCGGAGGTGTTTATTGCGCCTGGCGCGAGCGCTGTTGTTATAATTATTAGCAATGATAAGCGCACAACTTTATCTGTGATGAACGCTGCACTTTCCGTCGTTTTCATGCAGGGGGCCGCTGCAAACTTACACGCCCCCTGCATGAACGACGGAGGCGCAGGGACAGACGTTAGATTACGTTGGAATCGATCTGCAGACGGCGGTCTTCTCGCACGACCAGCTCTATGTCGCCTTATCTCGATCCCGCAATCCCAAACAGATGAAAGTTCGCATCGAACCGAACCCCCAGCAAGGCCATCTACTTAACGATGAGAGAAAATTCACACGAAATGTCGTTTTCAATGAAGTCTTCCAGATGTAAAATGATATAAGCTTTTAATGAAGAAATAAAACGATCTAATTAAAAACAATACAATTCAAAGATGTTTCATTTTAAAACTTCAAAACGGAGCATCGGGTGCTTGCGTGAATGCGTCGTTCATGTGCAACTTATTTCGTGACTTTGCTGGCCGAAGAACGTAAATGGTTGTGAGGGGCGCCACAGGCGCCCCCAAACAACCCCTATTTATTGAGAATTAAATACTTCCGAGGACAAGCCCATCTTGAAAAGTGTTACAGGATGTATGCCTGTGCGTGACTTCCCTTCCTTTTTCCAAAGCATTGGATTACAGGCATAGGCCATAGCACGTGAGCGAGACTGCCATTGTGTGTGGTGGGATTGTTTGATCACTACAGGCTGCTCAGTGTGCTGTGCTGCGGTCTGGACACGCTACTACTGCTGGAGAGCCAGTACCACGTATCTCAAGCGCTGCTCGCATGTCAAGTTGAGAATACGCTGGACAGCGGGTAATTTGAACATGCCAGACTTTGATACGCTTTAGCTCAGCATGAGGCCACTCAGCACTATTATCAGAAGTTTTGCCTATATGGCAACCTCATTCATCAACTGTGGAGGTTCCAGGTGTGAAATATACATTGCAGTAGTGTAGTAAATTTGACTACAAGTTTCATTAACCAGAGAAATTTTGAGAGCATCGATTTGTAAGTAGCTCATGGCCTTTATGTGTAAACATTGCTTAACAATCACCATTCAGTATGTTCAGCTACATTACTGTGTCATTGTCATACTTCCACAAGTGAAATTGGTGTGTGTAAAATAAATCATGTCCAATATAATTTGATAATCATGAACTGCAGGTGGGTGCAAAGGATTCATTATCATTGTTTTTGTAATTATACCTTTGCCAGGTTTTTGAATGACTAATTAACCATCACTTTTTAACACTTTCTTAGTTTAACATTAATGTGCATTTTCCACATTTACTGAGTTTGACACATTCATAAGAAAGCCATATATTTTCCCCCCCCCCCCCCCCTGATCACAGGAATATATTTCAGGAATAATTATTTGCGCAGGGTCTGGTGTCAAGCCATGTCTGCACAGTTGAAACTAATTCCAGCGTTTTTTTAAATTATTTTATCGCTGCAGAGAGTTTATAATAGATGGGCTGTCACTGGAGAGGAACCATGTGTTGGTGCAGATGTACACCGTGGGTGGGCCATCAGAGAGACTTCTGCCACCTCACACTCTCCTGCAGGTCTGGTACTTGTATTTACCCATGGAATGGTAACACACACGCACACGGCATTAGCAGATTCGTACAAGATTTTGCTAACGATTGTGCATGGCCTGGCCACGTACACACATGGCACAAACACAGGCAGACAATCTGTCAACCCACGGGAAGCGGGCTGGGGCCAATGTTGGCTGGCAGAACCCACCATTGATGTTATAATCATGTTATTGTGCTGTTTTAAATTGATGAATACACCACATTTGCACCGGTATTTTTTTTTGTAAAAACATGGCCAAAACGTGGCCCAAGAGAAATTTGTCTGTTGGGCAGTTGCCTGTATTAATGCAACCTATCTTTCTCTCACATATGCTTCTAATTTACTTGAAATGCAATAACGTGGAATGGATTCATGTTTATAGACAGGTCTACTGATGAATGTATTTACATACAGCTATAATGCAGTAAAATGCATTAACTATAAACATCGTCAAACACGGAAGACCAGAGCACTTTATAATAAACATATGGGACATGGATCATATGTTGGAAGAGGAGCACTTCAGCCTCATGCATTTGTCTTTTAGCACTGCCAAGATGAATGTGCTGCCAGGCTTAAATGACCTTCCACTCGCATATAAATCATACTTGCTTTTAATTGTTATAATAAAAGTAATTTACCGCCATTTGTCAATCTACTGCTGGATGAAGGCATCCCTATGTTGTGTGATTTATGGGTATTGTTTGAACATACTTCACCATGCTAGCAAGTGCAGGTTGTTAAAGAGGTGGCCCAGGACTGGATTGGATATCACTCGCCACTGATGTCAGCTATGGGCAGGAATAAAACATCGGTTGCCAAGTTCATTGTGCGTTGAGCTAATCACTGCCCTGACTCCACCCCATAGTTTATTCAAAATACTGAATAATAATAGTATTTAAAAACATCAAATAATAAAGTCCTTCATTTCCCGAAGAAGGCCTCACTAATTCCACATTTGTTTCAATTTTTCACCAGTGTCCTGCATAGGGATGCTTAGCCAATCTCATGCATGAGTGTTTGGCATTTTCGACTGTTGGGTAAATTATTCAACAATTCAGTGAATGAGTTAACACATTTGCGTGAACAATTATTTCCAAATTAATGGATTCAGACTACCGGCATACTTTGTTTGCACGTGTGCATTTTTGGTTTACACCCATGGCGGATGCAGAATGAAGACCCTTACCCCTGGCCTCTGTTCTTCTCCTACCCGGTCCCACAAGTCTACATGCCTGAGACAAAACCCAGCCCTTGCTCAAAGGAAGGTGTGTGACAGCCTCCATAGCACCATCGGAACCTCCTTTGCCAGTAGCAAAAAATGATAATTGTTTTTTTTACCCTTTTATCTGGCAACAAAACTGACACCTTTTTTTACAAGGAATCATTTTTTTTTTTGCATTCTGACCGCAGGTACTGTGGTCAATGCAAACATGACTCCTTGTAAAAAAGGTGTCATGTTTGCAGATAAAAGGGTAAAAAAACAAGTATCATATTTTGCTACTGGCAAAGGAGGTTCGAATGGTGTAAATGCTTACCCTGAGCTCTCATACTCTGATGGTGCATTGTCTTGGAGTTGTGCACCTTTTGGCGTCATCTGGTCCAACACCATGTGAGACTAGGCTCTAAGGAAAGCTGTCTCGGGTGTGGACCAATCAATTTCAAGGACAGTGCATACATTATCAGAGTTATGTTTTTTGTTTGCATTCCGACCGCAGGTATTGTGGTCAATGCAAACATGACTCCTTGTAAAAAAGGTGTCAGTTTTGTTGCCAGATAAAAGGGTAAAAAACCAATTAGCCTCCATAGCATTTCTATATTGGGGGCGATGACAGGACCCCAGGTCAGGATGCCATAGCATTTCAAAAATTACTACTACTGGTACAGCCAATACAGGCCAATGCACACATTTAATTTAGCGAGTGATATTTGAAGTCAGTGTCATTGATGTGACTTTTTGCCAAATTGCAGCCCCCAATGAATCCAGCTGATAATGTGTGCAAAACGAGTGGTTTAATCTTTATATGTTTCAGTTAACGCTGACGGCAGTAATAAACCCTTTGTCAGCAGTATAACACTGTGGCATGTTTGCTTCTGAAGTTTAAAGGTAATGAATGTAAATTATAGTTGCCTGTTGGCTAATGTATGTTAAATTAGCAGTTGAGGCATAATGGCGTTGTGGTTATTTTAATGTTATGTAATTTATATAAGTGGAATGCATCACTGTCTTGTGTTTTGCATGCTAACATGGTCTACATTTTCAGAGTAAATATCGATGAATTGCCCCTCCCTGGCTATGTGTCCAAAAAACTGATTTATTGTTTTTCTCTTTCCTCCACCTGTTTCTACCGTGAAGAGACTGAGCTCTCCAAGTTTCTGTCAAAGGGCAATGGAGTACACAAGGACTGGCTCGCAAGCTGCCAGCGCTTGCTCTGCAATGCCCTGGCAGTAAAATCTTACAACCTGAGCACAAGCGGTAAGATTGTCACTGCACAAGTATTGCAACTGCATTCTGTAAAATAGTTTTGCTTGACCGCTATGTTTTGTTTACCATACATTAATCATCATGATCATCATTATCATCATGAGCCATAATCAGTCCCCTGCTGGATGAATGCATCTCTAAATACATTAATCATACGACATTAAAGCACAGATTAACTTACACTGTTTTGGTCAACGTTTGCTTAGAGATTATATTTACTCATGGTTTGTTTTATAAATTAGACAATATATGTGACCCTTATATATAATTCTTATACAGCTTTGTGGGATGCAAGTAGCATGAATTACACTCTATAAAATTAAATCATTATTATAGTTGCTTTAACCATGGGCGTCCCCTGAGATTTCACATTCGTGGCCTTCAATTCTGTCTTGAACCATAATGCATTGCGTTTTTCCCCATGACCAAATCATCCGGAATGCACCCATTCCTGTCAGATCTTGCAGGCTAAGCAGGCTTGAGCCTAGATAGTGCTTAGTTGGGTGCTGATATGCACTCACAGCTTATATGGTGGTGGTGGGCTTTGTTATAGGAAGCAGATGGCAATGCAGCAAAATCAATTGTTGCACTGTATTTCTGTGTCGCCATGTCTATGCACCCTACCTTCAACAACCAACATAATGAAGTAAGGATAATGACCCCGATAACCCATACAACATGCTAAGAAAAAAGAGCACTTGCATAACTTTAATTCTAAGCCTGTCAGCTATTACAGGCAAAGTTCTTGGTGGTCTTATATGTATATCAACTTAATGTGTGTCAGCTGAATTGAATTCACTGGTGTGCATCAGCATAGCCGGTGGTTTTGGAAATAAATACTGCGTGCTGTAATATATGTATGCCAATCTTTAGTTTGCCTTTCATATGCACCATTTGGATTGTAAAGGACCCCTCCCCCCCCCTTGCTTCAGGGCAGTCTTGGTCCCTACGCAAAACTGCGTGAACAAACGTGCTCAAGGAAGCACACAGCCTTGGCAGTCGCTTTTTCTGTGGCAGACTCGAATGCCTGGGGCTCGCGTATTGAAGGCAGCCAAAAGTCTGTGCCTAGCCCCTGCTGTTCTGGGAGTATATGAGCACTGCATTTGGCTGGTGGAGGAACGGCTGACAGCAACATGGTAATGGTGATCCGAAGCAGCATTGTTTCCAGTCGACCTGATGTGGCTACAATTACCTCGTGGGATCGTATGAGTGTTAACGTTATCTGCTTTCTTGCCCACATACAGTGGTGCATATTTATTTCTTCATTTGTTATTTTGAGAGTAGTCATGGGACCTTTTTAGCCAGCCAATAAGCCAATTGAGACCGGGTATATTTTTTAAGTTAGACCTGGGTTTGATTAAGTACAGTGAAGCAGCAATCCAACTATACCAACTATACATTGATACAAATAAGTTGAAACAATGTCCCATAGCTGTGAAACTATTAATCATCAACATTATCAGCGAAGGCGTAAACAATATAATTCACTCAATGTTTCAGCAGTTGTAAAACATTAAATAATCATCATCAGACACTGCTAGTTGAAGGCCCTCCCTATGTTTTCACTATCTACTTCAGAATAAATGTGGACAGATTTTTGGTCAAATCTATGCGTTATGCTGTATTAGTGCCATGTGATTCTACATACGTTTTGAAGATTACCTTACAAGCATGTTATCAAATATTTACAAGTACTGTCCTGACTGCAACCACTGGCATCATCTTTATGAAAACGTAATTCAATTGAATGGGCTCTTCCCTGAATTAATACAGGATTTTTTTTTATTTATTAGTTGATTTCTTAAATAGACCACCAGTAAAATGAATTATTAGCCAGTCTATCCATATACATGCACTTGTCTCCGTGTCATTTAAATATAGCCACTGTATTGAATTATAGGGAAAAATCAATGACCCGCGTTTCTCCTTTGTAGTTCTGGTGAATGCTACCATAAGTGCTGCACTTAGACAGAACAATGATTAACAGAGAGAGACCACTTACACTGGATTCTGAGAAAATATGCCTGCACTACATCGCTAAGTGTGTGGAATGGAGGACATGTGATTGAGAGCAGGATTTAATGATAAGTCTGTAAAAGTATCATTGTGCTTGGAGCACACCCGCCTATAACTGCCAGAAATTGCCTGGAAACAGGCTGATGTAGTCATTTGAAAACCATGCTGGCTCGTCATTATTCATACTGCAAGAAGACTGGTGTAGGATCACTCTTGGGTTTTGGGTTGTTCTGTTTTGTGGTTGTGTGTACCACAGACGAGTCATTGTCTTATAAGGTAACCTCAGAATTGCTATAGATACCGTAGTTTATTCACACTGAGGAGTCTGAATTGTTAACCGACTCTCCTTCACATACACAAGTATTGCTCTGGTTATATCAAGTAAATCTACCATGAAAATAGTCTAAACACATGTTTCTAAATGTGGAGGAGAAAACTGGAGGGGCCAGAGAAAAATCCACGTGGCCACGGGAAGAGAACACTCAGACTCCAAATATACAGGCACCATCTGGGTCGGGATCGAAACCACAACTTGCACACCAAGGGAGGAGGATAAAATCACGGTGAGGAATCGAACTAAGGTCATCAGGTTCATAGAATAGTAGCCTAACCATCGTGCATTTGTTCCACCCATTTTGTATTTCTTTGAATCTATACGTACTTGTATTGACGAATCAAACATCAACGCGAACATTCTATTGGACAATTATTTTGGGAGCATTAAGTCAGCTGTTGCATCTACTTTCAGATGTAAAAAAAAAAATCCCACAAAACCCTTCCCAAAAGTATTAGCCTCTTGGCCAAATAATGCACGTGTTTAATTCTGTCTGGCACATAAATAAGTACATAACTAAACAAATCAACTGAAATAATGAGTGATCTTAAAAGTACTAGCTCGATTCAGCAAAATTAATCCAGATTGTATTTAATAACAATGCAAATTGTTTGTTCAGGAAAGCCTCGTTCAGTTTCAAGATTCTATTTAAGCAAGGTCCTGTATTTGGTTGTTTTGGCAATATACATTAATGTTTGACATGTGGGAGGAAATAATATTACCTCGAAATAAACCAACGCTCACGATGGGGTGACAGTAAATACTGCTGTTCAGCTACAACACCTGGAAAGCCGTCATGCTTACCCACAAAGTAATAATTAAGTCAAGCCTGCTTAGCTTCTGAGAACGCTTAGAGCGTATGAGAGACATCCGTAATTAATGGGAAGAACGCCTGCAATTGCATTTGCAGATTTTGTTTAAGAATGCTGACATTAAACGATGCTGATAAAGCATGTGATTTGTTGCAGTTGTGGTGGATGTGGTGGAAAGGGTCGTGTGTGCCATGGAGGGAGATGTCACAGAGCAGGCCTTCAAATTGCCTGAATACACTGGTCAGTAACGACACCACTCAGCGTGGTTCTCACTCATTCTCTGTTAATGCGGCAAACACCTTGAAATCCATCGCTTCAGAAACTGTCCTTGGTTACTCTCCCGTCTCTATCTCTATTTCATGAGAATCCGTAGATTCTTCATGGTGACTTCTTTTGCGATTGCATTTGACATATTATTTGTCTGTTTTCATATTGGCACAATAGTCACTGTTCCCGTTTTCTGTTTCTATCACTTAATTGTCATTGTAATATGTTCAGTATGAAAACAATCGGGCCCCAGCCAGCTTATGCTCACAGGTATTTTTTGTTTACTATTATTTATGTTTGTGCCATATTTTAGATTTCTCGTATTACACTTATTTTTTTTTCCTCTGTTTCCTATTTTATTTTACTGTCTTGCTTTTATAATTTTGGCGACCAAAGGCACTCTGACGAACGAAATTTTCCTGGTCTCTTGAGTTCTCAGCAAGTTAAACTAAATACATGTAAATTGACTTGACTTGATCTATCATCAATCACCCCTGCTGAGTGTCACAATCACCTCAATATTTTCACATCGAGAGCATTTTAAACGTGTCAGCAAACCATTACACTGCATGAATAGGCATCATCAGATTGATGCATATGTTAGCATTATAATACATATGTATTAAAGAATGTAAGCCCGTTTTCATTTAACTGCTGGATGAAGGTCTCCACATATTGAATCAGTCAGGGGAAGGTATTGTTTGACCATATTTAAACACATTTATCACCATAGGTTGGTGATGGGTGGTGCCATAGACCAATTTGAACATTGCTCACCGATGATGTTAACCATGGCTGAAAATCGAACTTAGGCCCCTGGGTTCAGAGTGCGAATTTCACTAACAATGACGATACTTCTCCCCTGAATAATATTCTATTGCTACCAAAACAAATCTAAAAAAAGTAAATATGAAGTTATATTACAGTGAAGTAATACACATTTAACTACATTGATACATAGTACTAATTGACTTCAAAAAATAAGTGTGACCAGAAAACAGCTACAATACAACATTTTATTTGTGCTACTTAATTCCAGCAATGTTCAGCAGCTGGCACGCAATGTTCCTAATCACTGACACAGTATATTCATGCGTGTATGTGTGTGCATTGAATCCATAACAGAGGGATTCCATGGGATGTGGACATTATATTGCATCTCTCCGCTTCCAAATGCTTGCATATGTTTTTATACTTTTGTCCGTACCTCCATTTGGCTCATTGAGTCATGCTTCTGATCTGTGATACATAAGTGACTGCCACACAAAAGCACAGCTGTGCCTTAATAAGCTCCCACCTAATTTTACATTTTAGACTGCTCAGGAACCACGTAAATTAGAGCCCAAATTACAATGAACAATTTTTATGTACCGAAAATAGTTGTGTTGTGAAGAAAATGTAACTGTATTTGATTAAAAAGTAATTGCTTAAAAGCCTGGACCTTTGCTTAGCTTCCTGTTTCAATTTGAGGCACCCTCTTATTTCAGTAAACGATGCAAATGTCAAGACTCACTCCCTGTCTGACGTCCAACAACTTGGCATGAAAATGGTGGTCCGGTAAGACGCGAGTATCAATGCCAATTCGCTGCGAACTGCCGTCAAAGTTTGTTGCTTTGAACTATCACCAAACCGTTGAACATAATCACTACACTTTTTATTATTATTATTAAGTATTGCAAAGTTATTTTTAATGGATTTGAGGCATCCCACATCTTCATGGTTTTTGTTTTCTGTTTGCACTTAGGTATGGAAGGCATCTAAAGCTGCTCAAACCAAAACACTCTTCAGTAGAAAATCTGAGCTTCCTGTTGAAGCACAGCAAGGCTTTCCTGCAGCTGCAGCAGAAGAAGCTTGACCCATCCTCTTGTATCTTTCGCACACTGATATGGGCACAATAGGAATGTCTATTGGGCATCGTCCTATGTGTCTGTGATCCCTTGTTGGGCATGTGATTTTCACGGGATAGACTTCTACAAACATAATTGACATAAAATTTTGATTTAAAGCTTTCGTGACTGCAGGGATTCATATTTTTGGTTCTTTCGGTAAAGTCACGTAGAAGGGAAACAATAAAATAATAAAAATATAAAACAATAAAATTCTCACGACCGTTCGACTGCAACACAAGCAATCATCATCAGCTGTGAAAACCACAACAAGAAAAGTTTTTTTTCAAATTTTCTTGTTGTGGTTTTCACACCTGATGATGATTGCTTGTGTTGCAGTTGAAACGTCGTGAGAATTTAATTGTTTTATTATTTTATTGTTTCTCTTCTACGTGACTTTACCGAAATAACCCAGAATATAATTGACATAATCATAGCATCATGAATTGAGTTTGTAGAAATTTCAAGTAGGCGTGAAAACAATCTGAGATGATCATGGTTTGTGATATTAGTGTGTTTTATATAACATATATGTACATTTAAAAAGGTTGTCCTTTTAATATTAACCAAAGAAATGTATATGTTTCAGGCTTTATAAATGTAAAATTCCTGCCATTATCGTTACCATTATTGCGGAAAACCTATTTTAAGCAATTTCCCACTATAATTTCCTTATACTTTAGAAGAACAACTATTGATTTTATCTGCCAAAATACACCCATCAAGAACTGCAACTGCCATTTGCCAATAAGTAGCAGCGATGTCATAACAGCAATGGTGATAAGGCTAGCTGCACTTACAATCCACACCCACGCATACTATATGAGGTGTTCTGTTCTTTCTCTTCTGGAGCAGGAACTCTTTAATTCAATGAGCAGACTCTTAGGCCCATATACTTAGTCACGACACGGCTCAGCCTTGCCTCTGGCTCAAGTGAGCCGACTCAAAGCCACGCTTAACCTTAGCCGCCTCTGACCACGGTTCCAGCCACGCTCAGGATTTCCGTGGAGCCGAGCCTGAGCCAAGCCACGGGTGAGCCGCTTGTGAGTCTTTGGAAGCAACGGAGCGGTTCAAGCCTGAGCTGAGTCGTGATCGAGGCGAAGCCAGATCCGAGCAGTAACTTAGAATATGCCCCTTAGAGCGTTGTGGATGCTGCCCAGACTCGCAGTATGAGGGCTCGTAGAAATGCCTTAAAACAGCACCAGGTTCGCTGCAGGGGGCGAGGCAGGACCACGATTGGTTTGTCTCCTCCGTGTTCCTCATGACTGGCGGAGACCGTGAGAGGAGCTGGCAGCTGCTGCGCCGCCTCTCTGGCCTGCTGGTGTCCGCCTTGCTGTGGCCGGCACGCCTGCATGCGTCTGTATGTAGCGTAGCTCCGCTCAACGCACATCCATTCACTCGCCATCGGTTCACTCAGCACTTACGTTTACGCAATACATCTCCATTCACTTAACATGCTTCTATTGATTCAGCATACCCCTTCCGACTGAACACCCTTCCATGCACTTAACATGAGAATCAGAATAAACCTGCCTCTATTGACTCGGCACACCTCTCTTCACTCATCCCTGTTCCATTCAACACACCGACTTTCGTTGGATACATAATTCATTGACTCACCACACCTCTATTGAGTCAACACCCCTCTATTGACTCCCACACGTGACTATTTACCCAGAACCACTATTATCACTCAGCACACCTTTATTCACTCAAAAAACCCTCCCCTTCACAACCCCCCCCCCCCCCCCCATTCAATTGCAGGTACTCCCCGACTTACGATGATCCGACTTGCGATATTTCGATCTTACGATGGCGATAGCGATACAACAAAATTGTAAAACATTTTAAATTTCGCGCGGCAGGCAAATGCAGCAGCGTACGAGGTACGATACTGTACGTTGGGACACTGCCGCGATGTACGCATATAGGATTGTTTCCTGAAAAAAACTTTCTATTAAATCGCAGTTCATATAGGTAGGCTAAGAATTTACCTTTTTTTTACTTTACATTTTACTGTGCAATACAGTATTGTAATTAATAAATACATACAGTATATAGTTTAGTACTGTAAATTGCTCTGTTTTGCTAAATTATCACCAATCTTTAAGACTCCTGGGTAGGCTAAGGCCATCTTCGACTTACGATATGTTTGACTTACGATGGGGTCGTCGTAACGCATCTCCATCGTAAGTAGAGGACTTCCTGTACATCGTAAGTAGAGGATTGCCCGTACGTGTTTTTTTTTATTGCGGACAATGCAACCACCTCTGGTGGCCGGAGGAGTCACGTGAAGTCATCACATCCAACATTGATGGTTAAGAAACATCTATTCTCACAGATGCCATTCTATCCATTTTTTATGAGCTTAGGAACCTCACAGACGCATCTTTGCACCCCTTCAGGGGAACACTGGTAATACATAACACGTGGACATTATTGTACTGACATCACTGTCCAAATTCGAAAAAAATATCTGCAAATTACTCCATTGGGATTACGCATAGCAACTTTACCACCTGTTGTCAAACAGCTGAAAACTATGTGAAACATAGCACCATCCTGATAGCCTTGTGTGTGATGAGAGTGGTGCGAAATACCCAAATGTACTCAATAAATCATTGTTACAATTCACATTAATGTGTGCTTGCAGGTTCACCTGGCTGAACAGACGGCACTCTCTGGAGTGCACCCTCTGTACTCCTGCACCTGCCACTGGGTGGAGTCCATCCTCAAATCAGAGCTGCCTCTTATCTTCTCTGCATTCCGCATGTCTGGGTACACTCCCTCGCAGGTAGATGCTCGGCTCCGTTTAGAAGGCTTGGCCAGTTTAATTCCCTTTGGTGCAAAAGTGCAGTATTTTGATTGTCAATATTTCCTCAATAAATAAAGGCTGTATCATGATATTCATGTAATAAACATGGTATAGCATCACGGGTATATTGATGGGCATGTTGGTGAACTGTATTTAGAATATTAAATCATATGCTTATAATTTGTGATGCCTTTAAGTTGACATGCCTTACACCATAGTCTGTTGCCAAAGACTTCGCTCAATGTTGTGCAAAAATACATATTGAAATCACAGCCCTCGTGTCAGTGCACTGAGGGATGAAAGCTTCCCCCGTGCCACGTCGGTTATGCTATTGACCATAATTCACCATGCTGGTCAGTGGCGGGTTGATGAAGCAGAGGCCCCCAGGACCGCTGCAGATATCACTCACCACTGAAGTTAACTGTGACCGAGGAATCAAACCCGGGTCGCTGGATTTATAGTGCAGTGCGTGATGCACCGTGATACGCCTTCACCCAATTTGTGCTATTGGGTCTTCATGATATCATTAGCAAAGAAATTCCCTGAAGCGCTGTGCGAAGTAGGACCTGCTGCTGAATGCAGTGCTTGGAAATGTGCCTGCAATCTTGATTCGAAGCTTTCGAAACGTCGTGATTTGTTTGATTTTAATTCATTTCTAACTACATGACTTTACCGAAAGAACCAAAGAGTACGCCTGCAAGCTCTTTCGTTTGTCAAATGTTCCCGCCGTCGAGCAAAGGAGCCGCTTGTAATCGCATGATGGACTTCAGCGGCTCAAGCTGTTGATCCGTACATTGACTTTGCGTTTCTGCCTGTCATTGCGAAAAAAAGGGTCACACGTACTTGGCTGCTTCATCGCAATTTTTCACTTTACTCTATAGGTCTAACAAATATGTTTAAGCTCACAGGTAATTCGGCAAACAGACCACACTGTGACTATGCCATTGTTAATATTTTACCATTAATTAAAGTCAATGAGGTGGGTCTCTTTTTCAAATACATTCTGGCCAATACTCGTATTCTTTTATAGCTCCTAAGCCAGCAGGGCACATTTCACATTGCTATGTCGGCGCACGCCTATCCAAAGAGCCACTGTTGATTTCCCAGTGGCACTCCATTTATCAACCCCGAGTCAATCCACAGCTGGGATTTGAACTCGCGGCCATCCACTTGAGAACCATCAGGTCGAACGACTGCCTGCGCCATTCAGACACTTGCTTCGAAATGTGTAATAACACTTTCATTACAACTGTGCTTCAATAAGTAAATAAGAGTGTCATGTCTGTATTATATGTCGGTTTTATTTTGAGAAGAAGAAAAAAATTGGTAATTTGTGGAGCATGAAAAATATTGCAATTGAGCTCCAGTTATGTCCCATTCACAATATAATATTTAACAAAGTCACGACTGACATCGGTTGGAGATGTATTAAGTATCTTTACTTGAGGTGACAACGTGGCTCAACGGTATGAGTGCTGAGCTGGCAACGGTAATTTTCCAGGTTCAAATCCACGCAGCCATCTGTGACTAAACTGGATTTTCAAGTAGTCACTTTTGTCAGTTTCCTTTCTCCGATGAATGTACAAAAAAGGCACCACATTAAATTCGGTACCGCAACTAAATGCGGCAAAATTCCAGCTCTAATTATAAAAAAAATGTATAGTTTCACCGGCTGTGCTACATTCCTTTCTGGAGCAGGGTGGGTGGGAAAGTGTTGTACACTATTATGGGGAACAGAGGTCCCTGGAAGAGATCTCAGAAATAGCTGTGATATCCGTTTGCAGATCCTTGTACTGCCGTCCAACAGATGAAAATGTATACTTTCTCTCATGAATGGACGCAGCGCGATTGGTAAAAATACTGTTTATGCGTGTCTCTTTACTCATTTTTACGCTCTCATACAGTGGCTGATGCGTTGACGTGTGATATGTTTGTCCGATTAGATTTGCCAACATTGGTTGAGCCAGTGTTTCTGGAACTACCTTGACTGGGCGGAGGTGTGCGCGTACGTGGGCGTGTGTGTGGTGCTGGGGCCCGACTACCAGCTGTATACTTGCCTGGCCGTGCTGAGGCACCTGGAGCCTCGCATCCTGCAGCACACGCAGAGCCAGGACCTACAGATCTTTCTCAGGGTGAGGGCAGCACTTGTAGAATTATTAGAATTTAAGGTAAAGCAATCAGGTTGTATGTATGTTGAACTTCTTTGACACCGTACATAGCCAACCGTGTTAATTAGAAGTGTGGGGGAAGGGCAACAAACTATACACATGTTGATTGATGATCCAGCACTTACAGTGATCAGTCACCTCCTAATCGCTCTTCTATCGCTTCCAACGTGGTCACTTTGCCCGTGAACTTCCCTGATTGATTCTTCCACCCATGTTGAAGACTCGGTCTATCATACTGGCTGTTTCAACTCATCAATACCGTGTTCAACGAACAAAACACCTCTCCGTCTGCTACTGTCTTCACACTGCTCAACTTCAGAATTCCTCCCCATCTCGTTTCTCCAAGTCCGTAACATCTTGTTCCATTCAAGAAATGCATTGCCAATTATCTATTCCAATTTCATTCGTGTTGTTTGTTGCTGGCCATTTGGCTCCTTTGGGCCGTTGCTTCTGTGCTCAGTAACCATGAAAACAAAGTATGGACCATAAGTTCACAGTGGATTTGCACGCTACGGATAAGTGCCGTCTGTTCAACCGCAATTGTACCCCAACCAGCCTGTGCCAAGTGGAAATAGAACGATGATAATCTTAATAGAACCTGGCAATAAAGTGTACTAGATGTAATTAGTAAAAGGAGCTGGGACACGTGCAGGACAGAGGAGGGCACGTTATGGAGGCACGCAATGGAATGCCAAACAGTGCTTAGAGACACGGAGGACTTAAAACCAGATGGTGGAATACTATATGAGCAGAGGTTAAAGATTGAGTGTTGAATCTTGATTTTGAAGTTGTCGTGACTGCAGGAATCCATACTCTTTGTTTCTTTCGTCAAAGTCACGTAGGTAGAAAATAAATCAAACAAATCACGACGTTTCGATCGCAACACAAGCAATCTTCATCAGGTGAGACAACCACAGCAAGGAAACTGATGGTGTGACCACAGCTGATGAAGATTGCTTGTGTTGCGATCGAAACGTCGTGATTTGTTTTATTTTATTTCTGCCTACGTGACTTTACCGAAAGAACCAAAGAGTATTGAGTGTTGAGTTACAACTCGTGACATCTAGTAGAAGGAGGCAGTGATTAGGCGTGGTGCCATTCTTGTCGTTGGGCATGATGACATCTTGTCCTTGACCTGTGTATCCAGCCAACAAAAAATACGTAGTCTGAGGTGGCTAGGTGGCTCAGAGGGAAAATATCATCTTGATCTGGCGCTGATCTGGCACTTCCATGTCTAAGTTTCAGACATTTTAAGTCAAACCAGGTTTTTAAATTCAGCAAGTTAATGTTCTCAGCTGGATTTACAATGACTGTACACAACAAAATGCAATATTAAACATTGTTTTACATTATTCCAGCATACGTACAACTCTGAGGACTTAAAACTGGTTTCATTTACATGTGACGACATAGAAGGGCATGGATAGAGTCGATACATTCTCAACTCAGGAAAGCAATTGAAGGGACCTCATAGTAAGTAGTTCAGCAACACCTTTTAGAGGCAGTTCTCCAACATGGAGTTATGCACTGCTCTTTGCAAGAGTTTCAAATTTAATTGGGTTAATCTCGTAACATGACACTCATAGCACAATTGGAATCTAATAGTATAATGGAATAGTCTCAAACAGGTTGGGGAACCTGACAAATTACCGGTGATTCTCCAACCTCAGTGCCTCGCCCATAATTCAAATGATATTTTTTACCGATATAAAGACACACGTCCAATTCCCATTACAGTAATTTACTTTTTAAAGGAGGATATTAGAAAAGAGAGCAATGGGAAGGCAGAAGTAGTGGAATTTAAAGATACACTAGTGTAGAGCACACCCAGATAGTCATGGTTGCCCACATCCATTGTGCCAGGAGACAAGTGAGATGAAGACATCGCGCGTGGCGTGACTGACGGTGGCAGAGTGTCGGGCGCCACTGCAGACAGTAAATCCACGGCATATATTTATGAAGGGTGGCATTTTGTTAAAAATTACAGGAGTGTAGTGAAGATGGTGCGACGACAGATGACCTTTAGGATACATTTGTTGGGCATCGTGCCACACACCCGCGTGCTGGTAATCTTTTTCTGTAAAAATTCGAACGTTGCTGTCACACATCTTTCATTTTTTTTTATGTAGACCTTTATAAAAAATTTTTTACAGGAATGCATTTTATATATCCTTTTTCACCCCCCCTCCCCCCAAAAAATGCCCGCGTGCACATTGTGTGTAGGAGGAGCCCATTCATGGGTTTCGGCTTGGAGAGCACCTGAGTTACATGAAGAGCCTTGAGAAGACCTACAGGGACACAGTCCTCTCCGAGATGAAGAACATCAGCAGCAGCATCTGATAGGAGAGACAGCGACTAAGGTAGAGAGCATTCGAGGCAATGGAGGGTTAGCTCGCTCGATTTTGGACCAGTCATCAGTAGGGGGCTGGTGGACCCAGTTCAAACATTAAAAAGTAAAAAAAAAATACTTGAACATCTACATTATCAAGATTATAAACAGCATTCACCTCCTTCCCTCTCCATTCTTCCTTACCCCGCATCCCACACCCCCATGGGGTTCTGTGCCCCACCAATACATTTACACACCGGCCACTACTGAATTGTGTACTGACAAATACAAAATATTCCCCGTTTAGCCTTAACAGACTTTAACGAGCACCTATGAAGGCTGGCATGATAGACGAGGGGGTGGGTGGCCAGCACCACTCCCGACCAAATTTGTCTCCCCAGTGGAGATGCTTACACACTGCACCAGGTACTCATTTCAGGCGGAGTCAACCTAGGGGAGGCCCAGGACCAGTTCAGATAATCGTCACTGGTGTTGGCCGTGAGCGGTAATCGAACTTGGGTCACCGGGTTCGTAATGCAGCGCACTAACTGCTACGCTTCCGCTCCCCACGCAATATACATACACACACAGGCAGGCGTGCCGTGTGTGGTGGTACACACCTGTAATCAATAGCCTGTTCGCTGCTTGTCGCAGAGGTTCACGGGGAGAATCCAGCGGCCACCCCTGAGTAGTACTGCAGGTGTATTAACCATAACACTACAATGCGCAGTCTACTTTAGTGTGGAAGCTAAAGATCCCCTGATGTTATTCGCAAGGATAGGCCATTGTGTGCCAGCCCCAGGGTCCAAATTTGCCAAATTGGAAAATGACACTGCAATTACACACAGCAATCATCGCCTTCCTACTGGTAGACTAATGCCCCAGGTCGCTCTTGCAAGTGAGATGCATCCTTGCTCTCGTGAGTTCCTCACCTGGTTAAACAAAATAAACTTGAAACTGGGGAGGGCAGGATTATTAAAATGTGGTACTTGTGGAGATGTTCTCCGACAGGGCAATATGTTAAGATGTAGCACAAAGTGTTTTTTGAGGTTTAGGACCTATTTGCAGGGGCGGAGCCAGGATTTTCAGCCCGGGCGTGACATTCAACAAATTTTAATTTCAAGAATGATTGAATGAGAAATCGGCTATACCCCACGCCATCGGTTGGCGACACACTCTGACAATGCAGTTGCACGGAGTCCACCAGACCGAGTGTCGTACACATATACGCAGAATGTTTCAGATTTTCGATTTTTTATTTATTTTCGGGGGTGACAATTGTCTACCCTGTGACCCCCCTGGCTCCGCCCCTGCCTATTTGTGTAGAGCAGGGGTCGGCAACCTATGGCTCGCGAGCCAGATGTGGCTCTTTTGATGACTGCATCTGGCTCGCAAATAAATCTTAGCTGACATTTCTTTAGTTGTATTCAGTGTTAAAAAAATATTATATGGCTCTCACGGAAATTTATTTTAAAATATGTGGCTTTCATGGCTCTCTCAGCCAAAAAGGTTCCCGACCCCTGGTGTAGAGCTTTGTCACTCCTGGCATTTGTTTGGGTTTTTTTTTTTACAGGCACTAGAGTGTCCTCATATGCAATATATTTTACACAAACTAAAGTTGCAAAACAGGACCCTTTGAAAATGCTGGGTTTTGTTGAGGCTTCCCCATGCAAATAAAGATATATTTATATTTCAAGAGCTGAACCTTGTTTACTTGAGTTGTAGTTACCAAGCTGGTATTTGGATGTTTTTTGTTGTTGCAAGTTTGAAGAAACTGGAGTAAATTTCGTTTTAAAGCTTTCGTGACTGCAGGGATTCATATTCTTGGTTCTTTCGGTAAAGTCACGTAGAAAGGAAACAATAAAATCATAAAAATATAAAAAAATAAAATTATCACGACGTTTCGACTGCAACACAAGCAATCATCATCAGGTGTGAAAACCACAAGAAAATTTGAACAAAGTGGCGGTTATTTTTAACGTTAGCACCACAGAGAGAGATTTGACAGTTTGTTCAGATGGACGAGTTCATCTATGTTCGGAAAAGAGGAGGGGGGAGACGAAAAATAATGGATGCGGTCTGAAAGCCACCTGAAGCGTGATCAATCAATTCAGACCCGAAATGGTTTATCAAATCCTTCCAATGATTGCAAAGCCAGAATCCATCTTCTCGGTTGAAATTGTCTCTGTGTTTGTATATGTGGATAGCCTCATGAACGAATCTCTCATGGTAGCCAGATGACTTTACTGAAAGAACCAAGAATACAAGCTGGCATTGTTTGTTATTACATGAAGCATTCTGTTTGAAAATTATTCACATTTGCAGTGATATAATGGACAGGATTTTTGTTGTGGTCTTTGTGTTTGTAACATTTTCCCTTCTTAAGAGCATCCGCATTTCCGATTAGCACGGTTGGCTACGTATTGTGCAAAATAAGTTCTACAAACATACCATTTTATTATTGGATTTAAAAACAGAAAACACGGCAATTTCACAATTTCATATGTATAAAATGGAAAATGAAAGTGGTATTTTAAGAAAAAAACCATTGGAATGAATTACACCACAACCACAGTCCTTTATTTAGATTTTTTTTTTCAAATCATTGCATTTCAACCAATTTACATTTGATATCTGTGAGCATACATTATTTCTTAAAACTGAAATCATGCCCCAATACCATATACATACAAAGTATCTCAGAAAAAAAGGCAAATGAGAAAGACAGAAGTGCGGTGCTTAACCGAACGGATTTCAACGGCAGGCGTATAGAATATTGTCGCGATAAACGTACGGCACTATTGTGAACAACAAATAAAGGGGGCAATGTTTATAAAACAGAATCCCATTTCATCGCAGACAGTTTTCCAATTTCCTCATCAGTTTTGTCAAAGGAGAAATGGCATTCTCTATTTCTTGCTCACTGTTAAGTTTTATTCCCCTAAACCTCTGCCAGTTGTGTCTTCACATGTATAATTTGGATCGTGTTTTTCTCACGTAAATCATTATTTTTTATTATTTCCATTCTCAGTTTCAGCCTTGATAATGACCTCATCTTTCAAAACCTGCAGCGATTTTTCCCATCAAGTAACCATCGACATACAATTGACCATTCAATTGACCTTCGCTTCCACGCATACCCCCCCCCACCCTCCCCCACCTCTGCCCTCTCCTCGCAGGGACCGGCATGAAGCCCAACCCTGCAGAACTGTAATCTCTCGCACCCCACTCAAGTGGCACTGGCTGCTGCATACGATCGCCATAGTCCACAGGCCTTTATGTTGTTAAGCTCGTCGCCTGATCACCCCTGGCCACGCAAGCCACTTCTGACCATCTGCCTTCTCCGACCCTCGGCACATACACGTACCATCACATTTTGAGCCAAACCTGCTTCATAACAACCGACGTCCAGTCGCTAATGTCTGTCATTCATTTCCATATTTTCCAGACTGCAAAGAAAGCACCGTGTTTAACCTATCCCAAAAGAGCAAACCACTTAAAACTCGTGTAACAGACCTATAAACACATGTATTATTAAGCCTACAATTAAAATTAATTATCCACCATTCCCCCTACTCTATTAAACCTCATTTTTAATTACTCTACATTAAACTCCTTGAACCAAAAAAATTTGAGCAGCTGCTCTTATTGTAAATTTGGTGTTGCATCATAGACGATGACCAGAACCCAGCAATATTCTAAGCAACTTTTTTTTTACAATGCAAAACGATTTCTGCTCCTAGCATTGATCCCTTTGCTGCGTCAAACATCAATAAACGGATGAGCACTTCCTATACAGCAGGCCCTACCTGTCAAGCAAGCTCATGGGTGGACAAACACACTGACCACCTGTAACACACATAAAATAAAGCAAAAAGCCTTGAAATGCATTTATGGGCATTTAAACATTTTAAAAGCAAGCCTTACATTTCCATATGAACAAACCCACTTATTACGAGCGTGTGTGTATGTGCACGCACCATGGTTAGCTAACACAATAGTGGCATGGTACTATAAACCCAGTTCAGTGAACATTGGCACTGTTAGTCTTTGATATGAAGATGATGGGGAGAAAAGGAAATTCCAATTACTGCACATTACCCAGTTAATGGCACCATTTCACAGACTGCAACTGCTTGCACGAATGTGCCCACACGCTGTGCTCATTCCCATTAATTTTTAACAGAAAGGCTCGCTTAGATTGCCGCTTTAAGCCTGGAATATTTTTTACTTTATTATTTCTTTGTTTTTTTTTTCCCCATTAGCGTAGGGGCGTAGTTTACATTTTTCTAGGATATCTGAACAAACTTAAAATAATTGGTTAAATCGACAAAATAAAAAAAAACAGTCCTGCACATTTAAAAAAAACTGTAGAACGATGCAATTTACTGGCTGAAAAAATAAACAATGGTGGCAATGCACCGCACCCCCACAAATCCATTGATGTTTTGCGTAATTTCGTTACGAGCCGGTGTAATTGTTAGGTTTCCAGTGCACTGTGCCAGAAACTTGAGTCCAGTTTGACCCTCTCCACAGGGAGATGAGTGCATAGGGTACAACCCCCCCCCCCCTCATTTCTTGGCCTTAGACTTGACCATGTCTGGTCGCAGCGGGAGAAGGGCTTCTGTCCACTCGCCGGGACGTGTTATCATGTTGTGCCACACCGCCACCTCTCCTTCCCGTGAGTCCATCCAGTCGACCGGCTTTCCGTAGCTCATCCCTTCACACGGCGAAAAGAAAACGACACCTTAATTAAATGTCTCGAGCGGTAGCCGAGTAACGCAGAGGTCAGATCACTGAGCAAGCTCTGCCAAGGTGCTTGGTTTGAAACCAGGTTTCAGCTACCCGTTCAACCAGGTTCTGAAATGTAGTGAGTTGACGGTCTCAGACTGGTCACCAATGACTCCACAAGAAAAACTTTTTTCCAAAAATTGCTTAAATTGGTTAAATTCTAGCTCTTGAGAATTAAAAATGTCCATTTGACTGCAATGTGGTAAACCATCTTTATTATAGTGTGTAGGGGAAATTGGAGTGACCCGAGAAGGACAATATAAAAAGGTTTATTGAAGGACTCATTAGTAGTTCTGCGAAATCTGCTTCTGCAGGCCTTTCTCGAACACTGGTTCTCAACCGGGGGTACGCGAACCCCTGGGGGTACGTGGCAATATTCCAGCGGGTACGTGGAGGTTATTTATAAATGTGTAAAATTCTATAATACCGGAGTCATTGGTAAATAATCATGTATGAATCTGCCAATATAAAATAATTACGATACAATTTAGATCCACATAGTAACCAAGAACGACGAAAAATACCATTCTAAACTCATTGATCGTAAACAATGCGGGTTTCCAAGAGTAACCAGGGAACGCAAGCAAATGACGTCATGCATAGTGTCCGTCTCTTTTTATATTCACTTTAAGTGACGAGCTAGTTAGGATGAGTCACAAAATGGACAATGGGATCAAATATTAATGTTCATTATGCATACATCCGTTTCTCGGCACCACGTTGGGTAAGGCATGGGGGTACTCGGTTAAAACTAAATTCAATAAGGGCTACAGTAGCCAAGTTGAGAACCACTGCAATTATTTGCGAGATTTCTGAATATATGCTGCAATTCACATGATGCCGATAGCCCAATTGGAATTACAATGGAGTAAAATACTCAAATAATCCTTCATAAAAACATTTTGAAATATTGTAAAGACTACTTTTTTGTGACAGACAAAATGTTATCTCCACCAGAATGTGATGGCAAGCCCACCATACTCTAACTGACTGTTCGTGTCGAGGAAAAACGACAACGCAATTAAACGAACTGGGTATTATAAATCACGTCCTAAGTTATTTCAAGACATGGTAATAGAGCACTACTGATATCGAGACACCAGACATAGAATTGATACAACAACAAAAAACAACCCTGTGTGGGTTGATCTTTTTTAATTCATTAAAAAATGTATTATGGAAATAGTTTCAGAGGTCAGAGCTTAACGTACATCCACCTTTGTCTCCGAAAGATGACACCAATATGACACTTGGAATATAATTGGGGAAACAGACAAGAAGCACTGATACTTGTAAGTCCAATTTACATGTAGGAAGCGATCAGCCTTTTTCTGTGTTCTGCCTGTGCTCAATTATCCCCATCAAGAGAGGGCCGTCCACTGAACGTACGGATAGGGGAACCCATGGTAACGGCCCGCAAACAATTATCTAACATCAAGCATCTTAGCGGCACTAATTTGGTAACAGATGGGAGTATTTGACCTGGTAATGCTGTGTATGTAGTTTTAGTGCACTTAGTCCCTTCTATTCTGTCATGGCAAGAGACTCTTGGAATTACTTAACGTGAACAAAATGTGTGTGTCGTAATGGATACCTGCCAAAGGTATTGCCAAGTCCGATTTGGCCCATCACTGCATCTTCCAGTCATGGGCTGATTCACTACAAGCATCTCTCCTACACTAATTGGTTACTGGAGAGGAATATTTGACCTGGCAACAGGTCACTGTCAAGCCACTTCTGTTACTGCAAAGGCCTCTTCATGCAATGGAAGTAAATGTGAGGTGCATGCTAGAATGTGGCCTGCCAAAAAGCTATTTGAAAGTCCTATTCAGCCCCCAGGAAGGAAAATGTTCCCTACCAATGGCCTCGTGGAATTGCCTACATGTTGGGGTGCCACCTGTTCTGTACAAAAACACAACATTATTGGAAAGGTAATATGACACAATACTATAATTGGGGTGTATTATTATACAACTGACGAAAACCAGAACCTAACTTCCTGGGAAAAATTGCAGAATTGCTTGTGACAGCTACCCCAAAATTATACCAATCCTGGGAAAACAAGTTCAAGGTAGCAACCCCAACCACCCATGTGCCAGCGCGCGAGTCCCTGCGCATGTATACACTAGCGCGGCTTTGCGAAGCACGTTACTGGTCATCAAGGAGGCAGTCGCCTTCCACCAACAATGGAGGGCAGAGGAGCGACGTTCACACCAACGAGCGGAGGCGCCGGGTGGCTAAAATGCAGAAAATTGGCACAGCAGGGGACTAGGCTTGTGCATTAACCAGTCATATAAGTCAGTCAACCCATAGCACCTGAGTCTGCGCAGTAACCTGTTGGCGAGCCTTCGACACTTCACGCGGCTTCAAAGTGCACCTGGCCTGACACAGGAGTCATGGCGATGTCACTGTCAATTAGTGGTGAACGGCAGCTGTTGGCGTTGGTATCGGCTCGCGCGAGTCTTACCCCCGCCGAGGCCGAGCCTCAGGCCGCCCAGGAACTGGTTGGAGAACATCTCCTGGTCCCACACGGTGAGCTCCACGCATGCCTCGCGCATGTCCTCGTCCTGGAAGCCGTCGTACACCATCGTGTGGTTGAACACGGGGTTCATGGACTTCTTTACGGTGCGCGTCTTCTGGCGGCTCTTGCGGCTCAGGTCTGGCAGGATGTAGCTGTGGACGCAAGAGCAGGGCGGTCGTGATGGTCAGCACGAATGGCTACCCTTTCGTTTGTCGGTTTGTGTGATATTTCTTTAGGACCCTGTGCTCTTTAAATCGGCAAATATTGATGATCTTTGGTTGTTTTTGCGATGCTCAGGCGGCATCCATTTACTAAATAAACTCACTCTTTAAATCGTTTTTAAAAATATATATATATGAACAGGTTAAGGTGCATCCCCACAATCGCTCGCTCATGCCACTGCTGTTGAAAGAGCCTCCGCTACAGGGAGCTTTAGAGAGCCCCCCGATAATATTGACCTATTCTTCCTAAACCTAACCCCAACACATGCGACCTCCCAATTAACTGTGGTGTATCCATTTTATACTGCTCTGGATAGATAGCGGCAGAGGGGGGATTTAAGAAACGTGGTCGTTGTTTCAACTACCGCAACAAGAGAGATGGAATAGAGCCGGCGACCTCTGGATTGCAAGTCCAGTGTGCTAAATCATTATTCCACAGCGGCAGCATCCGGAGTTAATTTGCTGCTCGTTAAAAGCCAGGACGCATATGAGGGGCTACACGTTCTATGGGAAGTGACCTGAATTGTGGAAAAAAAAAACTCGACACATCAGTCATTAAGACTGCCGTAAACATGAAATAATATGAGTGACATTTTTGGGCAAGTGGCCATTATACGTGCGTATGTTTTAACTTCTTTTGCACCGTACGTAGCCAACTGTGCTAATCGAAGGTGCGGGGGAGGGAAAATAAACTAAACACAAAAGGCAGTTCTTAAGAAATTAGTTTTCAATCCTGATTTAAAAGTGAAGTGGCTTCCTAATGTCAGAAGGAAGAGTATTCCAGATGGCCAGAGAAGCGCATCTGAAATCGCGCGATGCGGTGACCGTTTTTGTTCAGTGGTTGGCCAAAAGTCACCGTTGCGAGGATGACCGGAGTTTGCATGCTGGTGTATGCTCCTTGATGGGATCACCGAGGTATTGTGGTTAATTTGTGGCAAGCACTTTGTATAATGAGTGTGACCTCAGAGTATATAATATAGCATATAACGTACGATATATACTGTGCACAAACATATCCATTATCTGACATGTCCATCATTTACTTTTCCGTTGAAGGCAGCGTTATCGATGAATGCCTTGAGAGTTTATTGTTATTTGTCTTTGTGCACCGCAGGCAATGCAATATCACCCAAACAATTGGTTGAATTATTGAGAGATTTACCTGGAGGTTCTCCCCAGGTTAGCTTTAGGCAGGGAACAAGCAAAGCACACGAATGAGCGTTCGGTGATTGAAGGCGTCCCTGCAACGCGTGCGTTAGAAGTGGGGACAATCATTGAGGTTGGAATAACGGAGGCACTAGCGCTCCGGATGGGACGCGTGAATATTTCATCGCCGCCCGAAGGACGTGGCTTTACCGCAGCATAATGGAACGTGCGAATATTGATCGCGCGCGGACCCTGCTCGTGCTCTTTTATTCGAGGGGGGGGGGGGGGGGGTGGTCCCTGCCTGGCATGACGCTAAACAAAATGCCGAAGGAATTGCACGCAATTGAAGAGGCCGTCGTGCGGACTCGGCAGATTGCAGGACGCGTTGCCCGTCACCTGGAGAAAGGGAGTTGGGGGGCAGCCAAGTGCCATCGCACATCGCCGAGAGGCCAGATCGCTACTTCGTGGCCCTCGCTCAGCTTCAGAGTTGAAAACACGTCGACCGTTGCCAAACCGTTTTGCAAGGAGATGACCTGACTCGGCTCGTTCGGGTTGAGGAAAAAGTGCCCCGCCACCTGGCTAGAATGATTCAAAAGTCAATATCAACATTGGCACGGCGAAAATTCTTGCCCGTGTATTAAAGCGCATCAAAATTTCACGTGTCATTTAAAATTTAGCTCGTGCGTAACCATACGTTTTTGGCTTTTATCTACATTATAAATAGAGTATTTGCGAAGTAGGAGACGCTTTTTTCTTTACTTCTTTATAGGATTTACGTCAACTGGAATTTGCGCGCGTTTATTTAACGTCACGTAGCAATAGCCCCGTGGAGCACCTTGAAGGTGAAAGATGTCCAGTTGCATTCAGATCAATCAACAGCGCTGCAGCAAGAGGGAAGGTACTCTGTTGTTCGTGTGTGTTGCAGCTCGCTCCATTTTGCTCGCAAGGCCCATTTGTGATGTTTGTACGTACGTTGAACTTCCTTCGCACCGTACGTAGCCAACCGTGCTAATCAGGAGGTGCGCAGACGTTTGCCTGCGATCAGCAGAAAAACTGGACTACGTGGACCGCCATTTGAAATTGGTAACCACAATCGCACTGCGGGCCATTCCTGATTTTTACATCGGTGTTAGTTGATTGCCGCATCTGCTGTGCAATGTTGGAGATGCCATTCAATAGAGAACACTGTCTTCGGGGTAAATTGATACCCTGACGGTTCTTCCGTGAGGCTAGCAATTAAGTGCTTGTTGGATACCACACAGTACGGGACTCTGCCCACTTCGATCATTTCACATTTCAGATATTAATCGGGCTACTCCTTAAGGCACAATTACGTACGTTTTCATGGTTGTGCTGTAGGTCTCTGATGTGTGTTCGGGTTTTGCCACGTGTTATTCGGCACGCTCCACGCGCTGAGAGTTTCTTCAAGAACTGAACTTAGCAGCTACACATTCTCCCTCGATAAAAAAAAGCATCTGCCGGCTGCTGCCAGCACATGGAGCAAAACGTCGGACAACGTGCCGAACAACGTGCGGTAGCAATCCAAAAAACACATCGCGGGAAGCTGTTACAGCACAAGCAAAACCTACGCGGCAAGCGTCTTCAAGAGTGGCCCGATGAATATCGAATAAGCTGCCAGCGAACGGTGGAAGTGGGCAGTGGCGTTACTACGTGGTGTATCGAACACGCACTTAACCGCTGAACCCACACAAGGACCTCGCGTGTGGTGTTAATTTACATTGCTGTGTGCTTCACCACGTCGGAACGTCGCACCAGTTGACGCAACTTTGTACCCATGCCGATGGAAAATTCGGAGCACCTCGCAAGGCGGCCCGAGCTGTTAAGCGTTTGGCTCACTCGCCCAACCGCCTGACGTCGCCGATCAATCCCCCCCCCCCTCACCCGTACGAAAGGAGGAGGGGGGGGGGCGAGCCCCTGCGATCAACAACAGCAAACCCCCCCAACTCTTTCGGCAGCCCAGGTCCCTCATGTCTGACCCCCCCCCCCCCCGCATGGCTGTGTGAGAGGTGGGTGGTTAATCCCATCTGACCACGACGTACCACTTGACAAATGCATCCACCCCGTGCGGCTTCAGGGGCAGCAGGTTCTTGGCCTCTTTGACCCAAATATGAATCTCCCCGCTCGCCGGCGTGAATTGCCCTTCGGGGGTGGGGGGGTGAAATAAACAGACGCGCATATTTACACTCATATCTGCCCGATTATGTATGTATGTATGTTGAACTAATAAATGCTCTGATCGTGCATTGTGTTTGTGTTGTTCGCCTTTTGGCGTTCTCTGGTCTGGCACTGGTGAGACTGGGCCCTAAAGAAGGCTGTCTCTGGTGTAGGCCAATCAGTTTCAAAGACAATGCAAATATTATTAATTATCAGAGCATGTTTGTTTGCATGTTCACCACAAGTACCGTGTGTGGTTACTGCAGACGTGATTCCTTGCAAAAGATTTCTGTTTGGTAAGGGTAAAACCCATTCTTATGTTTTCATACTTTGATACTGGCAAAAAAAGGTCCCATGTTGAACTTCTTTCACACCGTAAGTGGCCAATTATGCTCATTAAATTAGAGGTGTGGGGGAACGACAACAAACTAAACACAAACAAATGCAGTGCCATGTTTATAAAGAGGGAAACTTTTTTATTTTATTGCAACGCCAACTGCACTCGTGACATGCCTGGCCCCTAACTGACTGGCTTTTCAAATCGAAGATCCTAAATCGAAGCTCCCAAAACAACACCTCTTACCATACAACCAGCATCCCCCCGTTTGTCAAATTCGTTGTTTTACACCCCGTTTTTACAGCGTCTATAGAGATGCAGTCACATTAAGACACTATAAATACAAACTGTGTAATGGGTAAAGGCGCAGCCCCGTAATTACTTGCTCACCACTGCTGGCGGAAGGCCGTCTCCAACAGAGGATGCTCCTGAGAGCATGTCTAAGAGGGTATTTGGCCTACTCTTCCACACTAGGGTCGGACATCTTTCAAGAAGTAGGAGTTACCCACCGTTTACCCCACCACACATATTCTTGGTTCTTTCGACTGACTGTGCTTTACCAATTTACACTACTCAGTGGACAGAGGCGGGGAAATTGAAGAAACTTGCTCACACGTTTCTTCCTCTATTGCAGTTTCAACTGTGCATACATTTTGCAATAGTTTCATGTACATCCAGAAATACTCACCGACTAGACCTGTTAAGCTTCACTAGGACTGCACTGCATTGGGATGACAAAAATAATTTCCTTAACTTCATTAACCAAGATGGCCTTGCTGCTGAGTCTCAAGAATCTTATCACGAGGGTCCTGGCATTTGGATGTTTTTTGTTGTTGCAAGTTTGAAGAAACTAGAGTAAATTTCGATTTAAAGCTTTCGTGACTGCAGGAATTCATATTCTTGGTTCTTTCGGTAAAGTCACGTACAAGGGAAATAATAAAATAATAAAATAACAAAACATAATAAAATTCTCACGACGTTTCGGCCACAACGCAAGCAGCCGTCCCCTCAGGTTTTATTTTTATTATATTATTATTTCCCTTCTACGTGACTTTACCGAAAGAACCAAGAATATGAAACTAGAGTAACCTAAAAAAAGAATACCCCCGTAGCCCAGCGGAGCGGAGCAGCAAGAGTTTCACAAATCTGTGTGTGACCCACCGAGTCTTTGCCTCCGGGAGGTGCTGTTTCACAGGCACGAGACACCACTTTTGTTACAAGCATCGTCTTCAAATTCATCGTACGAATATCGCATCTTGCAGGCGTGAAGGGCAAAAAAAATCCTACTTACCCACAGAGTTGGCGGGAATGAATTTCAGGGCCAGGTTCAGATAGCCCCTGCTCGTTAGATCTTCTTGAGAAATGTGCACCTGTGAAACAGAAAACACATCGCAGGGTTCGCTCGATTAGAGGTTTCAAAAGTACCACTACTGCGTTGGTTTTCGCAGTTGTGCTGCACAGCCCTGCCGACGTGCTTTTGGCGCATTGTTTGGGTTCGATGTCCGACGTTTCACTCGTTGTGCAGGGAGCTTCGACAGTGACATTTCTTCAAGAACTCGAAGGAAAAAGCCCCCAGGCCGTCCAGCTAAACGTCAGCCATTATACCGACCAATGCGCAGTACAACCGGAAGAAAACACTTCGGAGGAGCTTTTAACCACCACCCCCACACATCGTAACAATCTGCAAATAGATTTGCCAATTTCCGCACGAAAAATGGAGCCAGAAATGGTGGTTAATAGGGATTACCCACGCCTGTAATAACATAATTGCCCTTCGTTTGCCTCTTTCAAAAACATTTTAAGTCACGAAAGAAGAAAAATTGCGGTAACATATTGCTCAACAAAAAAGCAATATCAGCAGCAGTGGTAACTATTATGAATGGAGACGTGCAGCCCGGCCCGCCCGTTTTAATCCACTGCCGGCGAAGGCCTGCTGTGACCCCCCCTTCTTGTTGGTCATGAGGGTTGTTTGACGATACTTCACCACAAGGGCCATGCCAGGTTGGTGAAGTGATGGGTGGGGGGGGCAGAACCAGTTTTTGTATCTCGTTCGCCAACTGATGTTAGCAATGGGTCGGGGATCGCAGTCGGGCGTTGTTCTCTACGACGAATGGGTGCGGCAGATCACTCGGGAACCAAGAGGCGTCGCCGCCTTTTGGGGGGGCAGCGTCATCCCACCAATAACACCAGCGGGGAGACAGATTTACTGAGAGTAAAATTAAATATGAAAAATATAATCAGTTGGGCATCATTAAACCACAAAATTAAATTGTGTTATAAAAACACCAGTACTTTGAAAAATCGAATGCCGCATCCTATAAACTTTTATTACTTTTGATAATATAATTGTATTAATAGTATCCATTTATGCGGTATATGTGCTGTATACGTATAATTGCCATCACCTCCAAGTGGGATTAGACTTAACACAGACGTACAGATGGCTCATCCTTGGCACCTGATTTACAGCCACTCAGAGAAGGCCCTCCGCTTCAGCAGCGTGACTGGATTTTAAGCAACGTTACGCCATTAAGGCACTCCAGCTAAGGACTGTTCGAGCAACGGCATTAATTGTGGTAATTAGGCTAAAGCACGTTGAGAATTAATTACCATTGGGAGCAATGGCAAGGCGCGGGTTTCCATGTGGAGAGAGAGAGAGAGAGATGCTGCGCTCTGCACACTTTATTCCTTCTCTGGGCCCTAGTGCGACTAATTGAATTCGTGCACGAGTGAGAAAGAGGGAGCGTTGTTCACATTCGCCGCCCGCCCGCCCCCCCCCCCCCCCCCCTTCGGTAATGCGATCGACGAGGCCGCAAACGAGGCCAGGAAATGAACATGCCGAATGGCCTGCGCAAACACGTGGCACGTCCACAAACAACTGGAGGGGAAGCCTCCCGTGTCCCCAGCAGGCACATTTTGTAACGCAGCTTTCGTGGTCTGTGCGCAGTCATTGTTGTTATGCCAAGCAGTTGGGGTGCAATGATACCGACCCCACTTCGAGTTGTTGTTTCCAAGTCCCTTCAGCTTAATTACGGCCATTGTTGTTCTGGCAGCTGGCTCGTGGAGTAAACTGCGATTACGACACGCGACAACGTTGAGAGCGAGTCTTTCATTAGCGGATGAGTGGTACGCATCCACACGCACGCGCGCACACACACACACACACACCTTCATAAATCATTTCTCGTCGGCGCCTCCTGCAATGACATTTAGCCTCGAGTGGGCTCCGTTTTAATTAATGTGTCACTTTATTTACACATTCGTGTCGAGGTTCGGGCAGATGTATCCCTACGAGCTCAGTGTCTCTGCAGGGCCATGTTGATCGTTTTGTAGCCGTGTTTCTGTACTCCGGTGTACCTGGTTGGCCTCGGGGATAACAGCTTGAAAGGACGCGGTGAGATTTATGGGCCATTGTGCGGACGAGACTGTCACCAGCACGAATTTAACGCGTAACAGTTAGTGCACTGGGCTTGACATCCAGAGGTCACCGGTTCGATTCGACCTGCCAGTGCGCAACAGTTGACAGCCGTGCTGCTAGTTTCTGAAATCTCTCCACCTCTTTCCACCCAGCAGCAGTGAAAATGGGTACAACCACGTGAAAAAAAATATATGTGTTTGACGGTTGGGGTCTGACAAGATGATCTTGTTTAGGTGTAATGTGCTTCGTTCGGCGAGTACAACCAGGCTGGAGAGCTCACAAGAAAGGGCGAGTTTGCTACATGAGCACATTAAATCTACACATGAAGACCAAGGCTACAACCAGTCGATTGGGAGGTCGCATGTGGTGGGTTAAAGTGTGGGTACTCGCGCACCCACGACGTCTGGTCATCATGGAAGAGTAGGGGAAAAAAAGATCACCTTTGGAGAGCTCCGTGGAAGCGCTTTGGGCCAGCAGTGGAATGAGCAAAGAATTACACGCAAAGTGCTTGCCACAAACGAACCACAATTCCTTTCTGATCTCGTCAAGAAGCATAATCCATCACGCAAACTCCGGTCATCCTCGCAGTGGCTTTTGTCTAACCGTCGAACAAAGACGGTCACCGCATTGGGTGCTTTTAGGTGCGCTTCTGCGGCCGTCTGGAACGCTCTTCCTTCCGATATTAGGAGGCCACCAGAGCCAGGCACTTTTAAATCTAGATTGAAAACTCGTTTCTTTAGAGCTGCTTTTTGCGTTAAGTTTTTTTTGTCCTTTCCCCGCACCTCCGCTGAGCACGGTTGGCTACGTAGGGTGTGAAAGAGGTTCAACGTACACACACATACACACACATTCATATACAGAACTGTAGGGCTGTACCTTTACCTTTCACACGCGCAACAGTGGAGCACCACGGAGGAACTTAGTGTAATGGTATGCACTTTACGCGGCCTTCCATGGATGGGGGCGGAGGGGGCGGGGGGGGGGGGTCACGCAGAGCAATGCGCCTCGGCGCAACTGATCCGTGTGCAATCGCAGCCTCCGAGGACTGAATTTCAATGTTTTCAATTGACCTCCGCGCCGGGTGAGGGCCTTCCGCCCAGATTGACTGGGCTTGAAACGAGTACCCATTGCCGCACTCTGGGAGCACCGGGGGGGAATGAAACCATCAACCGTGGTTATCCCTCCTTGGCTCTATCCTGCATGGGGGCCATGAAAAGGGTTGCCCGTCAGCGGCACCTGAGAGAGGGGCCCTGGGGGGGGGGGGGGGCGGCCCGTGGAACTCGTTACCTCGGTCTATAATTTGTAATTGCCGAATAACGCAATGGACGGTGGGAAACAAAACCCGCCGTGCAACCACTCACCGGTTGCACGCTCCGCTGACGCCGGAGAGAGGACAATAAGGAAAGCCATTCGGAAAGAGTTGTGAAGGGCCAACCCTGGTTTAGATGGTGGCACTTACGGGCAGGACGGACGTGAGATTTGGGCGCTGTGAAAAAGGATACGATGTGAAGGATAGAGGCGTTTGAGATTGTGGCGTTTAACGAGGCGTTTCAGCAGAGGATGGAGAAAGAAAATCACAACCAAAGGTTTGTTAAAAATAGTGGGAAGCCACGGAACGATGTTGCATTTAGGGATGAGAGGGGAAGTAGGCAAACAGCACACGTATCGCGAGACGCTCACGGGCACCCACTTCTGCAGCCCCTTGAGAAAATAAAAGGCAGACGGGCCAGAGCAATACTGTGTGCGAGTACATCTACAATATTTACATAGACGGGAAAGCTTCACCGAGTCTCAGGAAGGGGTCAACGTTGCTATGCGTGTTCCCAATTGGGTGATTTGCAGGTCATGTTTTGTTTTAAACGTGGCAACATTTGGATCATGCTGTGCTACTATTTTTCAAATAACTTTCCGCTGAAGCAGATGGCGCATATGTTTTACGGTTAATAACAATGGAATGACGAGTACGATTTGTTATTATTGATCAAGCGCCCTTAATGCTGGGGACGTCTTGGAGTGGTTCACATCCGGTCTCATCTTAACACGTAAAAAAGGGGCACTCCCAGTGGCAGCTGTCCCTGTTGCAGCACAGGGTAACTCAGCACCTGGCCTGCAAAAATGGGCATTTGTTTGCTAGATAGGGGGGAGGTAACTTTCCAATTTGTCAACCGTGGGTCTCGAGGTGCGAACATCTGCGACAAGTGGAAAACGAGCGACCGCTCGGCCACATCATCCAGACGAATACGAACGCGACGGTGCGATGGCACGAAGGGGGGTCGGGCTCGGCAGGGGGCGATGTCGCGATCAGCGTTTGTCGACGCCAAGTGCCGGCCACGCGTTGAGCGTCGACCTCGGGGAGCCGAAGCCGACAAACGGCACAGGTGGAGTGGCAGAGAGACGTCAAAAATGCGCGCGTGGATTGGAGGCCCCTGTCTGGTGTAATACGGGCATGTGGTGAAAGCTGCCCCTCCCCGCTTGTAATTTGCATGTGTAGCAGCTTTCAACTGACCCTGGGCTGCAGGTCAAACCAGTTGTAGGCGGTGTTTCCCCAGTCCCAGGTGGACAGCTCCATCTCCACCTCGCCCAGGAAGCTGTTCTTTCCGAACTTGTCATTGTGCCACACGGAGAGGTTGAGTACGCGAGACTGCAACTCGCGCGCCGGAATCTTGTACTGCACACGCGCGCAGCGGCACGCATACGCCCGCGCCAACAGCGTTAAAACACAAGCGCAGCAATGGAATAAGCGAATAAATAAGCAGACAGTACGACTCCACCTTAACATATCCGCCTCTCCGCGTCAACAGATTAAACAAGTATTTCATACACAACCAACCAGCCGGCACACGGCCTTCAGGGACTGTTGTACTGGACTTTCAGCAGCATCGTTTCAAGAAAAGTAAACTCTGGACCGGTTGCGACACGCAGCGTCGCATCAGCAGTCAGGGCTTGTTTTCTCGCTTGCATCAATGCTGGTGATCCACCAATTTTACGGCCAAGGACCCTTAAGCTACTGGGTCCCAGTTCAACGCAATTTGTGCAGCAATAGACAACGCGACATAATCATCAGCATCGTTGTGGAGAATAAAAATATAAATAGCAGACAATCAGATAACACGTCGCCACGTACGCCTCTCTCCACATAAATGAAAGTATTTCTTGCACAACCACCGGTACCGCGTTGCCATGACATCTATGTTACACGTCCGTGCGTGTACAACCCCCCATGTTGATTCACTGCTGGATGAGGGCCGCTTTGGATCGCAGGAGTTGTTGCGAGTTAACGGTCGGCCACACTGGTCAGCGCAGGTTTGGCGACCGAGAATACGATGCTGTATCAAAAAACATCATCTCCGCTCCGGGCCCATCGACTAACTATATGGGCGTAATATTAAAATGTGCAGCTTTCTGTCAATCTACTGCTGCATGAAGGCCTCCCCATGCCGTGACAGTCATAGGTACTGTATGGCCATACTTCACCACGCTAGTCAGTGTGGGTTGGCGAAGGTAGGCAGCATTAAAGTATAGTACAACAATGGGGTTATGCTGCACTACTAGATTGAGAGATCATAATCGTCGCCGTCAGACATGGTTATGCCAGTGCTGGATGAAGGCCTCCACCAACCGCTGCCATATCTCACGATCACTGCGATATAATAATAATCCACACAGCACCCGCACACGAGCCGATCCAAACGCTCCGTCTCTTCGGCGGGCATTCGCTCGGCTGCGTTCCAACAGTGTGCATGTGCCCGTATCAAAACGAGATGAAGGAATGTGGGAGGATGACGAGCTTTAGTTACAAACTTGTCTTCTGTTGGCAGTGGGGGGGCAAAAGAGGCACTAATAAAAAACGAACTCGAGTTCGTTAATAACGCCGTGGCCGTCAAACTAAATACGCGACGTTTCAGGCAATGGTACCTTCTCCATAGCACATGGCAGTCAATAAAAATGTGCCCTTTATGCTATGAAGAAGGGTATTATTTGTCTAGGGTATGTGCTATGCAAATATTGAAAATATTGTCACGTGGAGACGACACTTTTCAGTGTTTCCAGATAAGCCCCACCGAGCTATGTAGCTCTTTTTTTTTAGAAGCGACCTGGCCACAAATGACAGCTCAACGAAGTGGCTTATCGCGTGGAAATTTATAGCAACAGCCAAATACTCTAAACCAGTGTTTGTCAAACTATTTTTTGGCTCGCGGACCACTCAGGCGATGCAAACATTTCCACATAGCATCCACACCCCCCCCCCCACCACTGGTGATAAAACACATTCACCGATCCCTCTAAATGCCACTCATTCTAAATGAGTCATATTACCGGAACGTGAAAACATTTTTGAAAAAACGCAACTAGACGGGTTTTTTTTTTGCTTTGGGAGGGGAGCAGAGGGATGGAGGAGGCATTTAGAAGTTAGTGTTAGGGTAGTTTAATCATAGTTAGGGGTAGTTTAATCAGGGTAGTTTACCCAACTTAAAAAATATATATATCATGAGTCGTTATCGTCTGGATCCAGCTGCGTTTGCATCACAGCCCCGCTGACCGCCTGGAGGCCCGCCGAGGAACAACACTCTGTGAACCACCCCCCACCCCCCCCTATCCTGGACATCTGCGAAAAATAACTTTGCAGCTCATCGGATTCCTCCGGTACAAATAAATATTCCGCCAGGCGCACGTCTCTAATCGCCGAGGGGGCACACCGAGAAGAACGCCGCCGCTCCGTACCAAGAGAACAAACGGAGCTTTAGCGACACGCGGAGACGGACCAGGGAAGGGACGGGCGGGCGGGGGAGGCAACGCTGGCTGGCGCCGTCAACGCGCGCGTCCTCACCTTGAGGATCTCGTTGTAAACGGGGTTGAGGTTGTTTTTGCGCACGGTCGTCTTTTTCTTGCTCTGCCTGGACTTGTCCGGCAGGAGGTAGGTCTTCACATACCTGCGCGGGAGGGCGCGGGAGGGAGGCGTCACACGGCGCTCGCTCCAAACGAACGCACCCACAGCGGGGGACACGACAGGTATCGGAGAAGTCTCTCAACTTAACTTTCGTACGCGTCCATTGCCTGAGGGGCAGTGGTTGGTACGGCGCACCCCCCCCCCCGCCCCCCCCCCCCATAACCAAGACCACTGGGTCCCCATGGTCCCCGTGCCCCCCACTCACATGTCCACGCCTCTCGTCCCGCGCGACGTTGTTGAGGCACGCTGCGCATGTACATTGAACTTCTTTCACACCATACGTAGCCAACCGCGCCAAATCGGAGGTGTGCGTCTGTGTGCTCTGCGTTAGCAAGGCGTGTGTTGCTCGTCGTGCATCGGAGTGCTTTGTGTCCGTAAGGCATGTGCCTAACGTTGTGTTCTAGAGCGTTTTGTTTTAGTACAGCAGGTGTTTATCATTGTGCAGAACCTCACTAAGACATTCATATATAAATCAAGTAGCTCTACTACCCGGCATCGCCCGGCACTTGGATTCTTGTCTTGGATTAATAGACGGCCTACGCGGAGGGTGGGGGGGGAATGTGTGACGTCAGCAGGCACACTGCGTGACGTCAGCAGGCACACTGCGTGACGCTGCCGCATGCGGGTGATATCACAGATGTGACGTCACCGCTCACTTGCCGTGCAAAATATATCCATTATTGCGACCCCCCACCGCCCCCAAAATACAAAAGTCTATTTTTAGACGTTTTGCATTGTGTACAGTCTGGAAGCTGCCCACATGCCAAATTTCAAGTTTGTAGCATGTTGGGAAGTATGCTAAACATTTCGAAAAGACACACATATTTACTAATTTCCTTTTTTTATATATATAGATTATTTTACAGAAACAGCCTCTGTCAAATACGAAGCTCATTCCTTCCTTCTTCAGCATCTGACACTGCAGAGAGTAATGACAAGCACCTACAATCATTTGCCCGTGCTGAGGCTTAGGGAAAGATTAATACACACACTGTTCTCTGCATGTCTGTGTGTTTTACACTGGGGTACATTAAACACTGATGGCAATTAGGCGTGCGTATGTGATGATCTATTAAGGTGGTGTAAACATGCAAATGCATGTAAATATATACTCCACTGGACAAAGAATGGAGAATAAATGCCACAAATTTATGAACCGTGCATGCAATGTATGCTAAACGTATGCAGCGCAAGCTAATAAATGCATATACCAGCTCCCACTTGTGCATATTAGGAATAAATTAATGGCAAGTAAATTATTACCGTTGGAGTCGTTAGCAGAGCAGTGTGTGCCAGCCTGGCGTTTAAAGATTAGCGGGACGTGGATCACATTTTGTGAAACATCCACTGGTTGGGCACTATTGCCAACATCAAAACTGACTTCTCACATTTCTCTCCATTTGGTGCCTGTCAACGACTCGGGTCCACGGGTCTTCTGTGCGAACTTGTAATTTACGTTCATGCACGCACCGGGCCTCATAATCCCCAGGACACGTTTTACAGCCGTAGCAAGACCTTTTGTCAGCGCATTGCCGTTCGTCGGCAGCCGAGGAGACCAAAGCCAGCATCCGTGAGAACAAAATAACATCCCAACTGTCGCGCGTTTATTACTCCCGTTAAAACGTTCGCTCGCAACCGTGCCAGAAGACAAAAACTAAATTTCATTAAATCCGTTACATGCTTTTTTTTTGTTTTTCGTGCCCCATCTACACGGTGGAGCGGGGGGGGGGGGGGGGGGGGCCTTCTTGCCCCGGTTCTTTCACCTTCTGGTTCATTGCCCACGGTGGCCTTTTTAAGGCCTCCGCCACTTGGCATTTCTGAGACAGGTACAACCCAAGAAAGCCACTTTCTCTCCGAATTGATGTGCTAAGTGGGTGGGGGGGGGGGGGGAGTGGTTTCTCTGGCTCATTACAGAAGCTCATTCGCACGCAGGGCACCGTGCCCTTTTGACTTGAGAGAACCCAACGCACGTTTGCCTTCATAAAAGAAGTCTGATATTTCTCCGTCCTCTTTACTGCGAGTTTCATGCCCGACCACGGACGCGGATATAATTAATCGAGTCAATTCAACGCCGCCCAGTTTTGGCTTTAGCCTATTCCGTAACGGCGATGGTCCTCTCTCTGTCTCTCTCTCTCATGCATCGTGCGAATTCCCGTGCAACGTTACGGTCGAATTCGCTTCTAATTTTTCCTGCCCCCCCCCCCCCCACCACCACACGCTCACTCGCCGCAGCACTTGTAATTATTTATCTTCGTACGGCATTAGGGTTATCTGTGTGTCCATTAGCAGGCATCCTCTCGCTTCTTTTTCGTGAGTGCATTTGCACGCAACGTGTAAATAGTTACGGAGGAGGACTTGAGCAGAGGCGGCGTTGTGTGGAACATGCTCGCACATATGCGATAAATAAATGCGCATCGTTGTTGTGCAGATATTACGCGGTGCTCTGCATAATTAAGGACACACCACACGCAAAGCTAGTGTTTGCAATATGCGGAGTTGAAATATATAAGGCACAAATCACCTTGTTTACGTGCACATTTGCATATGTTGTGGCATGGAATGCATCATCCGTATGGCATGTAATGTCTCATAGCTGCTCTGCACAGGCACTCAAATGCTATTTTTCTCCGGCTAGCATCGTCATTACCCTGGGGCCAATCGCTGTTAGCGAGTGTACTGCGGCATGCATGAACACGTGATGGATTTGATGGGACCAGCCCCAAACATGGCCAAACACTTTGTCTCAAACATTGATATATTAGTCCATAAATCTGCACACTCCGGCTTACCCACCAGATGTCATTTTACACCGTTTGCAAAAAATAAGACTCGTTTATAATGTTGTTTTTCTCCCCCCCGCCCCCCCCCCCGCCCGTCCACCCTCCACGTCATCCTGACCACTGCGTTTCGGCATGGCACCACGAGACGAAGAATCCCTTCGGAACTCTCGCGGAGAGTGGCCTCGACCCAGCGCCCACAGGGCGGATATCGTGCGGCGACTTTCCGAGATCCCTTTGAGCGACCAAGGCCCCCTCGCGCCAGACGCTTCGCAAAAACTCGAGGGTCGGTCACGCGACAGCAGCTCGGTCTGCCAAGTCAAAGAAAAAAGTGGCTCGTCGGGATCGCAGCACCGGCGCGTTAACCTTCACACGTTCCCCTCCGCCACGCTCGCTCGCCGCGCCATAAAACCACGGGCACGGAGCGTGCCGTCGCAGCGTGCCCGCAGCGCGAGATCGGCACCCCCCACCCACCCACACCGCCCACACCACCCCCACTCGCCAACTCGTGTCGGGCATGCGCGGTTACGTACGGGGTCCGAGCGCCCCTTCTTGGCGACGGCGACCGCCAGGTCCCGGCACTGTGCCACGCAGACATGCAGCTCGCTGCGGCGGTCATCGTACTTGAGGGCGAAGTTCACCTCCCCCTTCACGTCCACGTTCCCGTAGTCCCCGGCGTCGCTGTACAGGCTCATCATGCTTCCGCTGATCTAGTTGCGTCAACAACGTCATCGGCATCGTCGTCAACAACAACAACAACGACAATAATAATAATCACAGCGGTGATAGCGGCAGTGATAACATCGTGCCCGTCGGTCGATTTTAATGGTGGCGCCAATTTGCGATTGAATGCAGCGCAAAATCGTTTATCGGCTCGGGTTTTTTTTTTCGCGCAGTTTTTTGGGCGCTGCACACGCATGCCATGCCAGCGGCGTGAGCGTGCCATTGTATCCGCATCGCCACAGCTGCCTATGCTCGCTGATATGAACAGGCGGTGCAGCCCTGCACGATAACACCGAAGCAAACAATAAAGGGCCGCTGCTACACAATGCGCACAGAAGGTCTACGAATCCCGGAGACGCGCACAATTACATTTTGCTCGTTTTCTGTAAACATCCGTGGGTACTAACACACCGAGCATAATAATCCACGGGTATCAAATACGATGCTTTAAATACGTGCCTTAACCATGCTAACATCGAACATCCGATACGCAAACATTGATTAAACCTTCCCGGTAAACAGTAAATATTGTAAAAGGGTGGTGGCAGCGGGAGTGGTGGTGGCGACAACAACCACTACAACGCAAATCAACAGGGCCACCCCCTCCCGGCTTTTCCACAGGGCATTAATTTAAATTGGATATTTCTGCATCACTCACGGAGCTGATATCACTCGGAGCTCTTCTCAGCTTGAAGGAGCCACTGTCTTCCGAATCGATATCTATTCCTTGTTCGCCTTCCTCCTGCAACACACGCGCACACGCAGGCATTGTTCATTAGCCCTGATGGGTGAAGTGAGCAAAGTAAGCCATTCCGTTTTTGTTTCCCCCCCCGATGCGCAGGTATATACTGCGCAGGCTTTAACCACCGCGCGGGAGTCGTTAGCTCGCAACGGGACCGTATATATATCGATCGTGCCGAAACAATTAACTCGCGAACGTTATTGCGCCTTGCAGAGGGGAGGAAAGTTGCCTGCAAATTCCTCAAGAGTGAGCGCTGCACACGAAGAGAAAATATTTCATTTTGCAGTGCTCCATGAAAGCAGGAATTAAGCCTCTCTTGGCTCGCCAAAAGAAGAAGAAAAAAAACAGGCACGCGCACACAACGCACACACACACACACGCGCACACACACACCACGCACCTGCACGCGCGTACGCACAAACACTAACGGAGGCAGAATTTTTTTTTTATCTGGCGCATCAAAGCAAGGGGTTTATATCACAACGCAACCAAATATTTGCTGCTGCGGATAAAAAGTGTTAAACTGCAGGGCATTTTCCGCGTGTAAATATTTTCAAAGCAACTCGAATGCCTCCATTTTAATCGTGAGAAAAACCACGAATCGTCCCCTCCTTCCATGCCACCGGCTTTGCTGCTGCTGCTGCTGCGACAGTACTCTGAGGCACTTCTCAGACGTGCCCGTGCATCCAATGGTTGCTTTTGCCTTTTTCCCCCGTTTAGTTCGTCTTCCCCCCCCCCCTCCACTCTGTTTAGCACGGTTGGCTACGTACGGTGCGAAAAAAGTTCAACGTACATACCCAGGCAGTCCAGATGTCGTGACCCCCCCCCCCCACCACCCCCCCCACGAATGAATTGACCCCTAACACGTTTCACATCTGCATACTAATTTCTGTTTGAAACAAACCTACGCTGTGCTTGGAATAATGCCGTCAACGTTCGGCGTCGCAAACCGGCCGGCTGCTCTCGCTCCCGAGCGCGGGGAGAAGGGGGTAGTGGTGGTGGTGGGGGGAGAAGGGGGTAGTGGTGGTGGTGGGGGGTGAAGGGGGTAGTGGTGGTGGTGGGGGGAGAAGGGGTTAGTGGTGGTGGTGGGGGGGGGGGAAGGGGTTAGTGGTGGTGGTGGGGGGGGGAGAAGCACACGGAGGCTCGGACAATGCGAAGGTTCGTCACGCTCAAGGGGCTCGCCCAGCGAAGGCCTTGCGTGTTCGCGGCACACTCGGGCTGCCCGAGGTGTTTCAGAAATTACCGGGGTATGCAATTGCTGAAAATTGTTTTTACTGTGGTTCACTTGCCATGCCTCGGTAGAAAACTGAATTAGATATTTGTAATTGTGTCAATCCGCTGCTGGATGAGGGCCTCGCCCATGCCGTGTGGGTCGCGAGGGTGATCTAACCGCACTTCACTACGCTGGCGGGCGCGGGCTAGCAAAGGTAGGGAACACAGACGTTGCAGTATAGTAAGGGACAAGCAGGGATATTGCTGCAGCGATATCTGCTACTCATAGCGTAGCACCACCGCAGCAGCCCATAACGACCTGTTTTACGAATGATGGTCACCCATCCGAGCACTATCCAGGCACAAACCCACTTAGGCTTCCAAGATGTGATGATGAGATCGGGGCGCATCCTGGGAGATCTGACCGCAGACATTCGCTTGCCACGTGCGTGGAATTAGCATTAAACATGGGAATAAATTGATGCTCAATGGCACGATTTACCATACGTAATCACGAGCGTAACAAATCCATTTTAAAATCGATCAATCGTTTATCTCACCAAATATATTCCGGGTCGCTGATGGACTGCAGCGCGTGGCATGCAGCTGAAAGACGCAGCCACAGGGAGAGGTAAAATGGACGTGGTGGGCCGGTGCACGTACATTTTTTCCCAGGTTGTCTACTCAGGCTCACCCCTGGTTGAAATGAATCCATGAAAAACTGCAATGTCCCACAGCCACCCCCCCCCCCACACAGTGCTCGAGTCAAACATCATTAAGTCGCGCGCACACACACACACACAGACGCACGTTGTTTACAAGAGAGACCTCTTTGTTGTATTTGAAAAAGCCGTAACAAGAGGGAGAGGGCTCACGTTAGGCTTCACGCAGTCTGTTTGGAGAGAGAGAGAGAGCGAGACATCGGATTTGTTGTTCTTGCTGCTTTTGGAACGCACTGCTAATTTGACTGCGGCAGCGGTGGTATTCTGACTCGCTCCTCTGTGAAGTCTCGTGGGATCGCTAACAAGGGCCGCGAGCAAGCGCGTGGCCATGCCCTTTTGATGCCACTGCGGCGGGCCGGGGAGAGAAGGATGTTGCGAGCAGGGGGCGCCTGCAGTTTGCGAAGACGAGAGAGGCGAGTCCACCCCGATTAATTGCAGGCAAGACACAAACAATTGTTACGCCACTTGCGTGACGAAAGCCCAGGGGATTTCCCGTCCCCTAATGAGCATGGAGGTGTGGGTGCGCGTCTCTCGTTCACAGCCCTGCACAGGCAGTGATGGAAATTCCACGTTCCTATGGCATGGGTGAGTCGATGCACAGGACAACCACCGCTGACCCCCCCCATCCACCCACCCCAAAGTGGTGCTCATCTTTATCATCTCCAAAGGGATGATGGGCAGAGTCAAGCCCCGCCCCCCCCCAATCGGTGATTGAACTTGTCCCCCACGCACTGTACAGCCGAGATGGTCGGGTAAGCAGATAATTAGACGACCTGATATAGATTTGTTGTCCCTATGTGAAGTTACTCATTAAGTAGATATGCTATTAATTGTATAAAGGGTAAATTAGAAATATTGCCGGATTTTTTCTCCCACCCCACCACCAAGAGGTAGGATCAACATATCGGTCGAATGGCAAACATTATTTATATACATGTAAAGGTCAGTCAGCCAAAACGCTGACATCTCTCTTACATCTCCATGACAGTCCTTGACGGTCCTTGACGGTAAAAAAAAAAACGTTTTTCATTCTAATGAACCTATTCATTGCATAATTTCACTGAAGCAGCAGCTCTACAAAATTGTGACACGTCGTTTTTGCAGTTAAATGGTAAAGGTGCAGCCCCGTAATTTTTTGCTCATGCCACTGATGGCAGAAAGGGCCTCCACTAATTTAAGGCTGGCCGTCGAACAAAGACGGTCACCGCATCGCGCGCTTTCTGGTGCGCTTCCGCGGCCGTCTGGAACGCTCTTCCTTCCGATAATAGGCAGCCGCTGGAGCGGTGCACTTTTAATTTATCTAGATTGAGACCTCATTTCTTCATAGAACTGCCTTTTGCGTTTAGTCCGTTGTCCTTCTCCGACACCCCCGATGAGCACGGTTGGCCACGTGCGGTGCGTAAAGAAATTCAACGTATGCATACACATGGCGTAGGGAGCCCCCCCCCCCCCCCTCTGCAGGGGTATTTGACCACTCTTCCAGGAGTGCTTTACGCATGGGAGAGAACCGGAGCACCCGGAGAAAATCTCATACATGCAGAGGAGGGTGGGGGGGTACAGCCGCTCGTCGATGCTTGCCAGCCTCGCTTACCCCGGACATGGTGAGAACCGGCACAGATTTGCTCATCTGCTTTTTCCTCTCCGCGTCCGTGAGCTCTCCCACCCTCGCGGGCCTCACGGCCGTCGGGAGCGTAGCTGCTGCAAATGACAAAGGGGCGCAGCAATCGCAGGAAAAAAAAAAATACTGGATCCGCAAAACACAACCGTTGTGCAATGATGTTACGTACAAGGTCGCCTGCCTACATGCGTGCAGCCCTGCAAAATGCCGACTCGTGGCACTGCTGGTTAAAGGGGCTTTCCCCCCACCCCCCCCCCCCTCAAGGTTGCTTGGAGAGCTGCTCTTCAGAGTACATGGCTTACTTTTACTCGTAAGAGGTTTTGGGTTGGATCGCGTGAATATAAACGTGTCGTTTGTCACGTGAACAAAACATGCCAATGTTTGTTCACGTGACAATCCTTGCTCATTGGCTGTCGGGTGGTGGCGGCGGCGGGTTTAACGAAACATTTATATTTTTACGCGATCTTACCCAAAAACCTCTATTATGAACGATATTGCAAAATCCTACTACGTGGTTAAACCGGCCGACTTTTTCCATGCGGGCCAGACACGTCTCGAAAGAGGTGGGGAGTATATCCACACTTTAGCCCACCATGCAAAAACCTGCAGGTTGACTTAACTGTTGTGTATCCATTTATACTGAGGTGGGGTGGGGAGAGATTTTATAAACTTGCCTCATTATTTAAACTTTGGGTGTACCTCGATATCCTTTTGGGGGTTGTATTCTTGACAACCTGAACTAAAGGGTGAAAAAGCCTACTGTATATCGAAACGTATTTTCCCATAGGATCCCATTATACAACCCTAAGATGCGTTCCTAGCAACAACAAAAAAAAACTCACAAAAGAACTTTTTTAAAGAAACAACTAAGACATGTGCATGAGTGCATGTGGAGTCTAACAAAACGACGGATATTAAAAAAACTTAACACTGCTGCCTGTAATTTACAAACCACAAAATGTAGCACACAATGTTACTAGAGTTGAAGGGGTTTCTAGGATGACGAGGGAGGGGCATTTGTGGCATCTGTCTGACCCTTTGGGGAGTATAGTCTATGGCACGGTGGAACGTGCAGTGGTTTGAACTCCCACGGCTAGGCTTGTAAATCACGCGGTTAAGGCTACAAAGCATAGCGGCCAGACAAACGGCCTGGAGCAGAAGAGAAATGCATGCATAACGTGCATTCATTATTAGGTGTTGATTTTTGTTCCCCCCACTTTTTTTTCGACAGAGAAAAAAATAACAACATAATTACGAAACGAGAGACGGAAACCGTAAAAAAAGTGTTAATCTATGATGAGCATCATAACGAATCGTCGGAAACCATCTGTACTGGGAAATTCGAAACCAGCGGTCTCTGGATTGCAAGTCGAGTGTGCTAACCATTTACACAAAGGGCAGCATCTGTACCATCAAATACCACGCAACCCTCGTATGCAAAAGTTGCACAACAAACTTGACCAAAACAGCTTACAGTACTAGATTTGAAGCTTTCGTGACTGCAAGGATCCATACTCTTTGGTTCTATTCGGTAAAGTCACGTAGGTGGCCTTCATCAGTTGAAGGTTGGTCCCTTCAACTGATGAAGGCCACTTGTGTTGTGGCCGAAACGTCGTGATTTTTTGTTTATTTTTTACCTACGTGACTTTACCGAATAGAACCAAAGAGTACAGCTTACAGTACTTTGGAAAACAATCACCAGTTTCATCTTCCGCTCTCACGTGCGCAGGGAAAAAGTTTACGCACACTACAATTGAATCATTTGCGGGACTCCGGGGTCACGCAAAAATCAGGTCAATAATTATTATTATTTTTCAGTCCGCCCCACTCGTGATCCCGACAGCAACGCGCCGCCCGCCCAGACTCGCGCCAACAAGCGCCAACAGCAGGCGGCGATCGACACGATGGGCGCCACCCCACCGGCCAAACGCAAGCCCCGGGGGGCGTCCGCCGTAGTCGCGTGCGGCGACGACGCCCTCCGGTCAGCCGTCGATCCTCAGCTTCTTTGCCAAGGCGAGCCCGCCGCCGCAGTGAATTTAACGTGTTTATGTAATTTTTCAACTTTTAACGATACTTAGTGTCCCCGAGTAGCTCTCGACGAGGCCAATCGATTGACGCTAGTTTTGTTGTCGGTAAGGCAAGACTCGTGTCGCTACGCGGTTTTTCCCACCCCGGGGCAGTGATGGGACCCCGGGGTCCGGCCAATTGCTTCAATTCCTGCTGCAAAGAAAAAAAAAAGCCTTTCCAAGTGTTCCCCAGCTTCACACAACCAGAGTGGGGGGTGGGGGTAGCTGGTATTAGTCGTCGGAGCGAAGAGTACGCGTGCGACTGGCAATTGCTGTAGTACCTGCGTGGCATCCTCCAGCCATCTCTCGACTTGCGGTGACACAGAGCTTCTCGCCACTATTAAGACGACAACAAAACACACGCACGCATTTTGTCCCCCCCCCCTGTGAAGACACCGCAAAGTGTTCTGAACAGCGCAGGAGTTGGATATTTCTCTCTCTCTCATCCACGTGGCAAGGCATCATTTAAAACACGCGGCCTTCTCCACGAAGAAAGGCCCGTGTCCAGTCCGGGCCCCCATCCGCATGCACAGCCTGAAACCACCAGCACACCCAGGCTTCAGTAACTACTGCTTCACAGAGCATTCGACAAGGACCAGTTATGAAAGGTTTTGTTCGTTTTCAAATCGAATTTCCATACGACTACAAATACATGTTGTTGTGGTTGCCCTACGTAGCTCTCTTGATATATACATTTTTTTTTGGGTTCGGGGCAGGGTACTGCGGTGTGTTTTCGGTGCAAAGTCTGACGATTCAGTCCTGAAGAAGCTCCGGCATGCGGTGCAAAACGTCAGACATCGTGCCGAACAACACGCGGTACGACCCGAAGCCCCATCGGAGAGTTGGTTAATTTTATTAATTATCGACAATGGTTGGTTTGCACTTTAGTACAGTTATTAAAATTGGTTAAATGGCACAAGGAAGTTAATCAGAATTTGAATATGCCACTTGGAGAAAAAGTTGAAATGCCTCTTTAAGAGATGTTTATGTCACCAATTTCAATTAAACTGTAAACACATCAGTGAAATTATCAATTTATAATTGTTTTCCTCCTCATCGCCTCTCTTGCCCATAGATATTTAGCGGCCAGATCCTTATCTTGGCGAATTTACGTTTTTACGAGATTATTTTTTTTGGGAAAATTGTGCCCACTTTTCCAAAACCAAATACACTGGGCGCAGAGATCCTTGCCAAGGGCAATTGTGGATTTTTCAGCCACTTTGTCAAGATAGGAATCAAGGGGCCCAAAGTGTCTCCGTCCGTCAAATGAGAAGGTAGAAGCCGTCCTTTGTGCTCTCGTTAAGTGACTGAAGCAGGGACCCCACTTGTTTTTAATATACACAGACCAATCTTATAATAAAGTCCCCCGATCACCAGCAAAACCACCCTCTTAATTTCAGACCACCTATCACATGCACGCATTATTGTCTTAACCACCGCAAAGATCTTCCTCTCGTTTGCAGCGCACACGTTTTTCTTTGTCCGAACAACAAAAGTGTCGGGGGGTGGGGGGGAGGATGGCGCTCGTATTACACGTGCGCGAGCGTGTTTAGTGTGACGAGAGCTGGGGGGGGGGGGAATGATTTATAGTTGTCAATAAGGTACGGTTTAAAAAAATAAATATATTTCTTCGATGCAATGTTTAACAAGGGTGTTTCTGGGTGATCAATTCCAGGCCTCAATAGGACGGTACACAATGAACACATCCATTCAGTACGTGACTTCCATTGGTCCTAGGGAAATAAGAAAAGTCAGTCATGTGCATGTTACACATTCGGTAATTCCAAAATGAACGTTTCCGAGGCTAACAATCATATCGCGTTGATGTTTCGGCCAATTTGGCCAAGCCATCTCATCTGCTTTCACATGCGATTAAATACAACCTCCCCCCCCCTCCCCTTTATTTCTGGCAAACCATCGACGAAATAGGAAGCAAAGCATCGGTTTGCATCGAGAAGCCCTGCACCGTCAAAGTGTTTTGTCAAGCGTTGCGATTAAAATAGAATGTTGCCTTCACTGCCTCATTGCGTCTGTTTTGGCTTGCTTGCAGACTTGCCGAGACTATTGATAGTGCATTCTGCCTGAGCAAGTAAGTCATCTTACAATAAACCCTTTCTGAACTGTTAAACAGTAAACAGTTATTCCCTAATAGAGGTGTTCTGGGTTAGATCGCGGAAATATAAAAATGTGTGTTGTTAAAACGCGCCACCACCTGACACAGCCAATTAGTAAGATTTGTCACGTTAACAAAACATGCCAATTCGTTACTAGTTCAGAATACTGGTGCGTGGGAGAGTAAACCCACAATATTTATAATTCGAGTACAGGCACTCCTTGACATGCACAATAGATGCGTTCCTGGAAAGTGCGTATGTCAAAAAGCTATTTCCCATAACAATAATGGTAAAGGAGGAGGTTAGGGGATTTCATTCACACTCACAAACATAATCGGCTATATTATCCTAGCCTATATCTCCCTCTCGGGCCTTCATTCTTCACCACCCTGTGTTCTCTTGATACAGTACCCTCTCATTAACTACCCCTTCACCACCCTTCCTCTCCGGATGTTAGTTATCCGGCCACCTGTGTTCTTAATTATCCCTTCACAACCCGTTCTCTTATAGTTCATCTCAGCAACCCCCCCCCCCCCCCCCGTGCTCTTTCTACCTACACATCTTTAGGCAGATCCGTGTAACGTTTCTTCTTCATTTAGTCCCCTACACTTTGTAACTACGCCGGAGTCGCGTTGTGGAGGCCAAGGGCAAGGCCTCCGGTGTACACGCCGCGAGATGCTGTACGGTGCATCACACTAGTTATCGTACCGCACTGGCTACTGGCAACGCCATTGGGCCACGGCTCCAGGCTAAGGGTGGTGTACGTCACGTATGTTATGTCAACCAAATGTCTAAATACAAAGCGCTGCGGTATTCCAAAATGGCGTACGGCAAAAGCACGTAAACCGAGGATCGCCTATATGACGTTTCGCCGGCAATTTCAAACCAGCTTCATCAGGGCGACATCCAGAGTTGCGGAGAAATCCTGTTTCAATATTAAGTGTAGGGATAAATATTACATCGTCACTTGTGAGCCAATCAGGTGCGAATACCGGGGGGGGGGGGGGGGGTTAATTTATGCATACAAATAAAAAATGGATATCTATGATTGGTTGGGTTATTGACAGTTAATCAACATACAGTTATGCCTTGTGAAAGGTTGAGATCTGCCTAAAATATTATTTGTCGTTTTGTTATTATTCCTCAAATATGGCCAAGAAATAAAAAAAACTCAAGCTGGTGCTTCAAGCCGTTGAAGTGGTCACAAATACGATCCGATGTGACGACTCAAGGGGGGAGGGGAGAGGGAAGCAACAAATAATTAGTGAGAAAGCAAATTTGGTATTGTACATTTTCACCCAAAATATTCAATAAAATGTAATTGGTGCTGAAAGAGAAAAAAACACACGAATCGGTTCATGATTTCATCTAAAAGCAATGACTTGGCAATTATTTTTACACTTCGGCTCATTATGATTATCAGGATCTCTAGCTACAGCAATGGTTCAAAGTACCGCAGCATGAGTTTGAAATAAGTAAAGTACTCTGACATTACCAACCTTCTTTAACATCCAGACTTGGGTTCTTCCTGCTAATTTGCCTTGTCTTGGAGGCAAAGAGGGCACTTCATCATCATCCTCCCCATGTGGATCTTCATAAATATTCTCTTTACTTTGCTTGCTCGTGGGTTCCCTTGTCGGGTCGTGTCTTTGAAGCCGCTATTTCCACGGGATTTATTTCTGCGTAGATCGCTGGAGTCGACCGGGAAAGCTCGGCATTGGCGGAACCCGCTTCTTCCTTACGGCTCATTTGTCCAACCTCGGGATCGTCCGACCACGGTGGCCTCCTGCTCAGTGGTTTCTGGCGGGCTCTTGTGATGACCTTGTGGCCGATTCTGAGCTACCGTAACGTCCGCAGAAGCCGGTTCCTTCGGTCGCACGCTTTTCTGGGACTGGGGAGGGCGGTTCTTTGTCCTCTTCGCTCAACGCACGAGGGTCGGCTGCCTTGTGACCGTGCTTCATCACCTGCTCCTGGGCACGTTGAGGAAGCGTCTCCTCATCTGCACTTTTGGGTGGTATGGCTGCCTTCCTCCTTTCTCTTCTCCACAGGTCTGCGTGGAGGCTGAGGCGGTGCATCACTGACATCTTTGGACTGGATTTGGAGGGTTTCTCGAATGAGTCATCATCAGAATTTAATGCGTGCCAACTCATGTGGCCTGCCCTTAAATAACTGGATGTTATGCTTTTCTGAATCGTCCTCTGGATCTTGTTTGGACTTGTCTGGTAACCTCGACCCTCGGTAAGTCTTTCATTTTCAAAAATAGATCAGATGCCTCGACCTGGGAGAATGCGACTGCTCCAATCAACCTCTTGTTACAGCTTCTGCAAATGGATCTCTCTTATTCAAGTCCTGCGGTCTGTCAGGATGTTTTATATTGTGGGTATTATCACTGTCTTTCAGAAATCTTTAACTTGTGTTGGAGGGCTGGCTGCTGCTGTGGGCTGTTCTTCTTCGGGCTCCTGCCCACTGCTGTCAAAATCAAGAACATCCTCGTCTTTTCGCTGTGGGACTCTTTTCTTTTCTACCACCAGTTTCGCTGGAATCTTCTCTTTTCGAGGTTTCAACAATGGTGGGTCATTTTTAACGAGCTGCTGAACCTTCATCTTAAAACTCTTGCCGCGCCTCCACTTCCAGCGGGATCCTCAAACTCTCAAAAGGCTTCTCCGGAACGGGTTTATCTGTCATCTTGCTTTCTTGGGAACATCAGCAGGTTCAATTTCTGTTGGACGGTTGGCTGCTTCTGTGAGCTTTTCTTCTTCAGGCTCTTGCTCACTGCTTTCGAAATCAAGAACATCCTCATCTTTTTGCTGTGCGACTTCGTTTCTTATCGACCACCGGTTTCGCTGAAGTCTTCTCTTTTCGAGGTTCGACAACGGGCGGGTCATTTTACACGAGCTCCTGAACCTTCATCTTAAACTCCCCGTCGCGCTTCAACTCCAGCGGGATTCTCAAACTCTCAAAAGGCTTCTCCGGAACGGGTTTATCTGTCATCTTGGCTTTCTTGGGGACGTCCTGAGGTTCAGTTTGTGTTGGAGGGCTGGCTGGCTGCTGTTGGCTGTTCTTCTTCGGGCTCCTGCTCACTGCTGTCAAAATCAAGAAGGTCCTCGTCTTTTCGCTGTGGGGACTCTTTTCTTTTCTACCACCGGTTTCGCTGGAGTCTTCTCTTTCCGAGGTTCCACAACTGGCTGGGTCATTTTTAACGAGCTCCTGAAACTTCATCTTAAACTCCCGTCGCGCCTCCACTTCCAGCGGAATCCTCAAACTCTCAAAAGGCTTCTCTGGAATGGGTTTATCTGTTGTCCTTGGATTTTTTTGGGATGTCCTGAGGTTCGGTTTGCATTGGAGGGCTGGCTGCTGCTGTGGGCTGTTCTTGGGGCTCCTGCTCACTGCTGGTCAAAATCAGAAGATCTCGTCTTTTCGCTGTGGGACTCTCTTCTTTTCTACCACTGGTTTCGCTGACGTCTTCTCTTTTCGGGTTCAACAACAGGAGGGTCATTTTTAACCGAGCTCCTGAACTTCATCTTAAACTCCCGTCGCGCCTCCACTTCCAGAGGGATCCTCAAACTCTCAAAGGGCTTCTCCGGAATGGGTTTAGCTGTCATCTTGGCTTTCTTGGGAACATCAGCAGGTTCAATTTCTGTTGGACGGTTGGTTGCTTTTGTGAGCTTTTCTTCTTTAGGCTCTTGCTCACTGCTTTCAAAATCAAGAACATCCTCATCTTTTTGCTGTGCGACTCGTTTCGTATCGACCACCGTTTCGCTGAAGTCTTCTCTTTTCGGGGTTCAACAACAGGAGGGGTCATTTTTAACGAGCTCCTGAACCTTCATCTTAAACTCTTGCCGCCCGCCTCCACTTCCAGCGGGATCCTCAAACTCTCAAAAGGCTTCGTCCGGAACGGGTTTATCCATCTTCTTGGCTTTCTTGGGGACGTCCTGAGGTTCAGTTTGTGTTGGAGGGCTGGCTGCCTGCTGTGGGCTGTTCTTCTTCGGCGTCCTGCTCACTGCTGTCAAAATCAAGAAGGTCCTCGTCTTTTCGCTGTGGGCCTCGTTTCTTTTCTCCACCGGTTTCGCTGGAGTCTTCTCTTTCCGAGGTTCGACAACGGAGGGTCATTTTTAACGAGCTGCTGAACCTTCATCATTAAACTCTTGCCGCGCCTCCACTTCCAGCGGAATCCTCAAACTCTCAAAAGGCTTCTCCGGAACGGGTTTATCTGTCTTCTTGGCTTTTTTTGGGACCGTCCTGAGGTTCAGTTTGTGTTGGAGGGCTAGGCTGCTGCTGTGGGCTGTTCTTCTTCGGGCTCCTGCTCACTGCTGTCAAAATACAAGAAGGTCCTCGTCTTTTCGCTGTGGGGGACTCTTTTCTTTTCTACCACCGGTTTCGCTGGAGTCTTCTCTTTTCGAGGTTCCACAACGGGCGGGTCATTTTTAACGAGCTGCTGAACCTTCATCTTAAACTCTTGCCGCGCCTCCACTTCCAGCGGGATCCTCAAACTCTCAAAAGGCTTCTCCGGAATGGGTTTATCTGTCTTCTTGGCTTTTTTTTGGACGTCCTGAGGTTCAGTTTGTGTTGGGAGGGCTGGCTGCTGCTGTGGGGCTGTTCTTCTTCGGGATCTTGCTCACTGCTGTCAAAATCAGAAGATCCTCATCTTTTTGCTGTGGGAACTCTTTCTTTTCTATACCACCGGTTTCGCTGGAGTCTTCTCTTTTCGAGGTTCGACAACGGGTGGGTCATTTTTAACGAGCTCCTGAAACTTCATCTTAAACTCCCGTCGCGCCTCCACTTCCAGCGGAACCCTCAACTCTCAAAAGGCTTCTCCGGCATGGGTTTATTGCTTCAACAAGTTTCTTTCCATGTGCTTCGAAGCTCTGCAAATCCTCGGGGCTTTCATTTTTCCATGGGTCTTCTTCCACCAGCCTGCTAGGCTTCTCCAGTTTCTTCACCGAGTAGATTCCTGCGCAGTTGGGTGGCCCCAGTTGTTTCGCCCTGCACTGGCCTTTGATTCGACGGTGTCCTGGAACTCGTCTCCACGCGCTGATGCACCCTGGTCTTAAAACTAAGTGGGCCCCCTCTTCTTGGCGTCGAGTCTTTCTCTAAGTTGTCCTTTGCCACTGGCTTTTCTGCTCTCTCAGGTTTCCCTTGGGAGATTCAAGTTCTGAAGAGGTTTGTGAAATCGGTTTGATCGAGGAAACGTCGGGTAGCTGTACGCTCATGTTGAAATCGAAAAGGTTTCATCATTTGCTGGTAAACTCTTTTTCTGAAAAGTTTCACCATTGGCTGGTTTGTTTGCTTCACTGTCTTCTTGAAGGCCGAGCCAGGTTCTGAAGCTTTGGCGAGATCTCTCTTGCTCTGGCGGGAATGTCATCGGCTGGGTCGCATTCAAAAGGTTCTGAACCCGTTCTTTCAGTCCGGCTTTGCCTCCATGCCGAATGGCAATCTCACTCGCTCAGAAGGCTCCTTCCCCATAGGTTTTTTTTCTGTCTTTGCCCTGTTCGCAGTGATGGTTTGTGAAGATTCCACGGTTTTCTGTGGCTTCAGTTGAACACCTGGATCTTGTTCCACAAGCTCTTGAGCCCGTTCCTCAAGCCTTTGCCGTTCATCTGTGTTGGGCGACAAAACAACATTTTTCAAACTCAACTCTGCGCCGACTTTGGAAGGCAACTCTGTTTTTGTTCTAGGGCCCGATTTCACACGAGTTTTATCAGGTGACACACTTGTCTCTTGCTCAGCTGGCACAGCTTTCTCAACCAATGGCTTTTTGGCCTCCTTCTGCGACTTGCTTAGCTCTCTTGAAAGTTCTTCCTGTCGTCGAGACTCACTCTCTGGTGTGCCCGAAGTGGAATGGTGTTGTTTGCCTTGCTCGGGTCCGCTGGTCCTTTGATCCGAGAGCACTGGCCGGTGGCTGTTTGTGCATTTCTTGTGGTGAAACATTGCCCACCTTGACGGTGCCGTCGGTGGATTTAGTTGCCGATTTAATGGACGCCGGGGAATCCACGCTTCGTGGACTCGGAGCACCGGTTGGCGATTTCGGTTTTCTATCCTCCTCGTCATACAAATCACCCTTTACCTTCTTCCTTTCTTTTGTGTCCTTCGTCCAGAAATCGTGGAGGTCTTTGAATTTGGTGGAACGGCCGTGCAGCTCCTGTGAGCCATCTTTCATTCGCTGCCTCCCGGAAAATATTTGAAAGTTCCCATCAGACCCGTCGCCCGCGGATGATGCTTCGCTCTCGCTTGACGGCTGACGCTGCAGCGATGCTTTGCCAGGCCGGCCACTCTCTTTGCCGGGCTCTACGCCTTCCTTCTCACCAGCTGAAGTGCGCTTTGCTGGTGTGCTTAAGTCAACAGACTCACTACTGCGCTTGGTATTCGGCTGCTTTGATTGCTCAACCTGGTATGCGGCTTCATCGATATTCACCCTAGATTTTTCAGGGGAGATCTTTTCACGCGAAAAAAAGTTTAGCGTCATTTTTTTCCCACACTGACAGTTGCGCCGCTTTCCTTCAGCCCGATCATTGATCGCCGCATCAGAATTGGACGCATTTTAAATGATCTTTCACATGCCCTGTTGCTGTTGCGGTTGTAATATTGCCCTTATCGCTGTGATTTGCCTTTTCCCAATGTTCCTTCATATCCTTTACACTGAGCCGCTGCTTGTCCGGGAAAATGGTCTCCCCATGTAATTTTGCACTGGATGCAGCCTTGCTTGATGAGATTACAAATGTATTTTTATTGGTAGCATCCGCTGGCTTACCGTCAGTACTATCCTCGGGCTGTGTGAATGTGTTCACATCTATGAACATAGAATTGTCAGAGGCGGTTTTTCTGGATTTTTCCAATTTCGTCTTCTCGGCATTAGAATCTCCGTGTTTGATCTTGAGCCCCATTTTCACATCATCATATGGGCCTGTGTGTTCGATGTCCTTTATGTTATGATCACTATCCCCGGCTTGTGGCATCAGTGACAGCATGGTTAGGTTTAAGTTCACCAACATCAGTTTTCCCAACCTTTGTCTTTTTCGCAGTCAGAACACCATCATCCTTGCTCTTAGCATCCAACTTCACACCGCCAGGGGAAGGCTTTTGTTTAACATCCGCTAACAATTCTGCCGGTTTGTTAACATCACTATTCTTGTTCTGTGCATGAAGGCCTGTGAATGTAAGTTCAAAAGGGTCAGTTATCCTTGCCTTTGCCTTTTTCACAGTCAGATCTCCATCACCCCGGTTCTTGCCATCTAGCTTTGAGCTGTCAGGCGAAGGCTTTTGCTTCACATCAACCAACAACTCTGCCGACTTCTTACCATCACTATCCCCGGCTTGTGGATAAGTGTCAGTATCATTCGGTTTAACTTCAGCACAATCAGTTTTCCCAGCCTTCGCTGTTTTCACAGTCACATTACCATCGCCCTTGCTCTGAGTGTCCATCTTAGTGCTACTAGGCGAAGCCTTTGAATTCACATCCACCAACAACTCCGCAGGCTTATTATGACTGATATCCCTGCTCTGTATATTAAAGTCTGTAGATTTAAGTTCAGAGTCGGTTTTCCCAGACTTTGCTTTTTTCACAGTCAGATCTCCATCACCCCGGTTCTTGCCATCTACCTTTGAGATGTCAGGCGAAGGCTTTTGTTTCACATCAACCAACAACTCTGCCGACTTTTTACCATCACTCTCCCCGGTTTGTGGATAAGTGTCAGTATCATTCGGTTTAACTTCACCACAATCAGTTTTCCCAGCCTTTGCTGTTTTCACAGTCAGATCACCATCGCCCTTGCTCTTAGCATCAATCTTCGTGCTGCCAGGCAAAGGCTTTGGTTTCACATCCACCAACAACTCCACAGGCTTATTACGATTGCTATCCCTGCTCTGTGTCTTAAGGTCCACAGATGTTGGTTCAGGGTCGGTTTCCCCAGCCTTTGCCTTTACCATCGTTAGCTCACCATCACCCCGGACCTTAGGATGCACCTTCTCTGCATCAGGTGCAAGCTTTCGCTTCACATCCGCCGAACGTCCGGACAACTTGTTGGCGAAAACGTCCTCGTTCTTGTCCTCATCTGCGGCAGCGTCAACATCCAGGCAGGTAAAATCATCCGCGTCCTTTTTGCCCGGCTTCTGCTTCTCCAGGCTCAGGTCATTCACCAACAACCCGCGGCCCTTGGGCCCCATCCTGGTGGCAGTGGCGGCGGCGGCGGCGCCGGGCGGAAGCGTCTGCTGCACACTGGCCACCGCTGCCGCTTTCAGCTGCTCCTCCTCGGCATTTGCGTCTTGCGGCTTCAATTCGACCTGCCGAGGCGGCTTCTTCGGGGCCTCCTGTGGAAGCTCTTCCTTCGCCAGCACCAGGCCTGGCACAAACATCTGGTACCGTTGGACGTCCTCGCTCTGCAGCAGCCAATCCATGACCCTCGAGTTGCTCTCATCCGTTGGGGACGACACACTGTGCTTGCTACTTTTACGAGATCCCGATTTGGTGGAATCTTTACGTGCGTCTGCTTTAGGGGGAAAGGCCGAGTCAGATGCTTTTTCAGCAGTAGCATCAAGGCTCTTACCTTTCTGCTGCCCATCCGAGGCCTGAATGTTTGCCTTTGCAGAGGGGTCTGATGGGTACTGCAAAGACTTGGGTTTACCTGCAACACAGAAGAATTTGAAAGGGACACAATGTTTAGAAATATGCATGGTATTGAAGAAAACATTTTTGGGAGTTTTTACTACATGATTGATGATGATGGAGATTTTTGTACTAAAATTTATAATTTACAAGGATGTAGAGAAGGGGACATCAATCAATTAATTAATTGTCAATGTAGTTTTTTGTCAAATTGGCTTCTCATATTCACCAGCTAGTGGAAATTCCACATTCCTATGGAAGGGGCGAGTCTTTCCATAGGACAGCCACTGTTGACTTCCCAACAAAGAAGTGAGAATTTTATCGACCCCAGGAGGGATGATGGGTCGAGCCATCCCCCGGCTGGGATTTGTATCATTCCGATTATGAACCAACCGGTTGCATCTTCATTCAACAAATGTGCAATCAATTGCCTAAACTTCAGTCACTTTAAATGCATGAATATTGATTGCTACGATAGAGCTCCCCTTCAAAGTTCTTGAATTATAAAATTTATCTTTATATTAAAATGAGAGAGGGGAAGTAAAGTAGCGTGGCCACTACTGTCCCAAGTTTGGACTGAACCCACCCAAAAAAACATTAAAAACCCCCAGACTCACCAATGTGACCAAACGAAACCAATCATGCAAAGTACATGCCCGACGTCACGCACAAAGTAAAGTCAAGTGAAAGGTGAACTCATCTGCAAGTGAAAGGGGGGAATGATTGTCAGAGTAGCGGAGGGTTTTTGCAATCAACAGTTGCTCAAAAGATCTCGTCACCTTGACACCTCGGCAAAACACCTTTAATTCCACATACAAGGGGACCAGCCCACTGCGAGATGTAGAACACCTCCCCGTGAGTCACCACCGCATCCGGGCTTGTAGAGATGCCACCATGCTCGAGACCCTTCTCTTACCAGTGCGCTCGAGGGAGGAGGGTTGTGATTGTGCGGTGGGCATCTTGCTCCGCCAACCTTCTTCGTCAGAGTCTGACGAAGAAGGCACGGCACCTGCGTCGTCAATCGGTTTGAAAGCATCCGTGCCCCTGCCATCCGCCTGCCGACTCGGTTCCTTCAGCGGCTCGGCCGCAAACGTCTTCTGCCGAACTCCTCCTGCCCGGTTGATGCGCCGCTGTTCATCGTCGTCGTCGTTGCCGTCCGAGTTGTCATCGGCATCTGGGTCGTCGCGCCTGGATGTTTTGGTTGAAGATGGTGGTGGTTTCTGGATTTCTGTTCTGCCGTCATGCCGTGGCTTCTTTGAAGAGTCAGTTGGCACTCTCTCTTGAACGGTGCTGCCAATGTCATCCTTCATGCCTGGTTTTGCTGGCTTTCTTAAGCCAGCAGGTTCTGAGTATGGCAATTCATTTTCGTCGTCTTCAGCCAACAAATCTGCTGATCTAGCTACCTTTGGCTGCATTTGCACGCTGGTTGATTTCAATGATGGCAATTGATTTTCATTGGTGCCACCCTTCAAATTTGAAACAGCATCTTTTGGCTGCTTTTGCATGCTGGTAAATTTCAATGATGAAAATTCATCTTCACTGTCTTCGTCCAAGAGATCTTCTGATTTATTATTCACTTTCGGCTGTCTTTGCAGGCCAGCAGGGTCGAGCGATTGTGGCAATTTTAGCTCAGCATCTTCGGCCCAAAAATCGTCAGACGCAGCCGTTTTAAGGTGGCGGTTTCGCGATGACAGTTCATGTTCAGGCTCCTCAACGAACAGGTCTTCGGATTGCTTTGTGAATGGGTTACTCTTGTACGCTGGGTCGTCCATACCAAAGTCTTTAAAGAGGTCGTCGCCCGCCATCTCATCATTCATGAACGGATTTGTGCTAGAAGTGCCAGCATTTTTCAACGTGTTCTCCTCCGTCTCTTTGTCTCCTTCTTCATCCTCCTCCTCCTCACTCGAATTGCTTTCATCGCTGTTATCCAGGTTTCCCTCGCCGGTGTACCCCGGGGAGTTGAAATCAGTCTCCACCTCCACGTGCTGAATGTTCGAGTTGAATCGCACGTGCCTGCCTTCCAGGTCCTCGGTGCTGCCCTGCGAGTCTTCGTTCGCACTCTTGCTCTTCTCGTGCATTACTTCCGGAGTGAGGCGGACGTCGCTTATCGCCTTCGTCAGCCGACTCTTCGGTGACCGCGTCCAGACTCGAGTCAGAACTCGACATGGAGGAGCGCTTCAGGATTCCGCGAGGACCGGCACCGTCCTCAGACTCGTCGATCAGCGAGTCCAACGAGCCACTCAGTTTGACGGCCGGCCTTTTGACTCCGCTCACGTCGCCCGCGCCGTTCTGCGCGGCGGGTTCGGGCGGCGGGGGGCGTGTCACCCCCCCATTTGATCGCGCTTTTCACGGGGGTCTGACGCGCGCTCGGCTTCACGGTCTCTTCCAACGCGCGGCCGTTGACCTCCGGCCGAGCCGTTCGCGAGCCCGGGGAACGGGCGGCGCTGCCGCCGCCGCCGCCGCCCGCCGCCGCCGTTCGCTCTCCGAGTCCGGATTTCGTCGATTCGGTCAATTCGGTGCTCCCCTTGCCGATCGGCTTGGCTTCCGGTGACCCCGATGAAACGTCGGCGCCCGCCACCGGCGCGACGTCCACGTTAAGCAACGTTTGCACCTCGGCCACGTCGGTGGCGTCGATCAACTTGGCCAGAGCTGCCAGTGTCTGAGGTTTCGCTTCCACGTCTGCTGCGAATATAACGAAAATAGAATATGTAGCGTGTATCTAAATTGTGTGACGAAGGTGTAAATCACCCGTGAGTCTAATGAAGGTGAAAATATATTACCCTTTGCTCTGCACCAATATCCATTAAACTTTCTTTTTTTATTTATACTTTGATTATTGCCAATTCTCAAAGCTGTCTTTACCGCAGGTTGAAATATGTCACGCCGCCGTGAAATACAATCAGTGCATTTGCTCATTATATTAAAAGGGCCACAAATAATGATTCAGCAGCGTTATGTTTTGATGAGTTATGACGCCGCTCGCATGCACTTGGCTCAAACAGGGCCCCCTCTAATGGGTCCTGTGACCGTGCTCTACGTATCACTGGGTTTCCGCGGTTCTAGATGGCACTTGCATTGCAAATTCAGCCACCGTCTCTTCATTCTTTTTCATTATCCATATATATTAGACGAATCATAAATGACAGTTAAGAGGAATTTAAGCCATTACTCCATTAATGTTTGACTTCTAATTTACGTGCGCTGCTCGACACGCCTCGAGGGCCACGCGCAGTAGGAAGGACTCATCCATCCGTGCGGCCGATGCGACTAATTAAATTTCCGCGAGCAGAATTAAAATGGACGGACAGCATCCCGCCGTGGAAAAAAAATATATAACGCATTTCAGGATTGCTCAAGAAAAGAGGAAGGATGGAAGTGCAGCCATTTAGATAGAGTCGGAGGTGAGGGATTAGTTGCTGATGGTTGGGAACACCAAACAGTGAGGATGGTAACCACGTGAGAAAGGACTTTCCCTTCTTACCAGGTTTGACATCAGGCTCATTTTCCACCTCATCAGACTCGAAGCTCGAGTTCTTTGTCGATGACGAAGTGCCTTGTTCCTGAATCAAGATAAGATGTAAAAGAGAAAAAAAACCCTCCGTTAAAAAAAATTAATTGTAAAAAAAAAAAATCTACGCACCGTACGCCCTTTACTTAGAAAACGTGCGCTTGGCAGCATCGGAGGGAGCTCGGAGAGGTTGCAACCCCCGTGTATTGATCCGAAGGATCGATGGCTGTGCGCGACCCACTTCCTGCGGTGGCGAGCAGGAGACTTACTTTGTTTGCGGAGGTCCCGCCGAGCGCAGGCGTTTGGTTCAGGCTCGATTTCGACGTGGAACGTATCCCCTCGGACCTGGCCAAGACGTTGGAAAAACAGGTTCCGCGGTTACAAAACGTGTACGAAGTGAACCAAGCCCCATGACTAAATCGCCAGAAATGTGCCCGGTCGTGTCAGATCTCAGAAGCCGAGTTGGGTTTTTGTGGGGGCGGCGGGGGCCTGGATAGTTGCTAGGTGATCTGGATGGGTGACAGAGCGTGCACAATTAGGTTTGCTCTATGTTGCAGGGCAACGTCGTCGGCAGCAAAGGGCAGTGCAGCAAAATCCACTGTGGTACTGCACTGTGCCCTCACGTCTATGTTCCCCTACGTTTAAATGTAGGCGAAGCCCTCATCCAGCAGTGAATTGACTGCACGTGTACAAGCACAACACCAAAACCAAATTCGAGCACTTTCCCCCTACCAACGATGAGCTCCAATAAGGATAAAGCTGGTATATAGTTGCATTGTTAATGTTCTGCTGCCAAAATGAAAAAAAAATCCACCAGCTGGTGGCTATCACAGGGCCGTGCGCAGAATACTGGTGATGTCATCATTATTATTACTGTGCATGTTGTCCCAGGAAAGCCTCTCAGAATCTTGACACTTTTTTCAGGAGGTTCTTGCCAAGTTATTGCAAGTAGGGATGGGGCAATGATCGATTTGTATATTCCATTTGAGTAATTTGGCATCTTGACAAGCAAAGCATGCTGGGATTCTTGTTATGTATTGTGATTTAAGTTCTCTCTTTTGCATTTAATATTGTTCCTAGCGTACTCATTTTCAGCCCCTTTCTCAATCCGTTGCCCGGTGAAGGCCTCTTTATGCCGTTTCGCTCATGGGGGTTTGACCATCCTTCACCCTGTTGGTCAGTGCGGTTCAGACTCCACTCACCACTGATGTTGGCTGTAGCCAGGAATCAAAACTCCGGTGGGCCGGGTTCATAACACCAACAATAACTGTCGTTCGCCACTAAGTGGTGCTTGTCAGGCTAGGTGCACCTTGAGCGATGTACACTGACCAGTGCACCGCCACTGCTGCACACTCATATTATTACAAAACGTATACCGAAAACATTGGTGACTGCTCTAAAGCGTTTAATACGAGTCCAGAATGTAATCCAGTACAAGCTAATCCTTACAATAGCCTTGCCAAGTAAATGTTGAAACCTATATGAATACACCCATTATTCAAAGTCATACCCATGGCCGGGTCCAGGGAACATATTTGCATAGCCGTGCACGTACGATTTATTTCGGTCACCCTTGCATAAAATACTTTTCTTAGTGGCTTTTCATCTAGTTTAAATTAAGTCTGTTGTTGTTATTATTGTGGACAGCGGTGGTGCAGTGGTTTTAGCGCACTGCGCGATAAACCTGACAATGTGAGTTCGATTCCCAGCCCACGTCGGACGCGAGTGGAGAGTGATGACTGAAACCGGTTAATGGTAGACTCGCCGGCATCAGGCGGGCCATTGGCCATCGTGGTGGCGTATGGTCCAACAAACAATCCTACCCCATGACTGACATGGCAAGTGTGAGTGGATTTACCAAGTAGTTGTCAATTATTATGAAAATAAAATTGTTATTAAAAGCATTAATCAAGTGAATTTATACAGATTGTATATCTTTTTATTTTTTATCTTAACAAGGCTAGGCTATTTACTTGAAATGTGAAACTGCGTTGATGCATCCCGTGTGCAGTTGTGTTCATACTCGGGCACACTGCCCGGATGTGGATGACAAACCGACAGGTTTTATTTATTTTTATATTTTTGAAGTGAACCAAACACCCTTGGCCCTCCCGTGACAACACATGGCACACATGTAGACGCTGGCAAACACGCGGAACACCTTACAACAATGCCTCCCACTTGCGCGTGACACCACGTTTGACTTTTTGTTGTTCATGCTCTACGAAGCCACGTTTATTCGAATAACAAAATATACCATCGTAGAAGGGAACAAGATGTACTACGCCCAGCTGGTTTTACAAGCGGTGCAGACAGATACGTGTGTGTACCTCGTTTTCGCTTTGGTTAATTGTAATTATTATTGCGCTCGTTAAGCCAGGAAAGCCTCACGCTGGGCCTCAAGACTTTGTCAGGCGGTGTCCTGCCAAGTTTTCATAGTGGGATTGGAATGGTGCTCAGCATAATTCCAGTTGAGTTACTTTGCAGGTATTTTTTTTTCTTCCAACAACGAGATTGTTGGCCATTAAAATATACATTGTGTGTTTTGATTTACATGTGGGACGGAATCGGAGAGAGCACGGAGTCAAATTGATGCACAACAAGGGGGTGTGGCGGGGGGGGGGAACGTACAAACTCCACGCAGAGAGGCACCCGAGTAAGAAATTTAATCTAGGCCTCCTTCTTGCTGTGAGGCATTGGTGTTGCCATTGGGCCCGCCACCCTGCCCCCGCCCCGTCTTTAACCCTCACACTGTGCTGTAAAATGCAAGCATTGCCCAAGAGTTTACAGGTCTTGCGTTGGTTCAACTGCAATAAAATTCCAATCGTTAAACGAAAATGAAACCCAGTTGTGCGGGACGGGAAAAAAAGTTTCTGGTGTTTTGGAAACTTTTTTTTGGTTTTCCCGTCGTGAACGCACAGCAAGAGTTGCACCGTTTACGGACATTTCACGGCCTTCCACACACGGCACAACATTTTGTGCGTTGTGGAGACGTTGCGCTTTCTGGGCTGCTGCGCTAAATGCTTCTCTTGCGATGGTTTTTCTCATCGATTATATTCCCTTAATTATTGTTGCCAGTACAGTATTTAGGCAAACTAAATGGTCCCCATGGTGTAGAAGTGGGGGGGGGGGGGGTCATTACACATAAAAGGTTGCCAGAGGCAGACTTGGCAGCAGTGAGCGCACCGGTGTGCCGAGGAGTCCTCATGGAGGACAAAACCAGTCTTCTCCAATCGGTCTGACAATCTCACTTGCTGCCGGTCCGCTCGGTGATATTTCGCCAAAATTGATTGATGGCCGCTTTTGATAAGATGACTACACAATGCAGTGTCCCCAAAAACCACTGGTTTTAGCATAACACTGAGAAAGCGTTTTATTTTGTATACGCTTGGCGCACATTCTTACGCATGAGGTAGAACTCCAGGAGGTCTCACTGAAGCAACGTGGCCATGCCTGCAGGGCAGGGGACTGGGTTTATATGAATTGCAGCTTGGCCCTGTGTGTGTGTGTGCACATTCCACTAGAAATATTCAAGAAATGTTGTACCTCTTTGAAGGTCGAGGAACGCCTGCCTCTGTGGGTCCAGCAGAGCTGGAATGGGGAAAAAAAAAGAGGTGGAAGAGAAATTAAGATCTGGGTTATTTCGGAAATCACAGTAAATCCAAACGGCAATCCACAATGCCACTCGGGTGCAGCAGTGGGAGAGTGATTAGCGCGCTGTGATTTGAACGGAGCGACTTAGGATGGATTTCCGGCTAAGGCGAAAAAAATAAAATCAGTTCGAAATTAGATCGTAATAAGCATTCGAAGTCAATTAACATGAACACTCGAATTCATCTCTGCCATCTCCATCTTGTCTGCAGCTCTCTTCTCTCAGAATCAGCATCTGCATTGAGACTGCAGGAGGAATCCGATGAGCCATGAAGCTCTTCTGCACAGATGTCCAGTGTGGGCGCGTCATCTACGTTTCTCGTCCCTGCAGCTCTTTCATTCCACTACATTTCCGTCTCGTGCGTATCTCCTTGTCACCCGAATAAAATCTCCATCGCATCTGTTCTGTCATATCAATTAATAATAATAATTGAACCAGGCCCACCCCCCCCCCCCCCCCCCCCCCCCACCGCAGTAGTGGGCCAACACTGCCGCCGGCTTCCTTCCCACGTCCGCAGTGGAGGCCCGCACCGAATAAGCGACCCCCTTCCTCCCCTCGTCTCTCTCCCCCTCCCACCCTCCCGTCCCTTTTTTTTTCACATCCATAGTTATCGTCCCCCCCTCCCCCCACCACTCTTTTCCCCTCCCCATAAAAAAAAATCGTTCGCACCCTCGCTAGCGGTTCCCCGCCGCGCCCGGGTGGGTGCGGCGGTGGAGCCCAGTCCTCCGCTTTCAACTAGGCCCTGTCGCGCCAAACTCGCCAAACGCGCAAAAATGTTGTTCGCAACCTTTTTGCCTCCCACCCCCAATCTGTGATCGCTCGCGCGCGCGCGAGCGAGCGCTTTGTGCCGAGCTCACGTTGTAAAGTGTAAAAAACTAAAAAAATAAATTAAAATAAAAACCTCCTCTCTCTCCCCGAGGCTCGTCGACGTGTGCGCACCGCGGGCCGGTTCGTGTGTCACATTTTGATTATTAAAAGAATCGCTTTGGGGCCGCCACGCGTGAATATTCACACCGCTACTGATTTGGCTCTGGCGCGATAGTGAGAAAACGCTGGCAAAATGATGGCACCCATTAACTGCTGCCATGTCCCATTTTATTTGATAGGGATGGAATAATAAAATAAAATAATAATAATAATAAAAAGCGAACGCGTTACGGTGAGTGTTTGCGGGGAGACCTGGCAATTAATGGGCTGCCTTACAATCTACATTGTCGTCATCATAATCATAATTTGCCCGTGTAATGAAAGTGGGGGAGTGGGGAAATGCATTGGTGCGTCGTGGTGGCGAGATGGTAACTCCCTTTCCTGGTATACAGGAGGTCGGGGGCTCCATCCCAACCCTGAGACATGTTTATTTGGAGTTTGTGCGTCTCTCTCCCCGGGGTCACGTGGATTATTCCCCAGGTCCTCTGATTTTTCCCTTCGACACTTAGATTCAACGTCACGCGTTTACAGTGATTTGGCTGCTATAAATTTCCGCACGACGAGTAGCCGCTTCGTTGAGCCATCATTGGGTAACGGCCAGGTCGCTTCCGAAAAAAATTGTTACATGTGTATCTCGGTGGGGCCTGACCCGGTAAAATAGGAAAAAAAGTTTATAGTATCTTATTTTAGGAGCGCAACAGGCCCGCGCCCGGGTGTGGACGCGACCGTAGCGAACCGCCAGAGGGGAAACAGGTAGCATGGCGGTTTAGCCGAAGCGAAATGCCAGGGCAGCCGCCTCTCGGGGAATGTGGGGTGGAGCGCCGGGGTGGAGGGGTGGAGCGCTGGCACCGCCGCCACTAACGCCGCCGCCGCGTGTGTGTGTGTGTGGCGCCGATCGCGATCACCTCTCGCTTGCGATGCAGTCCTCCAGCTGCAGGGACTTGTGCTTGTTCTCTTTGTCCTCTCTGTCTCTGCTGTGCGCTTTGCCCCTATCTGCAAAACAAAAAGAGTAATTGGTTAATAATCTTAATAAAAAGGTATTGGAGGGGGGGGGGGGGTAGCAGGTAAAGGTGCAGCCCTGCAACGGCTTGACTCACGCCACTGCTGGTGGAAGGGCCTCCACTGAGGGGAGCGCAAGAAAGCCCTCCGTAGAGGGTACTTAGGCCTACTCTTCCACGCGGCGTTGCGACAGCCGTGTACAAATGATCTACTGTGTGGTATGGAAATGGGAGAACGTTCAAATAATTTCCAGAGCAAGCTGCTGAGAAAGCTGGAGTGAACCGAAGGCGCTTTTATCCTAGCTTCATGCATTAACCATGCAACAGAGTTAAATGCAGTGATGCGAGGGGTGAGTGGAATGAATAATAAAGCAATTAGTGCGAGTGTGCGTACTTTTAATGGCTCATTCTCGAGCATCTTGTCGTTTAGATCGATTGGAATTCTTTATTTAACCAGGGGATGAAATACACCCATTGGAGCACGTGAAATTGCACTGCCTCCTTTGGCAAGGGGCGACCTGGGTCACAAGCAGGACATTTTACATTCAGCATATCTATTCGAACATTAACGATAATTTAATTTTAAAAAAGATGTCAACGAAAATAAGCACACGATGGTGAATTGCAGTTAAACTCTTTCAACGTGTGTTTTCTTGTGGCAAATAGGAGGCAAATGCAGCAAAATGGCAAACACGTCAGGGGGATGTCAACAAATAGGCAGAAGGCAGCCGGGAACGCATTGAAACAAACATCCCGGCAATATTGTGCATAGAGTTGGGTGCCACTAAAGTTTGTTATTTGCAAAGGTCACGCTTCCTGGTTTTACACGTTTGCCCGTTTAAAAGACCGTCGACCAATATTTACTCGAGTAATAATCTTTTTGATTTAAAGCTTTCGTGACTGCAAGTGCTTTTCACACCTGATGACGATTGCACGCGTTGCAATCGAAACGTCGTGGTAATTTTATTGTTTTGTATTTTCATCATTTTATTGCTTCCCTTCTACGCGACCTTACCGAAAGAACCAAAAATAGTAATATAACCTTATTACGATGCAAGAAAAGCTCCCCGGAAATTATGCATCCACTCTGGCAACCGACGAGGGTTTGCAAAAATCACGAACCGAGAGGTGCGCAAAGCAACGCGGGGCGGCGAAGGCGCGCGCGAGGAATTACACAGTTGCTGGAGAGGGGAAACAACAACGCGCCGGTGAATCAAACGCAAAAACGGGAAGGCGGCACATTGACTGGCAAGGAAAAAAATTTGAGCAAGAGAGAGAGAGAGAGAGGAAAAAAAAAGATGCGACAGTGCGCCGGCACAGCGGGTACGCGCAAGCGCACAACAACGGAGACTCGAAGCACTCGGGCAAAAACAGCGATCTCACCTTCCTTTGAGATCACAGTTCTCTTGACAAATGCGATGAGCTCTTGTGTAAGCAAATTAAATTGGCAGAAAACATGGCTGAACTTTTTTTTTCCCCAATTGTTTTTTTTGTTACCAGGTAAGAGGGCCCAACCGAGCTATGCAGCTCGTTTTCAGAAGTGACCTGGCCATCAAAAATGCTAGCTCAACGGAAGTGGCTCATCATATGGACATGCATAGCAGCTAAGTACTCTAAAAGGCGTGTTCGTCTAAGCGCGGTTGGAATAGCCGCCGGAAATGGATGAAAATCCACACGACCATGGGGAGAAATCCAAACAAACTCCAAATAGACAGGCGTCAGGGTCAGGATCGAAACCTACAACCTCCTGTATACCAGGCACCCGGCGAGATGGGATGCAAGGCGCGACGGACGAGGCTGGTGACAGAACAGCAGTCGAAGGGTGGGGAAAAAAAACGTGTCCGAGACATTGACCAACGTGGAGACGGAGCAAAGAGATTGTCTCATGTGCATGAGCGAGATGGATCGTGGCATCGCAAAGCCATGAGCAATGGCGACGATGTGGATCAGTCTTCATCCAGCAGCGGACGGACCATAGCTCACGATGAACACGATGGGATTCGTATGCAAGCCATCGCTCACCGCCACAGCTTCGTCGGACGCTTCCCAAATTAAAACCGTGTGGCGTGCAAATAGCCACATTTGCATGCCTCGGCTCAGTCATTCAAGTGAAATATGTGCGCTTTCAAGTTCTTCATGCTCGTGCTTGAGTTACAATAGAGAAGTGGAGGAGTGGGGGGGGAGGGAGGGTATTCACCCCGTCTCATGGAAGGGATTTAAACCTGGGGACATGGGGGCAGTCGAAATTGGCACTAAGCTAGTTTTCTTTTTCTTCTTCCAGCCACGACCTGGCAAGTTCGGTCAAGATCCATCCTGCCGCCAAAAGACAAGAAGAGCTCGCGGGCTCGGCCTGCATCGAATAGCCGTCTCCCTCTCTGGGCGCGGCCGCGTGAAGCGTCCGGCCGATGGCACGGATTCACCAGAGCGTAAACGGGGCTCCTGACTCGGCCCGCACCGCCAGCGCGGGGGGGTGGGGGGCGGGCATGGGGCCGCTCGATAGTTGCCACCCTGCGTGGAGAGCACAGACAGACGTGGAGGGGAGAGCAGCTGCACGGAGAGTGCAGCGATGGATGTTGCTGCACTGGCCGACGCCGCTCGATGTCGGCCAAGTAGCAGCGGCCTATGGGAAACCCGTCTGTGCACAGTCGTCCACCAGGCTGAACCCCCCCCATTGCTTGCATTCAAAGATATCCCGACGAAATCGGGCACGTGCCTCGGGTCTTGGCGGGAGGCTATACGTAAATACACGCGGTCGCGTTCGCGACACGCCAACTATACGGGAAGCTGTCATGTCACCTGTAAACTCCTCCCCCCTCTTGCCCCCTCGCCCCTCATTAACCGACGCGAGGCAGGCACCCTGACTGACTGGGGAAGCTACGTGCGGATGTGAAGGTTAATGTCTCAATTTCCCCCAATGGCCATAGGTTCCTGGCAGTTGAAAGAGTCCCCCACCCCGACCTAGCTAGCTATGTCATCACTCCAACGTCGCCAATGAGGGTTGCTGTGGTATGGCCAATACCACGACATATAATCTACGGTGAGATCATTTTAGAAAAATTATTGACCATCGTATTGTGATTATTCTATTCGCCCTCCGCCCCACCACCCGCATCCCGTGCCCTCCCCGCTCGACAACTTTTTTTTTAATGAAAGTTGACAATAAATGTCCCTACAAACAAAAAAAAGAACCATCGGCCACTAAAATTAGTGCTCTGCCAAACGTTTTAAGGAGCCATTGAGGGCATTGTGGATTTACGACATCGTCACTTATGGATCGCGCGAGAGTTATGCGCGCTTCAGATTGTAAAGTCGTCACGATGATTAAAATACTCGTGGGGGCAGGTTGATGCCGAGTCAACTGCAGCCGAATACATTTTTGGGAAATTTCCGTACTTGAAAGTGCATCAAAGAACAAAATAAACACACGCGGTGAAAGCTCTCGGAACAATGATGACGCGTCAATCGTCAAGTTGTAGAATTTTAATGTTTCGTCGCGTCGAGAAGAACGATGTTATGGCAACCTTACCGCCGATACACACAGCGACCCAACTAAAAACTATTTTTTTTACTAGGTAAGGCCCACTGAGCTATGTAGCTCTTTTTCAGAAGAGACCTGGCCACAAATGATAGCCCAATTGAATGGCTTGTCACGTGGAAATTCATTGCAGACGAATACTGTCAACGCATGTTCATCGTAAATGCAGAGGAAAAAGAACCGGAGGACCCGGAGAAACATTCACACTACCACGGATGGAGACATGCAAACGCCACATATACAGGAGGCGTCACGTCAGGGTCGGGATTGAACCCATGGCCTCCTGCGTACAGGGCGAGGGAGTTAACATCTCACCACCGCGGCACCCAACACGAGCAAAATCCTTCTGGTTTCCATCACGCCCCCTTCCCCCCCCCCCCCCTTGTCCTTTGACTGAGTGGAGCTATTGAACAAAAGCGCCGTGCTAATGCCGGAACAATAAGCTGCGATTCCGGTAATTAATCCGAGCCACGCGGGGGAATTAAACAATAAACCCTTCTCTTGTTTTGTCTTCCCAAAGCCAAAACTGTGCCGCCGCGCTCATTCGGGGCTCGTGACAGCCGCTACTTTGTGCAAACACGAGGTCCGGCTCCCGGTGGCCTGCCGCTGGCCGCGAATGTTCCTACCACTTCCCAGACCACGAACTATACATCTGTAGGTGGGGGGGAAGACGGGGGGGGCAACCGTGCAGCGACTCAATTCCTCCCGTCGCCGTTTTACCTGCGCCTTGCCGAAATCTCACACGCTCCGGGGGGGGAGGGCAGGGGATAAAAAAAAAATTACCCAAAAAACAAAAAAGTACGTGGGAGAGAGAGAGAGAAAATAAATATATAAATGGTAAAGCAAATCCATTGCAGCTGCAGCGCGGGGCGGCGCTGTGTTGGACCGCGGCCAGAACATGGCAGAGCTCATTAAGTATCAACACGGCCTCATTTAATTTGATACGAGGGGAGGGGGGGCGCAAATGCCACCTCCAATATGTGGATGGAGGCGAGTGGAAGGGTGTACCGGTTTCTCGCAATTATCCGGCTTTGAGACGACCTCCTCCTCTCTCCTCGCTCGTCGGGAGAGCGATGACCGTCGCTATCTTGGTTGGTCATGCCCCAACCCTCCGCTCACCGCCCCCCCGCCCAGAAGGCCCAAAGGTCACCGCGAACGCCTGCCCTGCCACGTAAGTGGGAGTGAAGCGTCAGGTGGGATAGTGGGGGGGGGGGGCCCTTCGGTCCCCTTCCTCCGCGCTCTCAAGGGACGACACCACCACCACCACCACCGCCGTTTGCTTTTACTTCACCGGTTATTTACTTATTTAAAGACGGCAGGGTATACACACAGGGCGCGATCGTGGCCGTCACAGCCACACGCGTATCAATGGGGGTGACCACCCGGGGTGCGATCTGGGAAATGACGGACGAACGAACCAGGGACAGGAAAAGGGGGAAACCCCAAAGGGTTAAAATCGT